TTTCCATATATTTAAAATAAATATCAATTATTTTAATTTTTTTTTTTTAGGAATTTAGAATCTATTGCTTTTCGAATGGCAACTTCATAGGTAAAGACCTATTATTTATTACTAGTGGTCCCCCGGTAGTCGAGACTCGACTATAATTAATTGAAATTATAATACACTATTATGATTCTATTGTCAAAGACTTTAAGCTTCCATAATCACAGATTTAGCTAACACTACACTTAGAACTATTAATAAAGACGAACAATGTTTAATCTATTCTCAATTTGATCACAGACTATAAGCAATAAGAAAAGTTTGACAATGAACAAATAGTATGCATGCGTGTGTGTGTCATATTCGTTTTTTTATATATTGCTTTATTGCATTTTTATGCATAATTTAATAAAATATTAACATTCTGTACTCCTTCTCTATATTTTCTATAAGTGTGGGAAATTTCATACTCCTCCGTCCACGCGATTTTCGTAAAAAGGGGTTCAAAGTTTTTGCTTCACGTATTAATATGCACCACATTAAACCTTTGCTATGCGTAATGTCTTTGGTATTTCTCATTTAATATCTCAAAGATTTGAAAAAGAGACATTTAATATAAGAATATCGGTCTTGTGTCCACGGAATGACTTGAGAAGAGAAGATACACTTTAAGACAATGTTGATACGTCATCAGTGCTGTGTTGCCGACGCATCGAGCGCCCAAGGTTGCCGCGCTAGGTCATTTCGCTTATCGCCTGCAAAATTATCAGTACTTTAATGAATTCGATAAGCACTTAGCCACGAATTAGAAACACTATAAATAAGAAAGTATCTAACTCTTTAATTCGTCTCCCCTTATCTTTGACTATTACTCGCGGTGGCTTTCGAGTTTTTTTTTACTAGTGGTAGGACATCTTTTGAGACCGCGCGGTTAGGTACCACCGCTCTTTCTATATCTGCCGTGAACAATAATGCGTTTCGATTTGAAGGGTGGGGCAGCCGTTGTAACTATACTTGAGACCTTAGAACTTATATCTCAAGGTGGGTTTTTACATGGTAGATGTCTATGGGCTCCAGTAACCACTTAACACCAGGTGGACTGTGAGCTCGTCCGCACATGCAAGCAATAAAAAATAAAAATAAAAATGTTTCGATGCCAAAGATAAGTGTAAACCACTCTCATTATTATGTAGTTTACTCGCATATAAAAAAAACATTTCCCAGTTGTGAATTTAATGTTTTCTTTTTAATTTATACTAGCGACCCGCCCTCGCTTCGCTTCGGAAACTGTAATTTATTATTGATTTCTCCACTATTTCATGGATGTTATTATACGTATAAACCATCCTCTTCAATCATTCTATCTAAAAAAAAAAATCGCATTAAAATCCGTTGCGTAGTTTTAAAGATTTAAGCATACATTGGGATATAGGGACAGAGAAAGCGACTTTGTTTTATACTATGTAGTGATTTGATGCTACCTTACACCTAATCTGAAATAATAATCCCATCTTAAATAATATTGACGATTTGTGAGACAGCGATTTAAAGATTCCGAAGATTTATTTCAACGACAAAAACACTAGAAGAACTCACAATAGAATGGACTGTCAGGATATATTATCCATATATCTGCAGATAAGGATATAACTCTGACATCCTTCTAGCCCTGGCTCGCTCACCTAGTTCAATTGTATAGGCGGTACTATGCAAAAAAAAACAACTCAATCTTTGAACCTCATGAATAACAAAGTGTCGCTATTTTACCTAATTTATTATACTAATATGTGCTCTGAGGAATTATTTGAGATGAGTCCATCATCTCGTTTTTACTATCGCACCGCCCGCCACCGGAGTAGAGCTCATCCATACTACCTGGAGCGTTCGTTCATCCACAGTGCGTTTCCAGAGATCTTTTTTGCCACGTACCATCCGGCTTTGGAATGAGCTACCCTCCACGGTGTTTCCCGAGCGCTATGACTTGTCCTTGTTCAAACGAGGCTTGTGGAGAGTACTCAACGGTAGGCAGCGGCTTGGCTCTGCCCCTGGCATTGCTGAAGTCCATGGGCGACGGTAACCACTCACCATCAGGTGGGCCGTATGCTCGTCTGACTACAAAGGCAATAAAAAATATATTTAAAAAAATTGCTTTAAGCCTTGAAGGAACGATAGAGATTTTAGGTATAAATAAAAAAAAGACGTCTTGACATATTCGAATAATTTTAGTTTCATGTGGGTAGTTGAATATTTCAGTGTACATTTTTGGGTAATCGTTACCATTGTGAATTCAACGTTTATTTCCTAAACTATTCGAAGTCGAATTTACGAAAACGAATCTTGATTGTATCTTAAATGAACGGCCTTGAGGTGGGTGTCTTTTTATACTTATCTTATATCTTTAAACGAGCAATTCTTGTATATAAATTATTGTATATAATCTGAATCTCGGAAACGGCTCCAACGATTTTCATAAAATTTAGTGTACAGGGGATTTCGAGGGCGATAAATCGATCTAGCTACGATTTATTTTCAGAATTCGTGTTTTCAATAATCAACTTTATCGATAATTTTGATTTTTTCTTTAAATAACTAACCAGTTCATATTTTTTTATTATTATGTCGGTAAGATCGGAAAATATTATTCATATTTCATCATTTTATCAATATGTAATTCGTATTTAAATATAAATTCTAAAAAACACAATTTATCAACAAAAAAATATATCGAGCAAACCTCTGTCATTATTTCATTATACTGAAATAAACATCAAGTAACCGGTTCTAAACAAGATAAATTCCTGACATATTTTCTAAAGGATTCGAAATGCTAGAATTGGTCAAAATGATATGCGATGTTAATTCATCTATACATATAAATAAAATTGGATTGTCTGTTTGTAATATTGAAATAACCGCTTTTTACTACATGCATATGAATACATATATAATAATATACGGTACATAGACCAAAATAACATTTTTTACGATTTTTATCTGTCTGGCTGTCTGTCTGTTTGTTCTGGCTAATCTCTGGAACGGCTGGACCGATTTTGACGAGACTTTCACTGATAGGTAGCTGATGATATAAGGAGTAACTTAGGCTACTTTTTTTAGACTAGCTTCACCCCGCGGCGTCACCCGCGCTACGACAATAATCGCGGGTAACATCGCGGGACTCCGCTATCAATAATAAAATTTCATGTTTCCGAATCGAAGCGAGGACGGGTCGCTAGTCTTTTAATGAAATCACAAAAACTTTAGATAAATTTTTGAAATACAAAGTCTAGAAATACACTGTATCGTGTTTATTACCTTCAACTGGTCTGCGTTTTACGTCAGTCCGGCCGCGCCCAGACACTAATTCACGGACATAACCAATCAGCTAATGGAATTTGTCTGTTTATTGAGCGAAATGCTTTCCGTTTTTGAAAACGATATTTTTATGACACGACCCTACCTCGCGAGTGGTTATTGTAATCTAATTCTTTTAGTTGATTGTGGATTTGCTCGCTGGCCGTAAAATCGGGTGGAAGGACGAATTTCGTACAACTGTCCCTTCAGTGTTTTGGCCATTGAGCTGCTTATTGGATCAGCGAAAATGCGTTTCAAAGCTCATTGAATTTCTCGTTGGATCTTGTCAATAGGTCGCGATTCCGATCCGGTGGCAGATTGAAGCACTGCCCTTGCTAGAGATGTGCAAATTCGCCAGAATGAGCCCTGTTAACTCGCCTACACCGTTCAATAACCCTTCGAGGTTACCAGGATAGGTAACAAAAGCCCTTCAATAGCTTTTGGTTATGATTTGGAGCAATTAGGTGACTGATGACCATCCTCCATGACCGGTAATTTCTTGAGGGCACTAGGAAACAGACAGCGAATGAGACCGTTGATTTGCGCAAACCAGTGCAGCCACTCATCTGCTCTTTTGTCAAGTTTATCTCAATAGACGAATCCGAACTGTTTTGGAAAAATTCGCGTGGTAGCTTCACGCAAATTTTTAGTAATATCGATAGTCCACAGGTCTTGAAACGGAAGTAATAACTCGGGAATACCGTTGTCAACATGCGGCTTTTATCGAGTCACACATTGACAATGTTTATATAGTATAATAAAAACATACCACGCTCATAAAGCACTAAAAATGGGAAGGTCTGATCCACGAATGCCAATATCAGTGCTAATGGTTGTTGACTCGTGTCAACTGGACGTGTTTCTGACGACAAATGGGTTAAAATACCAAATTTCATGAGATTACTTAAAGCTTAAACACATTCTTAAATTGTCAAGCATGGTATTTTAACATTATGTATTTTTTTAACATTCACGTCTCAGATAAAAAGTAACTATAATAATTTTGGGATCCCTTTCAACTACGCCACCAAAAAAGAGTAATGCACTACTGATTTACTGATGGTAGGACCTCTTGTGAATACGCGCGGGTCGGTACCACCACCCTGCCTGTTTCGCCGTGAAGCAATAATGAGTTTCGGTTTGAAGGGTGGGGCAGCCGTTGTAACTAAACTGAGACCTTAGAACTTATATCTCAAGATGGGTAGCGCATTTTCGTTGTAGATGTCTATGGGCTCCAGTAACCACTTAACACCAGGTGGGCTGTGAGATCGTCCACCCATCTAAGCAATAAAAAAAAAAAATTACCTTGGTTTTTATTTTTTACTTATTTATTTATTTATAACTTTATATACTAGACAGTCTAAAGGCGGACTTAATGCCATAGGCATTCTCTGACGGTCTACCTTAGGGGGGTGCAGAGATGAACCTTGGTAGGTGTAGTGTGATAATGATGTTACTTAAATATATGTGTATATATAACATACATAATATTTATAGGTACAAATACTCGTCCTTAAATAAATACATTTACATAAATATATACATATAAAAAAATATATAAATAAATATTATCAATTAGATGACTTTATCAATTAGAAATAAAGATTATTTTTCTTCCTACGATCTAGATTTTGTTTTGTTAATTTAACTATAAACTGCCGCAGCTCCGCCACGAGCTGGACCGAGTGGTGAGTGAACGCGACCGTCTCCTGACGGAAAGTTCGGAGCTTGGCGCCGACAAAGCGACGCGCGAGTCCGAACGCGCCGCCCTAAGAGCCGAGCTGCGGGAGGCGCGGCGGCGAGAGCAGCGGCAGCTCAGCGACATCACCGACCTGGAGGACGAGAACATCTCGCTACAGAAGCAAGTCTCAGCGCTGAGGTCGTCGCAGGTCAGTACTCGGCACACGACGGCGACACGTTGTATTCCATCTATACTTCTATACTAATATTTAAAGAGGAAAGATTTGTTTGTTCGTATTGAATAGGCTCCGAAACTACTGAACCGATTTGGCCGAAATTCTTCCACTGTTTGGAAGCTACACTATTCCCGAGTGGAATAGGCTAAAATCTTTTTTGAAAAAAAATTAGGGATCCTTACTAAAACTCCAATAATGTAAAATTACCTAAAATATTCTTTACATCGCATGCCCTGCGAAAACTATTCATGATAGAATAAAATAATGTACTACGACTTTGTAGAACACATTATTATTTACAAAAAGTGTCGCAACAGCATATGTCTAACTATTATAGTTGTGCCGCGATATGTGTTCTTTTATTTAAAAAAAAACAACGTCAAATATTGTTTGAAATTTTTGTTAAAGACCCGAGCGGAGCTGGAGTGGGCCGCTAGTGTTTAATAATCATCTTAATCCTAGTTTACAATTATGAAGAAGCCTATGTTTCCGGGTGGTCCACGTTTTATACACTTATTAATTATGTTATATACTAAATGCTATGCTATGCTATAATATATAAGTATACACACTTCAACATATCTCGATGCTGCTCTCGTTAAATGTTGCACTCGATACTACAACTTTATGTCCGCAAGTGCGAGCATATTTGATCGCTTCGTTGGTCAAGCGGCTTCTTCAACCTCGTAAATAATATATTCAGAGTGGTGCCCTCGTCTCGTATGTAAATATTTCCGGAACCCTTCGAGAACATCCTAGATAAGAGGACGCTACATATGGCTTATTAATTATTTTGATTACTACCTAGTCCTGTTTCTGATGAGGGTAAAATATGAAATCTGTACTTGGGATTGGGAGGAGGGACGCGGTTCGCTAGGGATATTTGGATTTCACTTTTTTTTCCTACCTAAGCTGATAGCCTTGAGAGGCTATTTCAGCGTAACTTTAACTAGTAGGTGAGCTCACGGGGCTCAAACCGGAGTGATGCCAATACTGACCCTAGCAAGAGCAGTGCTTCGCAGAATCTACCACCGGATCGGAAACGCGACCCACTGAGAAGATCCGGATAGTAACTCAGTGGGCTGAGTTTCACTAGCCAAGCATCCTCGAACTCAATCCGTATGCGTTAATACAGAAAAAGTTATCACTTTATCGTGTTCTTTGATTGCACCAGGTGGAATTCGAAGGATTGAAATATGAAGCTCGTCAACTCCGCGAGGAGGCGGAGGCGGCCCGCGCGACCGCCGAGGAGACGGCGGCCCTGCGGCGCATCGCCGAGCGGCAGCTGGCCGAGGCGCTGGAGGCGCTGCAGGCCGAGAGGGAAGCCAAGTTCGCCGCCAAGAAGGAGCTGGACGCGCACCTCAGCAAGGAGGCGGCGTACAACATTACGAACCTTGCCTACACTATCCGAGGTAAGAAGACAACAACAACAGATGTTGTTTTTTTGAAGTGAAACTTCTTTAGAATCGTTGTGATTTGAAACTCGATGAAACGAAAAAATAAGTCCATAGAGACACAAACACAAATGTATAGGATTCAGTCGGCGAGAGAATGAGATAGAACACATTAGACGTTCTCAGTGTAGTGTTTTTTTAATACAGCGCCATCTTTGAGATTTTTTAATACTAACGTATGAAACCTCTTGTAGTGAATTTTAATTTAGGATTATATGTGAAGTTAAAATATCAATTCACAGAGGGCGCTACCTCATACTATATAAGATGATTTACAATTATTTACTAATGACAAAATTTTATATGTACTTAGACATTTACGATAATTCTATTTTAATTTTTGAAGGTTTCACTTCTGCCGCGTGTGAATTGCACACATGTCTTTTTTCGTTGCTTAGATGGGTGGACGAGCTCACAACCCACCTGGTTTTAAGTGGTTACTGGATCTCATAGACATCTACGACGTAAATGCGCCACCCACATTGAGATATCAGTTCTAAGATCTCAATATAGTTACAAACCGAAACGCATTACTGCTTCACGGCAGAAATAGGCAGGGCCTGGTAGCTACCCAAGCGGATTATAATTTTGCGGGTTTGTTTTTTATTACACGACGTTACTCCTTCACCGTGGAAGTCGATCGTGAACATTTGTTGAGTACGTATTTCATTAGAAAAATTGGTACCCGCCTGCGGGATTCGAACACCGGTGCATCGCTTCAACACGAATGCACCGGACGTCTTATCCTTTAGGCTACGACGACATCCAAACTGTTTGTTGCATAAAGAGTTATACCGGGCTCTACCATTAGAGCTGAAGCCGAGGGAAGCTTGCGGCATTGATGTGACTCAGTTATGAATATATATTATAATTTGCGTAATTACTGGTGGTAGGACCTCTTGTGAGTCCGCGCCGTAGGTACCACCGCCCTGCCCGTTTCCGCCGTGAAGCAGTAAAGCGTTTCGGTTTGAAGGGTGGGGCAGGCGTTGTAACTGTGTTGGGATCTTGAAACTTATGTCTCAGGGTGGGTAGCGCATTTACGTTGTGGATGTTCATGGGCTCCAATAACCACTTAACACCAGGTGGGCTGTGAGCTCGTCCACCCATCTAAGCAATATAGCTGCTCTTGCTGTTGGCAGGTATGCCCGAGGACGGCACGGAGGACGAGAGCGAGCCCGGCGGCTCATCCTCGGCGGAGCTGGCCACCGCCATGGCGGACCACCACGCCGACTTATTCTCAGAAGTGCATCTGCACGAAATATCGCGACTCGAAAAACAATTAGAACAAGCCCACAGCGAAAACGTATGTCGTTTTATTTATTCTTAAACTATAAAGAGCAGTGTACTGCGGCCATGTGCAATACATTGCTGGCTCCGTAAATTTTAAATCGGCATATATGGTACCACTAGCTTGTATGGCCGGTGACGTTCTGCAGTCGTTACTGATATTGTATTGAAGGGTGAAATAATTACCATAATTTAGAAATGAAACTAAAATTAAAAAGACTGGTATGCGCTTCAATTTCACGCAAGACAGAGAGAGCACGTTCGATGATGACGTCAAACGTGCGGCTGTCAAACTATTTAGTAATTCGTATTAAACACCAACTTTCTTTTATTTATTTAGTAGCTAATTTTAGAAAATTAGTAGCGTATACTAACAAAGTAATCCTCATAGATACATTGTATTGAGAATGATAGTAATAATGGCGTAGTAATTAATATAAGAAATAGGTACAGAGAAGAACGAAGAGAATTTGCTATTTCTTTTGCACTTTAATGGCGATGACGTCATTTTTGTTATTTAACGACTACCTTCAAAAGTAGATTTGACAGTTTTCTTTGAATTGTATAAATGGTCAGAATAGTGAAGAGCGGTTTGGTGTGTCCGCAGAGCCAGCTGTCGGCGGCGTCCCGCGCGGCGCAGGCGGCGGCGGAGGCGGCGGGCGCGGCGGCCGAGGCGCTCCGCACGGGCGCCACGCGCGCGCTCGCCCGCACGCACGCGCTCGTCAAGCTGCACCGCGACTGCGCGCCGCCCGCGGTAACACCACGCCCTTACTGCTATACATACACTAGGAACACACGCTCGAATATATCACAATTCTCAACCTTTTCAAATAGGACTTTTTGGCGGGAACGCGAAAAGCGAAGTTGTGTGAATTATTTTATGTTGTTTATTTAGTGTTTCTTCAGGTTTAAATGTGTAATAATGGTGGTTTATTAACTGTTTAACATCTGTGAAACACAAATGTGGGAAAATGAAACAAAACCGCTGGACGTAACTTCTCGGGATCTTTCAAAAAGTCCACTGATAAATTCTCAGTAAATAACCACAATTTTACTGAGATTATATTTCATCCCATATCATCTCATCTCGTTTGATTTAATTTCATTTCAATTTATCAATTTAGGTTTCCTTCGTTTTTTTTAATTCTAAACTGGAAAGAAATAAAAAGGCGAATTATAAAAATCTTATTACTTGACGCTGGCTAATGCAGAAACTTTGTCAAGCCAAAATATAATAAAAAAGAACTTTTCAAATAAACATTTAAAATTGTAATCACGTCTAATATATTACACGATCATTATAAACATAAAATTTATTTAAAATTATGATTGGGGCTAAAAAATATACTAATCAAAAACTGACAAACGATAATGTAATGTGTTTTCATTTTTCAGGAGGAGGACGGCAAGAGTCGCGCCGGCGCGTGGTTGTCGTGGTGGCGCGTGTCGGGCGGCGAGCTGGAGTCCCTGTGCAGTTCGCTGTCCGAGCTGCTGGCGGCCGCCGCCCCCACGGAGTCGGGCGCCGCCCTGCAGAGGCACGCGCTGGCAGAGCTCGCCGACCGGGTGGCGGAGGCCGAGCTCAGGGCGCAGCACCTCACCGCCGAAACCGACCTGCTCCGGACCCTCGCTGGAGGTGAATACACCCAGAGAACCCAGGGACGCGGTCTAGATTCTGCGACAGAACGATTAAACCCAATTCTGACGTCACATCTACAATCAACTTCAATTCGATTACTGGTACGCTGCCTATTTCTGCCGTGAAGCAGTAATGCGTTTCGGTTTGAAGGGTGGGGCAGCCGTTGTAACTGTACTGAGATCTTAGAACTCGTGTCTCGAGGTGTGTGACGGCGGTTACGTTGTAGATGTCTATGGGCTTTAGTAACCATTTAACAGCAGCTGAACCGTAAACTCCTTCTAAATAATATTGTATATCGAACCCGATTGAATCTGGAGCTGTTCTGAGGCCAGCTCCCCCGGCGGTGTAGGAGCACAGTATCAGCATTGTTGAAGTGAAACTTCTTTAGAATCGTTGTGATTTCAAACTCGATGAAACGAAAAAATAAGTCCATAGAGACACAAACACATAAATGTATAGGATTCAGTCGGCGAGAGAATGAGATAGAACACATTAGACGTTCTCAGTGTAGTGTTTTTTTTTAATACAGCGCCATCTATGGGAATTTTCTAATACTAACATGTGTATGAAACCTCTTGTAGTGAATTTTAATTTAGGATTGTACGCGAAGTTAAAATATCAATTCACAGAGGGCGCTACCTCATACTATAAAAGATGATTTATAATTATTATTTACTAATGACAAAATTTTACATATACATACTTAGACATTTAGGATAGTTGTATTTTAATTTTTAAAGCTTTCACTTCTACCGCGTGTGAATTGGACAAATGTTTTTTTGCCCGTTGCAGGAGCGGGCCGCGCGCTGTCCACGGCGGCGCCCGCGCTGCAGTCGGCGGCGGAGTCCCTCGCGCAGATCTACCACCACGTGTGCGCCGTCAACGGCACCCAGCCGGAGCGCCTGCTGCTCGAGCACGCAGACGGTCAGTGCACGTGACGTCACTTGTGGCCAACAGACATGACCAATGTTCTTTATGCATGATATATTCGAAGAATAACCACATATGAGGTCATGAGGCTTTGTTTGCTCAAGTTGATTGAAAATATTATATATCGTCTTTTCGCATTAAAAGTGTACAATTTCCTAAAATATTCGAAATTATGTTAATATGCGGAATCATTTGGTATCACCAGTATTTTTCTCATAAATACGGCCAAAAGAGCGTAAATTAGTTTTAGTTTCTTTTTAATTTTTTACCTATGTTTTGACTAATATTAACAAAATTAATAGATAATTTTATCTTGCTTTAAAAGACAGATAATGTAACTGGTAAAAAATTAAAAATAAAAGTTGCAAAGATGATTAATATTAAAAATGTTACATGTTAAACCTTTAAAACACTCTCTTGTACAATTAGTAAATTTTGAGATTATACAGTTTTAATGCGATAACAGTTAACTGTTTGAGCAACAATATTTACATAGGCATGTTGGTGTGCAGGTCGCGAGGCCAAGTCCGGCGTGACGGAGGCGGAGGCGGAGGCGCTGTCGCTGGCGGAGGGCCCGCTGGAGGGGCTGCGCGCGGCCGGCTCCGTGGCCCGCGCCGCCGACACCCTGCTGGACCAGCTCGACCACCTGCGCGCCGCCCTCGACACCGCGCTCGGCGCCAGGAGCCGCCAGCCGCGCAGTCAGTACCCGCCACGCACCTTACATTCGTCTTCTTGTTTTTACCATCGCACCGCCCGCCACCGGAGTAGAGTTCATCCGTACTACCTGGAGCCACTGCGGTCATCCACAGTGCGTTTCCAGAGGTCTTTTTTGCCACGTACCATCCGGCTATGGAATGAGCTCCCCTCCACGGTGTTTCCCGAGCGTTATGACATGTCCTTCTTCAAATGAGGCTTGTGGAGAGTATTAAGCGGTAGGCAGTGGTTTGGCTCTACCCCTGGCATCGCTGAAGTCCATGGGCCACGGTAACTACTCACCATTAGGTGAGCCGTGTGCACGTCTGCCTACAAGGGCAATAAAAAAAAACTTTGCTCTTAACACGTTGACTGCCGTGTAGGTCACCGATGCCCTACGTGGCACACTGAAGCAACTATGTAGATTTCTCTTTGTTCTTCTTACATATATCCAGTAGACTCTGGGAAAGACGAATCCAAAGATACTGACAATGAATCTATTTCTAAGATACCTAAAAGACTTAAACGTACATTATCAAACAAAAGAAGGCAAAGTTAAGCAATCCAGGCGCTAAGTAACAGAAATCGACATAATTACTTGAGTGCGCCGCGTAGGACATCGGTGACCTACATGGCAGTGTATGTGTTAATAATCTTACCGGTGGTAGGACCTCTTGTGAGTCCGCACGGGTAGGTACCACCACCCTGCCTATTCCTGCCGTGAAACAGTAATGCGTTTCGATTTGAAAGGTGGGGCAGCCGTTGTAACTATACTTGAGACCTTAGAACTTATACCTCAAGATGGGTAGCGCATTTACGTTGTAGATGTCTATGGGCTCCAGTAACCACTTAATGCCAGGTGGGCTGTGAGCTCGTCCACCCATCTAAGCAATAAATAAAAAATCGACAGGTCCCGTAGCTTCGATGTGTGAAAATCGTTCAAAGAAAGCAAAAGATATTGCCAACATAAAAATAAAAATGGCCGACGAAAGAAAAAAAAGTAATACAAACGTAACTCAATTAATCTGTAACGGAAGGAACGTTAAAGAGCTTACCGATTATTTTGAAAATATCACCGGTCTCCAATCGAACAGAAATTATATCGATACAGCGTTGAAACGTGCGAACTACAAAATCGATTCTAGTTTGAAGCATTCGAATAATTGCTTCGCACAATATAATGCTAAAAAATACGATACTAAGTTTAATGGCAAAAGAAAACCGTTTCCCATAGCCAAGTCGCAAATCTCGAATCCAAATTTATCTCAATATCGAAATAAAAATCTCAGTTTGTACTCGATATGGAAAGATAAATTGTACAAGAGAGAATCTTTAGACGAGATCGATATTAAGAAAAGCGATGCTAAATCGTACAACTTGAAAGCATTTGTGAAATCGACTGTACTGACGTGCGTTTACGTGCTGCAATACATTCTGTGATCCCGAGCTCGTCCCGCGAAGTATAGTCCGTCAGATGCGGCGTGGCGCCCGGGACAGTTGTCGGCGGGACGTCATTAGGAAATAGGTTTGATATAACAAACCATCTGTCAAACGTATCACGCTGTAGTTAACGAACTATAACTATATAGTGTATTTAGATTTTTAATACGCTTTTATTAGCTTCAGACGTATGTATGTTTGTAACGGAATCTATGAACATGATTTTGACCCCCTTCAAAACGTCGGATTAACTAGAAATTTGGTATACTTAAGAACCGATGACAATTCAATATTAGAAAAAAGTTTAAAAATTGAAATTCAACTAATCAATGAAAAATATATAATAGTTTTAAAAAACTAACAAAATACGCTTTTATAGAAAATCCAACTAAAAAAACAGAAAATAAATTTTAATAAATTTAAATTAAAAATAATATAAGAAAAAATGATTTTATTGTAAAAAAGCGTGGGGTGCATGGTATAAGTAGTTATAAATACTTTTATGAACAGACATGAGCAGAAGGGTTATTTTGATAATATCCTGAAAAGCATCCTACGCTTTTTTTTTACGATAAAATCATTTTTTCTTACACTATTTTTAATTCAAATTTATTAAAATTTATTTTCTATATTTTTTTAGATTTTCTATAAAAGCGTATTTTGTTAGTTTTTTTTAAAACTATTATTTAAGATAAATTGTGTTGCATCTAAGCAATGTTCTAGTTAGTTAGTGGACAGTTTACAGCTGTAGTGATTGTGTAGTAGAAGTATCGATAAAGAAAATAAGACTGACTCGTTGGTGCAATAGTTAACGGCCTTGACTGTCGCGTCGAAGGTCGTGGGTTCGATTCCCGCACCGGGCAAACGTTCGTGTGATGAGAAAATTTGTTTGCTCATTATCTGGGTGCTTATTATCTAACGTCGTCGACTAACTTAGAAATCGTCGTGGCCTAAAGGATAAGACGTCCGGTGCATTCATGTTGAAGCGATGCACCGGTGTTCGAATCCCGCAGGCGGGTACCAATGTGTGTTTTGTTCCTAGGTATTTATTATTATTTGAAGAATTTTAAAAAGGTTCACTCATCCTTGTTGGGTTTTGGAGATTATATCTCCACGCCCTCACTAGTAACCAAAGATAATACGTGTCTGTGTGTCGTTAATTGCGTGCGGGCCCCCGCAGTCATGTCCCGCAACCCCTTAACTTGTTCTTCACACCGCCCTTCATTCACTCATGTTCATTCTTCATTCGTTCATTCAGTCGTAGAACCTTGTAGATTTTGATCTGAACAATGAGCACCTACTGCCCATTCCTTATCTCTGTCGTCCACAAAGTGTGCAGTGCCTCGCGTCGCCATGCACACGCCAGGTGTAGTCCACAGCAGCCCAGGCCGAGTCGCCAGCCAGTTCCCCTTATTGAACTGGTGATTTACTGGTGGTAGGACCTCTTGTGTGTATGCGCGGGTAGGTACCACCACCCTGCCTATTTCTGCCGTGAAGCAGTAATGCGTTTCGGTTTTAAGGGCGGGACAGCCGTTGTAACTATACTGCGATCTTAGAACTTATATCTCAAGGTGGGTGGCACATTTGCGTTATAGATTTCTATGGGCTCCAGTAACCACTTAACACCAGGTGGGCTGTGAGCTCGTCCACTCATCTAAGCCAAAAAAAAAAGTGTAATTCAATTTGACATTGTTTTGCAGAATTCTAATATAGCACTAAGTAATTGTTTTCTCAACCTCATCGAAAGTTTAATGTGCTCGCAGTGATGGAGAGTACGGAGGAGCGCGGCGCCGAGCTGGCCGAGCTCCAGGAGCAGGTCATCAAGCTGAAGTCCCTTCTGTCGACCAAGCGCGAGCAGATCGCGACGCTGCGGACCGTGCTCAAGTCCAACAAGAACACGGCCGAGGTGGCGCTCGCGAACCTCAAGTCCAAGTACGAGACGGAGAAGACGATCGTCACGGAGACCATGCTCAAGCTCAGGAACGAGCTGCGCCTGCTCAAGGAGGACGCCGCTACGTTCTCGAGTCAGTACTGGTTTTTTTTTTTGCCGTTGTAGGCGATCACTAGGTACTTAGAGGCCCGACACGTTGGACTGACCAGATCCGCACTACCCTCTACACCACAGTTCACGATGCTCTACACTCGGCGGCAGATAGAGGCAAATGGCGTGGAATCGACGAACATACGGCTCACCTGATGGGGAGTGGGTAACGGTCGCCCGTGGACTTCAGCAATGCCAGGGGCAGAGCCAAGCCGCTGCCTACCGTTGAAAATGTTTCAAGGTGGTGTCTCAAAGTCAACATTAGTTGGGCTGTGAGCTCGTTCACTCATCTTCTTCTATCTATATATAAAAATGAATCGCTGTTCGTTAGTCTCGCTAAAACTCGAGAACGGCTGGACCGATTTGGCTAATTTTGGTCTTCAATTATTTGTGGAAGTCCAGAGAAGGTTTAAAAGGTAGATAAAAATGAAAATGTTCTGAATTAAATAAAAATAACAATTTTGTTTTTCCTCTGATGTGTCCTCCGTCGGACGGATTCCTTTTGTTTTAAGTTTATTTTATACAAAAGTTTAGGTCTTTTATTTATCGATTGAGGCACTACGAAGTCTGCCAAGTCGGCTAGTGTGAAATAAAATAGCTAGATGTGTGAGCGTCCGTTCCAGGCTTGCGTGCCATGTTCGCGGCGCGCTGCGAGGAGTACGTGACGCAGGTGGACGAGCTGACGCAGGCGCTCTCCGGGGCCGAGGATGAGAAGAAGACCCTCAACCAGCTGCTGCGCCTCGCCGTGCAGCAGAAGCTGGCGCTCACGCAACGGCTCGAGGAGCTGGAGGTAACGGTTCTACTAACTAAATATAATAATAATAATAATAATTACATTGGTAGGCAGCGGCTTGCTCTGCTCCTGGCATTGCTGAAGTCCATGGGCGACGGTAACCACTTACCATCAGGTGGGGCGTACGCTTGTCTGCCTACAAAGGCAACAAAAAAAAATATATGACCTAAATTTCTAATTATATCAAAAAATATTACAATTAATTATACTGACAGTGGAGATAAAAAGGCCGCGGGCTCAGCTTTGTGGTAGCTGAAACTATCGCTGCTATTCTGCCGCTGCCTGTAATTTTAATCTATAAACTAAACTACTAAAACTAAAATAATATAGACTAATCTATAAAAAATAATCTAATAATACCTAAATTTAAACATGTGGCATAATCTACAAAATCCCTGCTTCCGCACTTTGTTACTCAAGTAGAAATTCCCTATAAAAATATTTGAAGGGGTTAACTAACTAAATATAATAATCCGTCGACATCGAGCCAAAGGGCCGGATGTTCAAGGGCGTTTGAGGTCATGTTCATCATATGACCAACACACGCCGCGTCGGACACAACCGTCTAACCTCAGATGTAGGTAACCTGATTTAGGACTGGTGGTAGGACATTTTGTGAGTCCGCGCGGGTAGGTACCACCGCCCTGCCTATTTCTGCCGTGAAGCAGTAATGCATTTCGGTTTGAAGCGTGGGGCAGCCTTAACTTAACCACTTAACACCAGGTGGGCTGTGAGCTCGTCTACCCATCTAAGCAATAAAAAAAACATGTGATCAGACTCGATATGTTCGCGAATGCCGCGTCACGTAAGAGGAACTAGACATATTTGTGGATTGCTGCGTCACCGGTCCGCTGTGACGTCATCTGACAGTGACGTGTGTCGCAGGTGGACCGCGAGATGCGCTCCCGGCGCGTGCCCAAGGCGGGCGGGGTGCGGGGCGGCAGGGGGAGGGACTTCTAGCGACTGCTGGCGCCGGTCAAGGCCGTCGCCGTCCTGCTGCGCCGTCTGCTGCGGACCTAGGGCTCCAGCCTCACCGGCCCGGTCCCCTATTTGTACGTTTTGTAAACTTTTTAATGTAATGTGAATCGCGCCGCACGTCCGGCTCCCGTCGCGGCGCCGGTCCCGGGCTCGTCCGGCGCCGCTGGAACGGTCAAATTGCGGCGGGCTGCCGGACGCGGGCGCGGCGGTCCCCAGCCCGGGGCCGCGCCCGGCCTACCCCTTCCCTTTCCTCGGGACATATTTTCGTATCGATTTCTTCACTCGATATCGCGCGTCGACGCGAATCGATTATTTTTGTAACAGGACCGGTGTATTTTGTTAAGCGAATATTTATTGGCGCCGTTGTGGTCCGCGGTCTCCCCGCGCGCCGGACGGACGCGGCCCCCCGTTACGTCCAAATGTGAAATTTCTAAAGAAAAAGAATCATTATCGTCGACATCCATCCATTGCGTGCGCAAAAAGACTATGTAATCTGTTTACCGGGCGACGCGTCGGTCGCGTCGTCTCTGTCTCGTCCATGTTGTTGTAGTCGTGATGTTTGAGTTTGTTGGTGGATCACTGTGCCGTCCCAGTCGCGTCCATGCTGTCCACGCGCCGGCCGACTCTCCGTCTCTGTCGCACCCCCTCTGTCGGCAGTGTCGACCTCTCGCTCGCACAGCGCTCAACGCATTGCTCACGGAGTCGACCGGCGCATCTATTGATAAGTCGAAATTTAAAAAGTTATTGAATGTTAATGGTGTCGGTTGAGTCGCGCCGGGGCGCCCCGGCCTCCGCCCCCGGCCGCCGCCCCGGCCAGTAGAGTAGCTAGTAGCTCGCGACAGGCAGCTAGCCCGCGACTTGCATTTATTGTTTAACATAGTGTTTGTTAAATTAGACTAATTATTATTATATTAGGTCGTTCTTCGTGTACTTAAAAAGACGAACTTACCCGTTCTATACATAGCTTTAGCGTATCAAGTATTCTGTCCCCTCTACTAAGTATTATCGTTAGTTGTCGGTCCCCCCGCGTGGGGGGCGGCCCCCGACACGAGCAGCGCGGCTCTGATATGTTTATTGTATTGGTTGTTAGTTTTGTTACTAAAAGTATTACTGCATGTGTTTCCGCATCCGTCTCTTTCTCATTGACATTGTTACATTTAGACTGACATGTTCTTTTACACGGTTTTCTGGTAATATTTATTATTAAAAATAGTTATTTATTTGACTTAAATATTATAAATAGATGTTGTATATTTTTCATTATTAAGAATTAGATAAACTTTTTACTATGTTTCGTGCAATGAAAGAAAAAAATGTTTTTTAGTATATAGTATTATTATGTATAGTACAGATTCAGTATTTTTTTGTTTGTTTATGGTTTACTATCGCTGTTGTCTGCTGTATGGGGTTAGAGCGATTAACCAAATATTATTATTTCCTTTGTGTAACAATTTTTTAGTACACTTATATTTGTGTAGGCATATTATTATTTTATATTGATTAGAAAGATAACTTAGTGAAAAATTATTGATTTTGTTATTCGAAGATTTTTTTATATAGTATATTATTATCGGTGCGGCGTAGACATGGTCTGTCGGACGAGCGCGCATGAATGTTCCCGGTGCCGTGTCTCTGCTTTCTGCTACCTGTGGTTGTTAACTTTAAAACACATTGCGAGGGCCGAAAATTAAATATTTATTATCGAATTTAGGGACAAATGTTCCCATTAACGATTAAGTGCGTTTTTACGTTCAACGCGAAGATTGAGAACCCGCGATTTGGTAGTTTATCCATGATCATCTATGATCAGGGTCCGCGTAGTCACACTTCGATGGCCCGGCGACTTCTCGGGCGACGCTTCGTACAGATTACAAGTCTTTTGTAAAAAAAAAACGCTTACAGAGCTTTCAGTATGCAATACGTGTTGTGGGACAACAAATTGTATACGTCACATTCGCACTGTTAAATATTCTTAAGTAAAAAACGTAAAAGCTCTTTCACTGCTGCGGAGGGTAGATTGCCCTCAACAAGGCCGCCGTCTGTTTCGCGTCAGTATCGCGTCAGTGTCGCCTCAGTATCACGTCAGTGCAGCGCGGTGCGAATGTCGCACGTTATTATCGGGAACATATCATGGTGGAACGGATTTATTTTTTTGACCCGTCTGAAGGCGCACATGTCACAATGACTGATATAAATCATGTATGAGATATAATAAATTATTATTATATTTATGTTTTGTTTCAATTACTTTCGATTCAGGTTTAAAAAAAATATTTAGGACTATGATCGATTTTAAGTCCTGTTTTAGAGACGATAGACGATTTTAAGGCTACCAAAAAGTTATGTAAATTAAATGCCTGTTAAATAAATCATGTACTCGTAATTGAGTTCACATTACGTATTTTGAAATAAATAAAACAAGTTATATTTTTTTTTATTTGACGAACCAGGCTTCGTTACGTGATATCCGACATGAACACTTCCTAAGGTAAGATCGTGGTGATACGATCGGCTCACCAGGTTTTAAGTGGGTACCAAAGCCCTTGGACATTGCCATGTGAAAGCCACCGTCGTCCTTTACACGTGAAGTCAATTGCCAATTTAGTCTCAATTGTAGTGTTGGCGCATCCTCTAAAGCAGTACTACTCTTCTGCATTAGTTGAACGTGCTTCTGGTAGTAGTAGTAATAGTATTCCACATGTGACGATATCATTGTACAATTTTAATTATAATCGATTTATTAACCCTATCCAGCTTTCTGTAGATCTTTCTTTACCAATGTATCCATCTTGAAAGAGCTCCAAATCTGTAACTATACTTGAGACCTTAGAACTTATATCTCAAGGTGGGTGGCGCATTTACGTTGTGTATGTCTATGGGCTCCAGTAACCACTTAACACCAGGTGGGCTGTGAGCTCGTCCACCCATCTAAGCAATAGAAGAAAAAAAAGGCTTTCGTCGATTGTGCAATTGCGAATCCTTTATATGTTTGGACATATCATCTGTAATGAAAGCTCATTGGAACGACAAATGGATCAAGGAAGCATATCTCACAAGGTGGACAGACTTCAGTAATCTACCAAAGTGTTCCCTTACTGAATGTACACGTACCGCCACCAATAGAGAGAGATGGAGAAAGGAGAAGCCTCGCAGAAGCCGCAACCAAGTAATAAGAGATGCATAGCCACGACCACTCCGCCAGGAGTGTACGACTGAGAAGCTTTCTGTCGCCGACACGCGTTCTCTCATCAACGTATTAAGGTAAGTTAAACAGAGTTTCGTGTATAACATGAATTGAAACCAGGACAATATTTTTAGCTTCATCTTCGAGGACAATGCTATGAATTAAAAAAATATTTATGAAAGTTGAAAGATCGACTCTCCAATCCTTCGAACGGAGACCCACCGCGACTTGGCTATTGAAACGATGGCGAAAAAAAAAAAACAAAATATATCGTTCGTAAACATTTATTGCTTTGTACATTAATTGGTACATAAATTAAAAATGTATCCTTATAAAAACGTACGTATGTACACAAGATTTATACATAAAACACAGTACTACATACTCATTAACGTGTATTTACTTGAAAGTAACTATCCAATTGAAAACGTCTTAAAGAACTACATTTAATTTATCAGAATAAAAATGTAAATATTACTGCGGACTTTTTGGCGGGAACGCGAGGAGTGAAGTTGTGTGATTTGTTTTATTTTGTCTATTTAATGTTTCTTCGGGTTTAAATGTGTAATAACGGTGGTTTATTAACTGTTTAATATCTGTGAAAGTGCACAAATGTGGGAAAATGAAACAAAGCTGCTGGACGTAACTTCTCGGGATCCTCCAAAAAGTCCACTGAAAAAATCTTAGTAAATGACCACCATTTTACTGAGATTATATTTCATTCCATATCATCTCAATTCATTTCATTTAATTTCATCCCAGTTGATTAGTGTCTCAAATTAATCATCTTCATTTCATTTCACTCTATAATATCATTTTTCATAAAAACATGAATAATATAAATTAAAATAAGACATGACTTAAAGGTCTCAGTTACCAGGTCATAAAAACTATTAAAAAAAAAAATTTACTGCTTATAAATAATGTCATGATGTTTACAAATACTAGACGTTATTTTGTAAGATTAAAGCGATATCCTCGCGCACAGTTGCAAGTTATATCATTGCTATTCATTCCCGCTACAGTTAATAGATTAAATCAACATTGATTTTTAGTAATGATTCTACAAAAATCAAAACTAATTTTATTTCATTTTAAATCAATCCTAAACAAATTCCTAGTACACATTAACACTAGTACATTATTTTACAATATTTTCTACTCACGACTTTTCTCCAGTGCTTAGTGCGAGTTTTTTAACGTTCTCGATAGCGTAAAAGTTAACTCAATTTTGTATGCAGTTGAAACAGCGCCCCTAGCGGCAGACGTAGGCGAACGATCCCATTCCATACAAGTATTTTTAACTTTTACGCTATCGAGAACGTTAAAAAACTCACACCGAGCTCACTGAAGTGACATCAAAGAATACATACGTTCACAGGAGAACATTAATAGATATCGAAACAAATAAAACTAACAGAATAGTAAACAAGTTCTGTTCGAACAAAACGCAAATCACATTTGTAGATCACTCTCGATCCGGCCTACAGTATACAAATAACCTATTGACTACAAAAACACACAGTCGCCTTTTATCACAGACAATAAAAACATTCACTCGCGCGGCAGGCCACGCCCCCCGGGGGGCGCGACACTCCGCGGACCCGCCCCCTCGAGACTAATCCGGGACAGACGCGCCCAACGCTGTGTAACATCAACGGACCCGCGTTACGAGCGGTCCACACCGTCGCTTTGGTCTATGCACTATTTTCCTGGCACTTCTAGACACTTCCGTCCCAGACACAGCCCACTGAGTTTCTCTCCGGATCTTCGCGGTGGGTCGCGATTCCGATCCGGTGGTAAATTCTGCCACGCACTGCTCTTGCTAGGGTTCGTGTTAGCAAATCCGGCAGATAGAATCCCATGAGCTCACCCCCTCACTTAGTAAAGCTGGGATAACCCATCGAGGTACCTGTATAGGTAGGTTAAAAAAATACCCCGAGACATCGTCCACGGCTCAGTGGCACACTAATTGCTTCGTGACAAGCTCGTCCATTGGACTATAGTGAAGAAGGCAGCAGGAGACTTGAGTCTCTCGATCGCCTAAGCTTGCAAGGTTTTTTCCACTCGCCATACACAACTCCTCAACTTTGATTCCACGTGATTCAGTCATAACTCACATCTCTCAAAGTAAACATTAGTTGAACTCAAAACCAACTAAGTTCTAAACGCAGCTAATTTCGAATAAGCAATTAAAAAGGACTTTAATAATTTAAAATACTTTCAAAACAATACGTGTATTTAGATTACTCTCAACTACGACTTTACATTTAAAACTCAAAAACTTACTTCGCTATAGTCTTATATAAATAATGTTCTTTTAAATTAATTATCTTAGTTGATAGAAGTTTGAACGTGCTACCGCTCTGATGATCCGGCAGTGCCACTTACGGATTCCGACCTGTTCCACTCGTGTGCCAAGTTAAAATCAACTTACGGCTTATGGAAAAAAGGTCGAATTTGAATTGCACAAAACATTACATTCATTCGTCCTTATAGTTGTGTGACCCCGTTATTATTTACCTTAAACTACACAATAGTATAATACATGAAATGAAAGTATGTGCTTAGCTAATATATTAATATTAACGGACTTACACGTATCGATAAATATTCCGTATATCTAAACTGTAACATCAGAAAGGAAATTGCTCATCCTCGAACTCCTAACACCCTTATTATATATTCGGAAGAGAAAATACTAAATTTTTTATTTTTATTTTTTATTGCTTAGATCGGTGGACGAGCTCACAGCCCACCTGGTGTTAAGTGGTTACTGGAACCCATAGACATTTACAACGTAAACGCGCCACACACCTTGAGATATAAGTTCTAAGATCTCAGTATAGTTACAACGGCTACCCCGCCCTTCAAACCGAAACGCATTACTGCTTCACGGCAGAAATAGGCGGGGCGGTGGTACCTACCCGCGCGAACTCACAAGAGGTCCTACCACCAGTAAGAATATGAAATAATGAAGTAGAAATATGAAAATACAGTAAAACGTTTTCTATCTACCCACAAATTGATTAAAATAGTCCGGAGACGATACGGATATAAATACATACATTTAATAAAATAACTAGACATAAATAAAATTAAATGATAAATGAACGAAACAAGACGGCTGCCGGGCCGCGTCGGTGCTGCCACGGGGCGCGGGCCGGGCGCCGCTGCTAAAGACTTTGATATAATTTTTGGTTTAATCATATTATCGTCTTTTCGCATTAAAAGTGTACAATTTCCAAAAATATTCGAAATTGAGTTAATATGCGGAATCATTTGGTATCACCAGTATTTTTCTCATAAATACTATCAAGAGAGCGTAGTTTAGACGACTATTAACAAAATTAATACACAATTATATCTTACTTTAAAAGACAGATAATGTAACTGGTAAAAAAAAAATGTTGCAAAGATGATTAATATTAAAAATACCATAATGACATGTTAAACCTTTAAAACACTCTCCTGTAAAATTAGTAAGTTTTGAGATTATATACAGTTTTAATGCGAGAAGACGATATGCAGTTACGTTCTCTCGCACGTTAATTTGAACTCTATTGAGTTATATCAACGATCATATTAACTCGCACACGTAAACTAATCTAACTTTATTAATAACGTACCAAATACTTACTCTGAACTTAATTAATTATGAGCGAAAACGCTCTTTTCATATTAAAAGCAATATAGAGGTATTACATTCAAATTATCAGTACTTTTTTTTTAAATTTCATATTCCTAAAAGCTTTCACTGATCACTAGAACACAAACACAAGTTATATTATATAATATATTGCTGACTGCCAAACGTGAGCACTCGTGAACATACGTGAGCTCACGAATTGAACACATAGGAACACGAACGACTGTTTGATGGGTTTTCTCCCTTTTCCCTCGGCTGAATACGTAGTGGTTCAAATCCTTTAGTAAGAACTAGATTTACTGAGTATATACGTATGAAACATATCTAATAGTCTTAGATAGAATAGTCTTAAACTATTCTGCAAAACTGATCTAAACTACACAAAAGCTTTACGTACCTATGCTATTCTTACAACATCGAATTTCATTGGTCTTCGATCAGGTACTCATATAAACCTTACGTTTTATTTATCGATATTCGAGTATCGATTAAATACGTATCGAGATGCACGCGTGTCCCATCTTCATTATCAGCCAGTAGATGAGCCTGAATACCACAGGCTTGCCATATTTGGAGCGGCGAGTCTAGTTGTAGTGTTGACCTCGGGAACCCCCTACTTCACCTGGGTTCTGGCCCCTGGCGGAGATCGGACGTCGTATGAGAGAGTGCAGGGGAGTCGTTTGGCACGGTAGGGTTCTAAAATATCAACATCTGCAGACCGTCAAGTCCCACATACCTCTCGCGCCTCCTAGACGCAGGGATCTCGTAAGAAGTTCGGCACCCTGCCCGAAAAAAGGGGTGCAGTATTCCCATAAAACGATAAATACAACTTGGGTTCACCAAACTCTATCCGGGGATTCCCACACGGTCATCGTTCTCGTCGAACCCGTCGCTTGCGAGTAAATGAACCCATAGACACAGCCCACTGAGTTTCTGGCCGGATCTTCTCAGTGGGTCGCGTTTCCGATCCGGTGGTAGATTCTGCGAAGCACTGCTCTTGCTAGGGCCAGTGTTAGCAACATCTCCGACTTAAGCCCCGAGAGCTCACTTACACGCCTTGTGTTATCTAGTATAACCTCTCAAGGTTACTAGAATAGGTAGGAAAAAAAATGGGATTCCCACAAAACTTTTTCTCAATCCTCGTTGCCGCAGACTAGCTGCGGTCGCCGGCTTGCTATCGTGTGTATACACAACGAACACAACAACTCTCTATAAACTAAAAAGATAAAATGCTGACCCATTCTCAATCTCAACAGATACAATTGCTGTCAGTTCTGACGCGCGAACGCACTAAGACAATACAAAAAATACACAATTTTCGACAATAACGTATGTCGTCGATTTAGAGCGCTTCTGTTTTCTAATTAATTCAAGAATTACGAGGCTTCAAAATATTTTGAAATAATTTGAAAACAGAATTAAATGTACAATGTTGAACCAGTGCGGGGGGAGGGGGGTGGGGGAGGGCGGCTACAGGGCCACGAGGTCGGTGACGTCCCCGCGGGGGGGCACGGTGGAGGGGCGGAAGTACTGCGCCAGGGTGTCGTACAGCGCGAGGCGCGGCTGGCGCGCGTGCCACTGGGTGTCCGGGGTCATGTCCTCGTCCACGCCCACCTCCCACGTCTCCGGCTGAGGTTCCCCCGCTTCTTCAAACGGCAGCGTCAATTCCGGTTGTGGTTCTTCAGCGCCCAACACCTGCGTAACGGCATAAACTTGTTATACTTTACCGGTGGTAGGACCTCTTGTGAGTCCGCGCGGGTAGGTGCCACCACCCTGCCTATTTTTGCCGAGAAGCAGTAATGCGTTTCGGTTTGAAGGGCGCGGCAGCCGTAGTAACTATACTGAGACCTTAGAACACATATCTCAAGGTGGATGGCGCATTTACGTTGTAGATGTCTATGGGCTCCAGTAACCACTTAACACCAGTTGGGCTGTGAGGTCGTCCACCAATAAGCAATAAAAAAATAATAATCTATTAATTAGAAATGTGGCAAGTGTTAATAAAACAATGAGTACCTAGTTGAATAGTTCGTAACTTACAAACACAACAACGATACTGACAGCAACTAGCCGGCACACGTCAGCGCGTGCGTACCTGTGCGAGCGCGTCCGCGATGTGTGCGTGCGAGGCGTGGTGCGTGCGGGCGCGCAGCAGGGCGCGGGTGCGGCGCGGGGAGAGCGCGCGGGGCGAGGGGAGGGCCGCTCCCTCGTCGCCGCCGCTGAACAACAACGTCGCCAGCTTCTGGAACCTCGACACCTGCGCGACACGACACCGCCACTTGAATGTACTGCTCAACACTCTACTGTGTGTGAGTGGGACGGATGTTACTCTTGTTTGAACAATGGAAGATGATAAAAGACAGATCTCTTCACTACAACCAGTGCCGCCGACTTCCCAGTAAGTGCGCTGACGTCAGACTGCGGGGCACGTGACGTCAGATGAACAGGTTTGTATTAAATTAAAAGCCTAACGAAGGCGAAACCTTCTTAATGTTTTTTAAAAGTGTTGTTAATTTCTTGATGATGACTCATGTTTGGGTTTCCGAAAGAGAACTTCACGAGAACTTGGTGAGCTTCGTATAGATCACGAGCAGCGTAACAACGTCTCAAGAGAGATCCGTACTGTGGTACGACTCGGGCACGAATGACCAAGCGCAGAGAGCACGGGCGCGTGTTTACCTGCTTTTAAACTATTGAAATTACAATAAAAAAGATAATGACATACTGTTTAATATCAATTTCTCATCGTAACAAATACAGAGTAATCAGTTGATGATCAGATTATCACATTCAATCATTATCTTATACCTTTAAACGAGCAATTCTTGTATATTAATATATATGTATATAATCTGAATCTCGGAAACGGCTCTAACGATTTTCATAAAATTTAGTATACAGGGGATTTCGGGGGCGATAAATCGATCTAGCTACGATTTATTTTCAGAAAATGTTGTTTTATTCGTGTTTTCAATAATCAACTCTTCCCGACATCTATTGGCGAATAATAATACTATTTTTCTTAATTGAGGGCAACTAACCGTTTTAAAGACACAAGATGGAGTTATCAAAAAAAAACCGGTCATCGTCTAATTTTATTTTTATAATAAGTAGGTGAATTGTCATATTTGCGCCTATAACCCTAATAAAACTAGGAGAGGGTAACAATCCCGCCTATAGTGGAGGGGGACACATCGGTAGCACGCGGATACCTGTGCGGGGTCGGTGTGGTCCATGACGCTGCTGAGCTCGTTCCTCAGGTAGCTCAAGGCCTGGACCGTGGCCCCGGGCTGGGTGGCCATCTCCCGGTAGCAGGCTTCCCGCAGGATGGCGCGCGCCTCGCCCCACACTTGCTCCAGCGACGGCTGCACCAGCCTCAGCGACCACAGGTCGTCCAGCCGCAGGCGCGGGCTGCTCTGTATGCCGGGGTTGCCGCCGAACAGGTAATGTATCTATCAAAACCGTTTAACTAATGAATATCCTGGAATCTAATGCTTTATCCGTAATATGACCCGAGCCCCTGTCGCCGGAGCGGGTACATACATACATAAATATTTAACTTCAAATCGACTTATTGCGATCTTTGGCTTGTACGCCTGGCTGGTACATTAAGTAATGTGCGCAATTAAACAGTTATCAGGTCTCTTTTTACATAAAAAAAATAGTTTCTTAGTACTCCTCTTCCACAAGTGACTAGTGGACTCTTAGTAATTAAAAATATATCTTTTATTTGAATAATAAATAAACGTCATATTTGAATTGAACATAACTATGAAATTACTTTAATTACGATATAGATCGAGGAGGAGATCCTGAGGGCGCTCGCGGATGGGTCGGCTTTGCGCATAACCTCCAACGCCGCCATGCTGTGCGCGCCAGATTACTACGGGCTAGGTTTACAAAGAACTTGGCGTGACGCCAAAACGCTCAGTAACCTTGGTGTTAGGATCGTAGACCAGCTGGTGCGCGAACCGGGGGGTGGGGGCCCGCGAGGTGGGGGCGGGGCCGCCGGGCGCGGGCGCGGGGGCCGGGGGGGCGTGCGCGCGGTACAGGCAGCTCCACGTGCGCGTGCGCAGCGACAGCACCCACAGAGTGTTGTACACGCGCTTCTCCTTCTCCTTGCTCATGCCCTGCGGGAGGAATTCATAGATTATATCAACGTTCAGGACAAGGTAACACGAGTACGCGTGGAGGGTCACTCACGGACAGCACGAACATCTGGTCGGTGTCGGGGTCGAGCGTGGCGCGCTGCGTGAAGCCGGCGGCGGGGGGCGGCGCGGCACCGCAGCGGCACAAAGCGCCGCACGCCCCCGACCCCACCTCGTACCACCACAGGTCCAGCAGGTGCTCCTTGTTGCGCTGCCCCGCGAATATGTACAGGCGCCGCTGCACCTGCGCACACACGCTGACGTCATCCACCCATGCCACAAAACCATTTTTAAGTTTCGAGGTTTTTTTTATTGCTTAGATGGGAGGACGAGCTCACAGCCCACCTAGTGTTAAGTGGTTACTGGATGTCTGGAGCCCATAGACATCTATAACGTAAATGCGACATCCACTTTGAGATATGAGTTCTAAGGCCTCAGTATAGTTACAACGGCTGCCCCACCCTTCAAACCGAAATGCATTACTGCTTCACGGCAGCAACAGGCAGGGCGGCGGTACCTACACACGCGGACTCACAAGACGTCCTACCACCAGTAAAGTTTTCAACTATCAAAGCTAGTGGTCCGGCTCTCACCGGGTGGAACAGCATGGAGTGCGAGACCCTGGGCTGCGGGGCGTCCTCATCGTGCTTGTCGGCCAGCAGCAGCTGCCAGGTGCCGGTGGAGATGTAGTACGCGTACAGGCCCGAATACTGCGGGCTCACTACCTCCTCACTGTAACACAATTCCACCACACGGTGTTAATCAAGCGAGTGCTTCTCAAATGTGTTCAAGGTTTTTGTTTCCCGAGCGCTATGACATTTCCATCTTCATACGAGGGTTATATAGAGTATATATCATAGAGTACTTAACGGCAGGCAGCAGCTTGTTTCTGCCCCTGACGTTGCTGAAGTCCATGGGCGACGGTAGCCTCTCACCATCAGGTGAGCCATATGTTCGCATCGCGGATGAGTCCACGTTTAAAATAGTCCATATCATACTTTAAATAGCAATAATTTAAAGAACAACCAAACATAATAATAAAAAAGGTCACTCACCTCGTCGCAAACTACAGCGTGTGTAAAATTATGAAATGAAAAAATAATCCTGTGCCTAAACTACTGTGAATACATCGAATCACCTTTGCGTAAGCCCTTCGGATCAGAAGGTAAAGTAAACAATAAACATTTTAAATACCACCATGGCTCATGGTGCCATGAGACATGAGGTCTAAGTCTCAGTTCTGCTTCTCACCGTTTACGTAGGAGCGCATGGTAGTGGTATCTTCCCATGCGGTAAAGTATAAGACTACATACGTGTTGGCCGGCAGCACTCTCCCCCCGAACACGTATATGGTCTGCGTGTCGGCGTCGATGCACATCTGGTGGTCGAACACCAGCCGCGGCCCCCCCGCGCTCGCCGTGTCGCTGCACACCAGGTACCACTCGCCCGTCCACACGTCGTACATGTACAGGTCGCTCTGGGGGGAGAGGAGGGGAGTCATTATATCACACCAGGTACCACTTGCCCGTCCACACGTCGTACATGTACAAGTCGCTCTGGGGGGAGACGAGGGAGAGGCATTATATCACACCAGGTACCACTCGACTGTCCACAAGTCGTACATGTACAGGTCGCTCTGGGGGGAGAGGAGGGGGAGGCACCAAGTACCGGAGGGAAAGGCAAAATGCATATCCGAACTTTTCTTCGTCTGTAGGCGATCTCCAAAAATTCAAATAATTCATAATGACGCTTGATTGGCTGATGACGGCGTTGCAGCTGAGAGTAGGGAGGGTGGCGAGGGATCTAGTGCGTTTAGTAAGATAGTGTTGCGCTTGTTACATAAAAGTTAGGACTATACATTAACACGTGAAGCAAAAACATTGTACCCCCTTTTTACTCAAATTGATGAACGCAGATGAATTATAAAATTTCCCACACTAATACAGAATATACAGGAGTGCAGAATGTAATTTTTTTTTTAATTATGCATACATTAAATCAATAAAAAAAAACATTACACATACTACCATTATTTGACATATATAAGTATGCGTATTTGTTTATTGTCCAATTTTTCTTAGAATGTGGTCAAATTGAGAATAGAGTGAATATGGAACTTTTTGGCGAGAACGCGAGGAGTGAAGTTGTGTGATTTGTTTTATTTTGTCTATTTAGTGTTTCTTCAGGTTTAAATGTGTAATAATGGTGGTTTATTAACTGTTTAATATCTGTGAAAGTGTACAAATAAAATGAAACAAAGCCGCTGGACGTAACTTCACGGGATCCTCCAAAAAGTCAATTGAAAAAATCTCAGTAAAGGACCACCATTTTACTGAGATTATATTTCATCCCTATATCATCTCATCTCATTTCATTTCATTTCATTTCATCCCAGTTGATTAATCATCAAAGTCTCAAATTAATCATCTTCATTTCATTTCACTCCATATTATCATTTTTCATAAAAAATAAGAATATAAATTAAAATAAGATGTGACTTAAAGGTCTTAGTTACCAGGTCATAAAATCCCTTAAAAAAAAGATTAATATTTTTTGTCTTTATTAATATATTTGTCTAGATAGTGTTGTCTTGACGAAATCTTGGAATGAAGAAGTATAATAATCTTTGACAATAGAACCTTAATAATGTTCATACTTATAATTTCAATTAATTATAGTCGAATTTCGACTACTGCGGGACCACTAGGTTGCGTCACCGCCGTACTCACATTCATATTGCTGGGCACCCTCTGAGCGTTGTCCAGGTACCGTCCCAGGGTGTAGAGCCGTCTGTGCACGGGATCGAACACCATCTTGTGACAGGAGCGGGGCGTGGGGCCGCCGACGAGACTGCTGTGCCTGCAGAGCAGCGTCCAGCGCTCACCCTTGGTGCTGTAGGACCACAGGTCGTCCAGGTCCTCGGTCCCGTTCCAGCCACCAAACAGATAGAGGGTGCCTAGAGAGGGGACATTCAAATTCGAATATTGTATCAATACATATAAATAAAATTGGAGTTTCTGTTTGTAATATTGAAATAACCGCTTTTTACTACATGCGTATGAATGTATATATGGTACATACACCAAAATAACATTTTTTACAATTTTTGTCTGTCTGTCTGTTTGTTCCTGCTAATCTTTGGTACGTACGGCTGGACCGATTTTGACGAGACTTACTGATAGGTAGCTGATGATATAAGGAGTAACTTAGGCTACTTTTTTAGACAAGCTTCGCCCGGCGGCGTCACCCGCGGTACGACAATAACCGCGGGTAAAATCGCGGGACTCCGCTATCAATAATGTCATGTTTCCGAAGCGAAGCGAGGGCGGGTCGCTAGTCTATATATACATATATATAAATCTGCAGTGGCTTTTCGGGTGTTCCATTATAACTACTGAACCATGAATCCGATTGACTTGAAACTTGGTATCCATGTAGAAAATACATGTACTTAATGGATAGACTAATATTTATATGAGTGTTGGACTCCCTACACCAGTTGCGGGGGCGTTAATGATGTGAATCTTTGTGGGGGTGAGAAATAATAATGTTAATTTTAAATGTCCAGCGAAGCGGACGGGTACAGCTAGTACATAATAATTTCCTCACCCGTAGTAGAATCGACCACCAGCTGGTGTCCGCCCCTGGGGCCAGGCTTGTTGCAGCAGGCGGTGAGGCCGCAGGCCAGGTCACACGTCTCGAACAGCTCGTTGCTTACTGGTGCTGCACCCTGGTGTCGACAATTCAAGAAACGATTTTTTTTACACGCTTTATATTAGCTTCACTTGTATGTATGTTACAAACACACTGACGCCTTTAGACACGATTTTGACCCACTTTAAACGGCCAGATTTCCTTCAAACTTTGTAAATTTATCGAGGACCGATGACAATACACTAATTTGATAAGATTATTCCATTATTCAATTTGCAAAATAAGATTTTTGCTAATTTATATAATTTATATCTATAGTCGATAAGGCAGGAATTGATGTTAAAGTACTTAAGTTTTAAAAATAGGCTTTTATAGAAAATTTAGCTAAAAAATTAAAAATAAATTATTTATTTATTATTATTATTTATTTATGAAAATCGGAAAATCTCGGAGAAGGCTCCAACCGTCTCCGATTCAGATTATATATACAGTTAAACCTGGATAAGCGAGAGTTCAAGGGAGCACAATCTCATTCTCGCTTATAGAGGTTTCTCACTAACCCGAGTTTCTTCGCTAATGCACCCTCTTAATTTCATTTCGCGATTTTCCGGATTCAAACGCATTCACTATTTTAAGTTTATCACTTAATGACAGTACATTAATTTTCCGTTTTGACATGATGCAGAACAGAACTTTCCTTCGCAATTGATTAACGATAAAGTGACTAAGTCCGACAAACAGGACGGTACATAGGCAGCATACGTGTCCATTCGAAAAGAATACGATAAAATAACAATGTAATTTAGTTCCACGAAATAGAATAGGTTCAATATTGACGAGAAAACAATACAAAAACAATGTTAAGAAGTTCCACGAAAGCTAAGAATGGGTCATAAAATAGCAGATGTTAAATTTGTAATTTGTTTTGTCATTTGTTCCTCCTAAATAATATAAATAAATAAAGTTCGACTGTCGCTTATAGAGGTATAGATAAGTAGCAGTCTCACTTACGGAGGTCCATGAGAGAAAAACGACTCTCTCTTACAGAGGATTCTGTTTCTCGCTAATAGAGGTTTTGGGAGCTTAAAATGACGGGTCCTGGCTATTACTCTCACTCATAGAGTTTTCTCACTTACGCAGGTTTGACTGTATATACATATATATACAAGAATTGCTCGTTTAAAGGTATAAGATAAGTTGAGGGCGAGTCAAGTAGCGCGACTTACGGCGGCGTCGGGCCTGGGCTCGCGGTCGGCGCACAACAAGTCGTGCGGGGCGGCGGGGGGCCCGGCCACGTGCGCGTCCCCGCTGCGCAGCCGCTCCTCCACCTGCGCCGAGCACGCCGACATCTCGCGCCACTCCGGCCGGTACGGCTGCCACGACATGTACCACTCTAACTCGCCATCTGCACCGACGACACGAATATTTTTATTGAAGTGAAAACTTCTTTAGAATCGTTGTGATTTCAAACCGGATGCAACGGAAAAAACGACAGGTAAGAGACACAAATACAAAAATGTGTAGGATGAAGCCAGCAAAGAATGAGACAGAAATATACATACTATTTAATACAGCGCCATCTGTGAGATTTTTTAATACTAACGTGTGTATGCTCTTGTAGTGAATTTTAATTTAGGATTATACGTGAAATTAAAATATCAATTCACAGAGGGCGCTACCTTACAGTTATTTACTAATGACAAAATTTTACATATACTTAAGACGTTTAGGATAATTGTATTTTAATTTTGGAAGGTTTCACTTCTACCACGTGTGAATTGCACACATGTTTTTTTTTCTTTACTTTTTAGAATGCTTATATAAAAGCGGCTCTAAATAAAATAATAAAATGTTCTATGTCATGTAGCCTAAGTTACTCCTTATATCATCAGCTACCTATCAGTGAAAGTCTCGTCGAAATCGATCCAGCCATTCCAGAGATTAGCCGGAACAAACTGACAGATAGACAGACAGACAACAATTGTAAAGAATGCTATTTTGGTGTATGTACCGTACCGCATATATAAAAAGCGGTTATTTCAATATTACAAACAGACAGTCCAATTTTATTTATAATATGTATAGATGTACAATCTGTTTACTTATGGCGGGGGTCATGGCCTCCCTGAATTTTTTAGCGGCGCATGCGCGTGACGGAACTAAAGGTTTCGCCACAACTTCCTTTTCAAACGGAATGAAAGAAAAGGACTATTTTCTTCCGATTCAGCTAGACGGGGCATTGATAAAGGCACAGAGAACAGAGGTATAGAGTAACAATGTTTTTAATTATCTGTGAAGACCTTAATGTACATTAATTTAACAACAGTATTGCCTGGACGATGCGTGTACAACGAATCACTTATACTTTTTTTTTAGGCGATGTCCTAATTACTTTACTTTCCCTAATATATAGTAACAAGACGGACAGAACATTGTTTAGTACTTGATAAACCAGGCCTAGTTTTTCGAGTTGGGTTCTTATTATAATAATCTGGACTTTTCAACAATGTTCCGATATTTATACATACATCTTTGGACATTTATTTAAAGTCAGATAACTCTAGAGTTTCTTGCACAACATTTTAAAAGCCCTCGAAGGCCTAGGTGAATAAAAACTTTTTGATTTTGTTTTTTTTTAAATTATGAATTTCATATCTCACCATTAACGGCTTGTTCGAAAATTTTCTCGGCCGCCTGATAGTCACCATTCTCGACTAAAGCGTTCCAGAGTTTAGTCTGTGTTGGCCCTTCGAGCTGCACTCCGCTTTCTCTAGACAAAGCTTCGAAAGCATCCTTGTAGCGTCTCCGCCTCAAGTGTTTTAGTAACAATCGCACTGCTTCTTCTTCTTTACGCTGTAAATTATGATATACAATATGTGTTCATTTCAAATGGCAAGTTAACGCATTTTTAAAACACGTTAAAAAAAATTATAAACCTACCAAATAAATTGTCTCCAGTGCCTCATTGAGAAGTTCTGCCTGATTTTTGCCATGTAACTCTATGTACCATATGGTATAATTGTAGGGAGGGCCCCACGACTGTAGTGGGACAATCTTTAGGTATTCAACAGGGAAGTAAAATCCTTCCTGTGTCCTGTGCCTCAATCTGAATGTTTCCGGTGTACTGTCTTTCTTCAAGCCACTGTGAATAATTACAAATTTCATTTCTAGTATAAATAAATAAATAAATATAAATATTTATTAACAATCACGCCACGTTAACTGGTCCCGTGATAAGTTCGTAAAGAACTTGTGTTACAGGTACCAGCTAACGGAAATAAATGTAAGATTTTTATTATACACATACATATACTTTATATACACCCATAACCCTGGAAAGACATTTATATTTATCATACAAATATCTTCCCTTGGCGGGATTCGAACCCGCGACCCCCTTGTGCAGTGACCATGTCACTTACCACTACACCAGACGGCCGTTATGTATGTTTCAGAGTATTTCAAATGGAGATCAAATAACGGGAGCATAGCCCAATAATAAGCCTGGTGCAAACAGCATTCACTCAAAGACTCAGGATGAAAATTCCATTCAGTAAATATTGAGAATTGCTATGAGCGCAAATTGTTACACCACAAGTTAACCAGCTTCATCATAGTCAGTTGCTCTTGACAGAGCAATCTTGGTTATGTGGATCCTTGTTCATTATAGTCTTGACAGCTTGAGGCTTATTATTATTATTATTATATATTATTACAATTGCTAACTTATACTTGAGTCGACTAATATCAAAGCCGGCAATGTGACTTTTGGACAATTACTGGTAAATCAGAAAAACGAATTATTGACTTTGTATTCCATTGGCAGTCACAAAACTCTTCTGAACGACATCTTAGATAAATAACAGGTTAAGTATTAATCTTTATTTAATGCAGGTTTTGAACCGTATTCTTTGAAGGAGACAATTATATTCAAATCAATCTGTATTGACATATNTATTCCATTGGCAGTCACAAAACTCTTCTGAACGACATCTTAGATAAATAACAGGTTAAGTATTAATCTTTATTTAATGCAGGTTTTGAACCGTATTCTTTGAAGGAGACAATTATATTCAAATCAATCTGTATTGACATATCAATAACATTTTTTTGTCCAAATGCACAGATTGCCACCTTTGATAATAGACGACTCACTTGTGAAAAAAACCATCAAGATATAAAACGTTAGAAAGTGTTTTCTCAATATGCCTGAAAGTGTTTGTGTTATTATAACTGTATATACGTCAAGTCCAATTTACAACAAATTACTTAGTCTTGCTTAATTAATTATTACAAAATGAAAATAGCTTATTATCCTATACAAACAAGCCAACAACTCACGCAGTCAACAGCAGAGACATATTGCTATCTTCTGTTCCACCATAGACCTGAAACTTTTTGAGATCACTAACGAGTGCCTTGATATATTTTCCGAATTTGATTGTTTCAACTATAGAGGGAGAGTCCAGTTTTATAACTATGAATTGTGGTGAAACGCAGCAGTCTGTGAACCACCTTGACAATGGATCTGATGGTTGATTCACTATGATGTTCCTGAAAAAGAAAAATTTGAATTTTATAAGATGTATGGGCAGCTCGATACCTTAACTGCTACATTAGATTACTTCTGCTCCATTCAGCAACTTCTAATCATTCTACCTAACTATTTGAGTAGTACTATTAAACAAAGAAGTTTTATTGTATCTACAGTTGAACCAGCTCAAGAATCTACGGGTATTAAGTGATTACATTATCACAAAGTGAATATTGCCTTAAGACTTAAGGTATATTTCTTAAGTGTCCATTAACTATGCATATTACAATTCTTGAAGGTATGAATGTTATTACACAATGTTATTCCTTCATCAATACAGCCATTCATGTGTTAGGTACGTAGTACTGAATTCCTGAAATGCTCATTTATTTCTTATTAATTCTTCACAAATTAATTTTGCTTAAAACTTTTTCATATTGTTTATGGAATATTCAGATTTGAAGTAAATAACTATTATTTTCTGTAAGTGAGTTTTGGTGTGACTTTCAATACTAAATTGTTCAATAATGTGCCTTCTAGAATATAGTTCATCAATAATTGTTAAACACCAGATCCAGATCATGCTACACAATAATAACAGAAAATAGATTGCTTAGCACAAAGTGGCAGATTTCCCCGATTGATTAGCTAAATGTTGAGTGGTTACTTGAGCCCACAAGCAACATAATTCAAACGCCACCATCTTTAGACTTGAGGTTTTTATCGCAATAACTATTATTACAATTTATGTTGGTTTGATTTTTAGTTCTGTTATTACTTAGATGCTTAGATACGGTATGATAATATCGCTCAGATGATAGCAAGGTGAGCATCTGGCCCATCTATTGAGAAGTTGAGAAGGCTCATGACAAGTGTCATCACTCATCTTGAGACAATTGTGTGCTACAAAATAACTGTATATTCAATACAGAATGTGACTTGGTACTTTATTCTGTTCTCTCAACATAATTAAAGCTACCTACTTATGAGGTTTAAACTCGTTTTTATTATTTTTCATTTTATTATTTCAGTCATTTTGAATACTTTACATACAATGACCCTGACCATGAGACTACAAAATATTGAATTATAATTAGTTTTAATTAGTATGTGACTCCCTCAACTTAAGTCAACCAACAATCTTTGTTCAATTAATATAATAAAAGTTATAAAGCTGTATAATTGATTATTTCATTTGCATAAAAAATTGAACATATCTAACGTACACAATTCAATGCATTCTTGCATCATCCAAAGGCAGACAAATAAATCAGTAAATTTGTAAACGTCCTCCAAATGACAATATAATAATTGATGTTAATGTATGTGTGTATAAAGTGTGCACTGTGTACAGCTATGTTTTGTTAAAACAATTCTTTCTGATTATTCAATTTAAAACTGGGCAGAGATGAAGCCCAAGATTGTAAAAGTTTTTATTGGAACAAATATAATTAAGTGTATCAATATTTATTTTATTTATTTATTAAATTGCATCAACAAAGTGATCATCAATACAAAACATTGAACAATTGACAAAAGTTCATAACAGATGTCACCTCAATTATAGGTACAATTGACAGTTCATTAACTACAAAAATATAAAAAATAAAAAAAGATTTGATTACATTTGATTGATTGCTTAAGATTAATTTATATTTAATTGGGAAATGATCCGTGACAGATTTTTCCTGTAAGATATTATTACGGTTTTTTTTAATTCGGTCTTTTTATTTGTTTCTGAGATGAGTTGACGCACTCACGGCCCATTTTGTGTTAAGAAATTACTAGAACCCATAAACATCAACAACATAAATGCAGCCACCCACCTTGAGACATGAATTTTAAGGTTTTAGTTATAAAATTGCAATGGTTGCTCCACCCTTGAAAATAGAAACACATTACTGCTTCCACCACCAGTAATTATACAATATATATACTTATATATATATTTTTTAAGAAATGCTTAATGTAAAATTCACAAGTAGATCACTATTCTGCATACTTTTTTATTGGTTAAATAGGTGAACAATCTCACAGCCCTCCCGGTATGAGCCCATAGACATATCTATATGAATGCCACCACCCAACTTGAGGTCTAACTCAGTTGTATAACATAATCTTATTTCTGGTCTAAAGTTGTGTTTACTGATCCAAACACTGAGATGCCTAGTACACAAAAAGATTGTAACTTAAAAAAGGATATCTCAAGGACAATGGTATTTACAATCTGATGTCTGATCAGATGTCAGATCCTGTAAGTGCTTAACTGTATTTTATTAATTTAAAGACTTTTTTTCCTCTAAAACAAAACTTGTGTGTGGATTATTAACGAAATAGATATGGTGTGTTAAGTATCTAATAATCATAATTTTTATTTTACTTTACAATGTCTATCATGATATTTTTTTTATATTTTATAACTGCACATTTTTTACTCAGACATTTATGTGTACTGTAACAAATATAAAATTTCAATAATTTTAAAATATCTTATAGTGTTTGTAGTTCCACATATTTTGACAAAGTGAAAAATCATACTTCCTATCTTTTAATTTGGAATAACGATTATGAAATATTCAGTTACAGATGGTTTGTTAGAGCCAGATAAGCTTAATATGAAAATAACACGAGAAGAAGGCAAATAAACGGACGTACCTGTAGGACTAAAAATACCACGCGAAATTTTGCTTTCATGATGCATTGCAATTTTATAGTATAATGTAAGGAACGATTTATATGACGCAAAAACACAATATTATTATAAAAAAATTGTGGGAAAAAAACTTGAAAATACCGAATCAGCCTTCTCAAATTAGTCTTAATGAAAAATTTAAACTTACTCTGGAACATAGCCCGAGGAATGGCTCGAGCATTTGTGTATAGAGTACGAAAGCTGCACAGTCTCGTATTTATCTTCCATATTTATGTAATTACTGGATGCACACCAGGTACAAATTTTGTTGTCCTTTTTTTAAAGCAACTAAAAACAATAATCACACAGCACTACGAGTGCTCAACTGACTTTGACACAATGAAGATCATAGATTATACACTTAATATATTCGAGATGAAGATTGTATTTTTTACTGTGATTTTTTCTCAGTTTATGGCCTGGTATCTAAACCTTTAGGTCAAACTGAAGATTGTATTTATTAAAGGGATTTTATGACCTGGTAACTTAGACCTTAAAGTCATATATTATTTTAATTTATATTTCTTATTTTTATGAAAAATTCTAATATGGAGTGAAATGAAGAATGAAGATTGTATGAAATTATCAGTGCGGCCACTCTAAAAAATGGTAATCTACTAAAACTACAAGACGAATGTATATCTAACACATTTGTGGTCACGAAAGAAATGTATATATTTATGTTTCATTTTAAACTCGATTATAAAAATTGTCATTAAAGCAATTCCCACTAGTCTATCACACTATGGTAACGAAAAGAATGAAAATTAAATATGTAGTTACAATCCATTCGATGAAAGGAGGAATATACCCCGAATTTATCCGATATGCCAAAAAACTATTATCCGATATAAATAGTTTTTACATGCTAAATTCTGTCGCCGGTACCCACAACTTATTATTTATTCATAGCCTGTACCTCAAAATCTCCCAAAAAAGTAAAAATCTACTAATCCTAGTCACGCTGCTGCCGAGGTTTTCCCGACTCCACATGACTTTTAATTGTTGCGATTCTGCTCAGAGATGTTGCTCCACAAGCTTAACACTATGCATTCTCACTATTTTTATCTTTTGTCAACCATGACGAAAATTCACGATTTTTTCCCACTCAGACCTATATTTCTGATCGTACCTGCATTTCGTTATCTTCACTACACACGCACAATAATACAGATATAAATGTAGAACGAAAAAATCCGTGGTCCCCTGTATAAGTACTTATTGCTAGAAATCTTTTTTTAAGTTTCAGTAGGTAATCTAGGTAATTCCCCGTGACGTAGAGCATGTAACGTAGATATTAATAATATGTAGCTAAAGCACGATTCGCCGTTTTGTTAGCATTAACCGTTCGAAAGAGACAAAATTATACAATTGCGGTAAGCATCAGACAAAGACAAAATTATGTGAACGACATACGATAGAATAGAAATTAGTGTTGCCTGCCCAACTCAAAAATATATCAATAGTGTGTTTAAAAATGTTAAAAGTTAAAAATATACCAAAAATTACCAGAATATGAGAGGATACAAAAAAAAAACGAATTTTACGGAGCCCAAATTATTCCAATTTGGTATTGAATATACTAAAAACAGTCACATTGGAAATGATCCTTTACCACCGAAGTGAGCGCTAACACATTTGGAGTTTTGAGATTTATGGCGCGATAACGAGACCTTTTGACCATTCACAACGCTTTTCAACGAACCAGTTACAGCGTAGTTAGCTTTTAAACGAGCATAAAGCATAATTTTTTTTAAAAGTGAACAATCTTCTTGAAGTGAGACGTATTATTGAAATGCAAATTATTTTTAAATGAATTAATACAGTAAATTATTAAATACAAAAACTGCTTTCCTTCTATCAAGCATCATGCGTATATAGCCCGTTTATTTTACACTGTACAAAATTAAATTTTAATATATCAGTTGTAAATATTTTAAATAAATATTTTATTTCTATATCAATTTAAGGTATAAGCTATGAATTAAATAGTAGAGCTGCAAAATATATCACCGAAAGCAAAAAAAGATATTACGAATATTATAAAAAGATAAGAAGTATATACATACATATATATGTCGGAGAAGCCACAATTACTAACACACATCATAGGGGCGAATAGGGTGATCGAGCTAAGAGAAACATTGAGTACGCCAATCACGCCTGCCGTCTTAGAACAATTTAAGAATCTTCTCATAACGTCAGCAAATGAAAACTAATGACAGTTCTTAGGACGGAGGCACATATTCATACTTCAGTGCGGAGGCAGTGGAGGCACCGCTCTTCAAGAAGTCTGGTTGGTAAGAGTGATGGCGTCTACGCTTTGTCGTAGCACAAAGTTGGCCGAGTTCCGACGATACTGCAATCGTAAGAAATAAATGACGATGAATTAGAAGGTTCTCCGGAAAATTTATGCAATAAAAATCAAAATACAGAAAAATAATACAGTATGGAAAGCATTTTTGTACTTAACAACCGAACACATACGCTAGGTAGTATGTAGACTAGTACCAGCAACTAATACTAGTCGCCATAGACTATTCACTCATATAGAAGATTGACCTATAATGACCTTAAAGAATATACACTCAATTGACCCACAGTCCACATTGACCATCAAAACGACTACTATTTGGTGATTAACATACTTTTGACATATGTTTTGTTTTTATTTCTTTTAGCCACTGTTTGTTTGGTTGTTTTTTTTCATTCTTTTAGCACCTCTAATTGTGACACATAAAGTTCGAAACTTATAATTCATATCATTAATAATGACTCCAAGTTTCAATATAATTCTTGTTATCTTACAAGTGATTTTGTTTACTTTCCAAATTACTAATGGCAATGAGTGTAAAATGAACTTCCTTACTTCTAAAGATATTTTAAAGAAATTAACAAGTAATATTGTTCCAACACTCAATGGAAAATCAAAAGGCGATCTTGGTAGAATAGGAATAATAGGAGGGTCAGTTGAATATACAGGGGCTCCGTACTTCTCAGCCATTGCTGCTTTCAAGGTAAGTTTGATTAATAATAAAAATAAAGATTTTTGGATCTTGCTGTAGGTTCCATATAAATTTTTTTGTTAGTAAAATAGCTCATTTTTTATTTGAATTGGGTTATTCTGAGTTCTTAGTTAAATGTCACTAAACAAAAAAGAAATGTACGTAATGCGGTTATACTACCTGGAGCCACTGCGGTCATCCACAGTGCGTTTCCAGAGATCTTTTTTGCCACGTACCATCCGGCTATGGAATGAGCTCCCCTCCACGGTGTTTCCCGAGCGCTATGACATGTCCTTCTTCAAACGAGGCTTGTGGAGAGTATTAAGCGGTAGGCAGCGGCTTGGCTCTGCCCCTGGCATTGCTGAAGTCCACGGGCGACGGTAACCACTCACCATCAGGTATGGAGGCCGTATGCTCGTCTGCCTTCAAGGGCAATAAAAAAAAACTATATTGTCCTTCTGATGGTAAGTGGTCACCGTTGGATATCAGAAGTGCCACAGTCAAACCCCTGCCTGCCGATTTGGACTCTCCTCAAACCTCGTTTGTCACAGCGCTCAGAAAAAAACCGTGGATACTTCATTTCTGAATCTGATGGTGAATAGCAGTTCCAGGTGGTACAGCTGTATTCTGCTCCTGTGCGACGATGCCATAGTCAAAAAGAAATTTAGATATTAAGATGCGCATGCTTAAAATCACAAAAAAATAATAATAATCTAACACTATCATGTAGTACCTAAAGACTTTAATTCACAGGCAGGAGCGGATATAGTTTACGTAATTACTACTGAAGACGCAGCGCCAGTTATTAAAATTTACAGTCCTGATCTCATAGTCTATCCATTTCTAAACAAAAAGTATGCATCGAAAATAAGTTCTCTATTACCTAAAATGGACGCGATCGTTATTGGACCGGGCTTAGGAAGAGAAGATGAAACAATGAAACTAACGTATGACATAATAGAAAGCTGTAAAGTATTGGAGAAGCCCATAATCATCGACGCCGATGGCTTATACGCTATTTCAAAAAACATATCCATTATTCAGGATTATCCAAAGGCAGGCGCCATTTTGACACCGAACGGACGCGAATCGAAGAAGTTGATGGAATCGATAAATTCGAATGGATCTAATTGGTTCAACTATTGGGGGGAAAACGTTTCGGTTTTAGAAAAAGGCGAAACTGATAAATTTCATTCAAGAGTACCATCGTACAACTGGGCTTCGTCGGAAGGTGGCTCGGATAGACGCGTTGGCGGTCAAGGAGACTTCCTATCAGGCTCGCTGGCTACATTTTATCATTGGGCGTTAACAAGCGATGTGTGCCAAGGCGAACAACACGGACAAATTTCACAAAGCTTGGCGAGCTACGCCGCAGCCCGACTAGTCAGAACTTGTAATTCTCAAGCATTCGAAAAATACGGAAGAAGCATGATGGCTTCTGATATGATTAAAGAAATTCATTCGGCATACAAAAAAGTGTTTGAAGATTAGTTATTGAGAATAAGGCCGCTACTTTGGATTCTGAATATGGAATTAATTTGTATTTATCTTAAATTTGCCCTTTTAAAGTTTTTTTTTGTTTTACATCTTTTTCGTGGCCATTTCCTATTGATAATTATATATTAGTTTATAGCCTATGCCAATAAGTGACGACGTGATACAAATTGGAGAATATTATTTTATGTTTGAGACTATTTATCAAATCCCTATTTTTGTGAAAGAGTTAAATAAATAATGTAGTGACTGTGATGTGTTATTTTAATTCTTTGACAATACATTTACCTTATATCAATTTAATTTGAAGTCTTTAGTTTATTTTAACATAAGTGAACTTGGAACACTTTGAACTACGGTTCTGTATCGTATGATAATTGAATGGATTAAAAATATGAAATGCCTACATTTTTAAGACACGGTATAAATATGGCGTGACATAAAAAAGGGTGCGTGTACTTATGTACGCGCGTAAGAAGTTATACTTTATTTTAATTTTTTTTTTTTTTTTATTTAAATTTTAATCAATTTGAAAAAAAACCGATTAAACAACATCCCCAAACACGCATATTGGACATCCCTTTTCTTGACATCGTATAAATTCGGTAATTCTCGGTACGGTTCAGAAAGTTCACCTGCGGCTATCCTCAGACTCTCCAAGTTACGTCTGTCGTATTGAATCGTAATGAGCGATTTAGTGGGCAACTTCATTCTGATAATTTTGTGTCACGGTGCGCGCGAATCGAAAAATTTTACTCTCATCAATTTTTCATAACGCGCCTAAAGAAGTATAACTTCAAAAACGCAACCGACGGAAATGAATGATTTTCCGAGAAATTTCAGTATATTATCTATGCCGAGAAAAGAGAACAATCCTAAATACCTAGTTGATCTGAGAACACATCGATCTGAGACCGCTTTATCGTGACAGATTCCAATAATCAAATTTACAATATTAAAATAAACTTTACAATATGTAATTATGTTACTTTTTTATAGATATTTTTCAAATTGTAATTATACGCTTTAAGACAGCTTCCTCAAAGCGTCACTTATTTCATGTTTGAGCCCACATCTTTTTTCTGGTACGCAAGTCATGCGAATAATTGTCTTAATATCCACAATACTAGTAATAGGCACTCGAGAGCTCCTTCATGAACCAAACTAAAAACGCTAATATGTGAAAATTTTAGTTCTCTTTTTACATGTAGATTGTCACCTAATAACATGGTAATAGTAGTGCTGTACGCTGTAAATCTTAGCCTACACTGGCTTGTTTGTCATTAGCGTGAATTATGTAGGAGTTCACAGGGCTCATCTTTAATCACCAAGCAGGTCAAGAGCGAATATTTACGTAAAAAGATATGAAATACAATTCGAAACAAAGCTGTCTGTCTTTTAATATAAACAACATTGTTATGACAAAAAAATGCATTGTGCTTTAAAATAATTTACGTACATATATCCTATCCTATACATCCTGCGTTTTTCCTGCCACTACCATGTGTTTAAACTTAAAAAAAGGCAATAAACCACAATAAACCCTTTTCAGCGACATCGTGAGTAATCGTGACAGTGTTCACATGAGGAAAAAAAATATTTTGAGTATTATATAAATAACCAAATGAAACCAATGAAATAAATTTAAGTTTCGAATATTTCATAGTTATTCATTGATTATTACATGGCACAATTTAAGATCAATTGTCGGAAATTTATCTCGCAAGAATTTACGAACAAAAACCTCAAATATCAATAGGATTAACATTAGGACTTTCGTTGACCTTCCTGTGTGTTCATAGATTATACTCTAATTGAACAAGTATTTGTTCTGTGGTCCTGGATTCAACTTTTATCATCACGGAATTCAAATTTATGGGTTTTTTGTTTTATGTTCTACTCAATCTCATTCACATTTGTTTTGACAATTTTGACATAGTCATAGATTATACACTTAATATATACGAGAGACATAGTTTTTTTAAAGGTGATCACATAAAGTGTGAAAGAGTAATTAAGAGTATCTACATACCTAACAATAACAGCGATAGATAATACAATTTCCCTGCGCTGATTAGCTACAATATTTTTTGTCAAGGCCGATAATAGTTCTAAACAGTGAGTGATGATATAATAATAAATACTGAAAATGGAAGAGGAAATTGAAGACTGCATAAGAAAGAAAATACACTGGGCACAGTTACCTCAAACTGTGAGAAAGGTATATTTTCGATGTATATTATTTACGTTTTTTAATAAAAGATAGCTATGAAGCTGTTTTGTCGCATGTCTCATAAATTATATTGTTGTGATGGCCATCGAATTTTGCATTAAGTTATCTTCATGTTATCTCAACGTATCAGATAGGAGTTTGGAAATGAACTAAGCACCAGAAACAGTTTTGAACAGAGCTCACTACCTTGAGTAATGCTAACTTAATTTGTATTATGTATACAACACATTCTTTAAGAATAGCACCAAAAGAACAGCTTTAAAAAGGAGTACTACAACTTATTTGATTTGTATATTGTTTGAACTTATCCAAGTGTGACCCACTTATGCATGTGTGTATAAATAATATTTATTTTGGACAAATAAAGAAATAAATTCATATTTTTGACATGTTATTATAAAAAAACTGATCATGTTCATCCAATGTCATCATATGTGTTATGGCAATTTGAATTTTAATAGACACAAAGTCATTTGGCAATGCATTATGGGGATTCAAGTTAAGTTTAATATTGTGTCGTAAGGTGGTCATTAGAATCTTTAAATATTAAACACCTATAAATATTAAAATGTTTTCTGTTATCTTTTAGAACTCAAAATTATAAAAAGCTAATCTTTATTCATTTACATGCTTTTGAAACATATCATGCCCAGGCTGTTAAACAAATTAGTTGTATAAATAAACAGTCACAAATTTTAGAATAGTATCTCGGACTTAAACTTTCTACTGTATTTCAGCTACTAGGCGACTCTCCGAAGGAATACGATAGACACATTTTTGAATTCAGTATAAAAAACCAATTGAGATATAGAGGCAGTCTCGGTAAGTATTTTCGGAGCAAATTTTTTAAATTATGTAAATGTATAATTTGTCATATACATTCAAATTAAGGAATTAAGTATATATTATAGTATTTTCTTTGGATTTCCTGAGTTGTACACATTATTAAAACTGTTTCTTGCCTCTGTTTATTGCCATTGTATTCTTTTTGATCTTTCAAATACTTAACAGTTATTGTGGTCATGAGTTTCAGGTGATTTTTAGATTTTTTGTACTTAGTGGAGATTCCAAAATTTAATAAAGGATAATTTGTTATGCGTGATTAATGTATATTTTTAATAATGTTAGTTATCTTTGCTGGTTAAACTTCATGTATATAGTTATTGTTTATTTCAAAAGATTAACATATGAGTCGACTATTATCAAAGACGGCAATCTGACTTTTGGACAATGATTGGTAAATCAGAAAAACGAATTATTGACTTTGTATTCCATTGGCAGTCACAAAACTCTTCGGAACGACATCTTAGATAAATAACAGGTTAACTATTAACCTTTATTTAANCAATCTGACTTTTGGACAATGATTGGTAAATCAGAAAAACGAATTATTGACTTTGTATTCCATTGGCAGTCACAAAACTCTTCGGAACGACATCTTAGATAAATAACAGGTTAACTATTAACCTTTATTTAATGCAGGTTTTGAACCGTATTCTTTGAAGGAGACGATTATATTCAAATCAATCTGTATTGACATATCACTAAATTTTTTTTGTCCAAATGCACAGATTGCCACCTTTGATAATAGACGACTCATATATCACACACTTCCCGCTTTACAGTTAGAACGGTTAAGAAAGATGAGAAGAAATACTATGAGGTTCTTGTGCAAAACAGCATACAGAAGCTCATGCTCTACCCCTATCACTTAGCTGATATGATCGTTAAAGGTATGTAAAAAAGTATGTTGTATAGAAAAGGAGCTATTCCCAAAACTGAAAGGGCCACTAATAAATAATTCTCTTCAAATCTGGAAAATGATAAAACAAGTTAAGTTCAGATATAGAGAAAAGGTCATTTTGCACAGTATAGTTCATTTTGGTGCTCTTGCCTACAAGTCCTCTACAAAGAGCATGCAATTTTATAGAGAACAGACCATCTGATATATACTGCAGTTCAGAGTTGAATTATTGTTTTTTACAGTCCACCATTAGTTACATAATTTTTGAGCAGCTAAAAGATACATATATCTTGTTGAGTTTGAGAGAAAGGCATTGAACATGATGCAATAAACACTATGCCTTCTACAAAACCATATTTTTCTCAATTTATTGCATTTCTGGTTAATCTTATCTACAGAAATTTTATGATATTAACATATGACTGTAATTCATTATAGAAAGATAACAATAATAAAAAGTAATTAGATTGAGTTATACAGCAAATTGGTTTACTAATATGATTAATGAGACCTGTAGAAAATGATGTTGTATGTTCATAAAAAATCACCGTACTGGTTATTTCTGCCTTAAAGGAATTATTCATTCTGGTCTAAAATGTTTGGCAGTCATTGTTCTAAAAAAAAAAAGAGACTTCAATCTCATTTCTCTGGCTCTATCTCATTTCCTGCTTCCATTTTATATGTCAGTACTGGCAAATGTATGTGTCCACATAAAATCAGGTGATTAGTTTTTTTTATTTTTTTTATTGCTTAGATGAGTAGACGAGCTCACAGCCCACCTGGTGTTAAGTGGTTACTGGAGCCCATAGACATCCACAACGTAAATGCGCCACCCACCTTGAGATGTAAGTTCTAAGGTCTCAGTATAGTTACAACGGCTGCCCCACCCTTCAAACCGAAACGCATTACTGCTTCACGGCAGAAATAGGCAGGGCGGTGATACCCACCCGCGCGGACTCATAAGAGGTCCTACCACCAGTAATTACCCAAATTATAATTTAATATGGTAATCTTAGTTTAAGTACAAATGATTAATTTTAATGAATGATTTGTTCTTTTAGGATTAAGGATAACCCCATTTATTTATTATGTAGAAGTGGTGGCACTTCTGATTGAGTTGGAGAAAAGCTACGATACAATGCCTAATTTTACAGCAGCTGATTGTGAGTAATTTATTGTTCTTAAAATGTATAAAAAATGATCCAAATGCTGTGCAAGTGCACTGTTGTCCTAAATTTTAGCAGGAACATGAAGACTGATACTGTTTATTTTGTATGGAACGTGTGATAAAGGCCGATTGTGAATAGTATTTATTTTTAACCAAGTGTGGGGCAACAGGATAATGCTCCGAAAGATGTGTGTGATGTGTATTTGCATCTGGGAAAGATCCTCGGTAAAATTAGTAGTTCCTTAAAGTAATTTAATAAATTTAATAGGGGTGTTCTGAGAGCCATGCTTTGAAATGGAAGAGTACTATATAATATCAACTAAAACTAATTTTTGAAAAATTAATAGAATTTAACATAAAGTTTTTGAACTACTGCTACCTACCGGCTATTGTAATACTAATTATTTCAGGTCTCCGCCTATTAGGCATAGGTCGTAATGAATATCTGGAATTAGTAGCTAAAGCCAGGTCACTGGGCCGCCGAGGCAGATCAAAAGCTATTCGTTCTTTACTGCCACGAGTACCACAGAACATTCCGATGCAGCCGTGGTGGAGAATCGAACTGGGCTACGTACTGGAGGAAGACGTTAAGGTAAATATTGATACAGGGTGTATTCATAGATTTTTACAAATTAATATAAAGTGTTTTTTAAGCATGTGTTTAAGTTTGATTTTTATGCATTTAAATGTGGAACCTCCGTGATCAGAGTAGACATTACCCTTAATAATGCTAGATGTTGTTGATGTATGCACACTTGGTCCCGCAACTTTGCACCTTATTACTAAGGGATAAAAATTTTAATTGCTTAAAAATATATCTACTCGATCTCGGTACTTCACAACTGTCCGGCGTCTCATTGTTTATTGATTCAATAGTTCGATTTATACGCTTTTTTTAAAGCTGTATAGAAAACACTGCTTCGCAATAGCTTCTCTTAGTTTGGAAGACGACAATTTTTTTAAGATCCGCTTAATAATAAACGCTTTTTTTTTACTGGTGTCTTAACCATTAGGCCAGATGGAAAATAACTTAGCTAATGCTTCTCTTAAATTTTGGTATTTGTAAATTCTTACTTATACCGTGAGGGTATAGGAAAAATACCTTTTTTCCCTACATTTCCTTTGCTAGCCTAAGGGGAAAGAAAATGCCTCGATACTGCACTGGCAACACCGCGCTTAAGTGTAAGATTTATTGTTTATACAATCTGAAATCGTCTCCGTTGTCTATGGGCTTCAGTAACCACATAACACCAGGTGGGCTGTGAGCTCGTCCATCCATCTAAGCAATAAATAAAAAATAAAAAAAAGTGGAAATATTGTCGTCTATCAAATTAACGAGGCTATGACTAAATACATTTCACTGCAATGATGTTAACACATTAGTTTGGATATTATACAGCTTGTTGTGTGTTTGCATGACAGCCGCTGAGTGAGAGTGAAGTGGCCGTCATTGACGTACTGATCGATCGAGGGTCACAGACTGCAGGTACACTCGACTATAACATCGTTAAGAGCCTGTACAGGTGAGTTCACAAGTTTTTTTTTTTTTTTTGTTATACAAGGAGGTTAAAGTTTGAAGTTTTTGTTATGTCAATGTTGGTTTTGGTTGTTTTTTTTTATAAATTTGTTTCTGTTTATGTGGCCTTTTCGTAGCAACGGACCTTAGCCGAATAAAATGTTCCTTTTGCAATTCATTTACGATTATTGTCTTATCATAAGCGCTCATATTGCGGATAATTAAAAGAAGTTACGACGCAGTTCCAGCTAGGGGCTTAGTTGTTAAAATTGATATTTTTTGTCCATGGAAATCAGCGATACGATGTTCACAGCTGACTTGAATAAATGTAATACTATATATGAAAATCGTATGTACTGTACTTAACTGATTCAATCTTCTCACTGTGGGACAGTGAGTCTTTACATATTACATAACCGCTATAGCTTGGGCATTAAAGTACTCATTTCTCGAAAATCTCATACTGTGTAGATAATAAGTTGAATATAAGCGTTCAAGTTCTGGTTAAGCTGGTTTTTGGTTAGGACTATATCTCTAAAGTTTCGGGCCACACCTAAATCTTGATGAAGATTTGATTGTGAAGTATTTGTGACGCAGAATAATTTTATCTTACATAGACCGGTAACAGAGCTGGTCCACTTGGTATTAAAGAGTCCATAAACATGGCAATGTGGACTCCGCAACCCATCTTGAAACACGATCTAAATCTGGGCTGTCCGGCCTAACAACTATTTCGTTTCTTTTTCCGGCCCGAAAGCCGAACTTCCTACGAGGGGCGGTATCCCCTAGGGGCCTAGGGGGCTCGCGGGGTATGTGGGGCTGGTCTGCGACTGGGAAACCGCGGGCCCAAGGATGTTTTCAGGGCCCTACCTACTAAACGACTCCCCTGCACTCTTCGCCCAAGCGTCCGATCCCCTCCGAGGTCAGAACCCGGATGAGATAGGAAGTTACCGCTGTCAATACTACAACCAGACGGCGCAGCTCACCACAAGGACGCCCGTCCGACGGGGTCTTCGAGGCGAATCGAAGGCTCTGAAACGTCGGCCGTCTCGGTACGGCAAAATTTGATGACCCTGAAAATCTGATGTCGTTCTCAGACGGGGTCTGGTGTACGTGGACGTGCCTATAACGGCGGCTGATAAGGTGTCCGTCCCTCCGTTGAAGGGCTTCGTCATGAACCGTGTGGCCGGGGACTACTTCGAGACCTTGCTGTACAAGGTGTTCGTTTCCATCGACGAGCACACCGGGGTCGGGGAACTTGCTGCCGTCCTCCAGGTCGGTAGGAGATGTACCTTGACACGCTTTTTTTTTACCGACAGACACCTACAACGTTAATACCGCCTTGAGATATGAGTTGTAAGGTCTCAGTTATTAGAGCACAACGGCTGCCCCATTCTTCAAACCGAAAGGCATTACTGCTTCACGGCAGAAATAGGCAGGGCGGTGGAACCTACCCGTACGGACTCACAAGAGGTCCTACCACCAGTAACTACGTAAATTATAATTTTCCGGGTTTGATTTTTATTACACCATTATTACACCTTCACCGTGAAAGTCAATCGTAAACATTTGTTAAGTACGTATTTCATTAGAAAAATTGGTACCCGCCTGCGGGATTCGAACACCGGTGCATCGCTATATACGAATGCACCGGACGTCTTATCCTTTAGGCCACGACGACTTCAATGTTATCCGATATCCGATAATCACTCGACACAAGATGGACTCTCAAATGATGAAGATGGATGAAACTTGTTTTAATCAAAGGTTGACTGCGAGCTGGTGAAGCAAGCGGTGTCGCTATACTGCCGGCTCGGGTTCGCGAACAACCTGCACCCCCCGCCCGTCTCCCCGCCGCACCCCTCCTGGAGCGACGCGGTCACGACGCACACCCATCCGCCGTGAGTGTGACTCAACGACGCACTAACATATTCTGTGCAAATTCAAGAAGAAAGCTCAAAATAAAAAACAAAAAAAGAATTTTTTTATTGCTTGATGTGTGGTTTTTTTTTTTTATTTTTTTTTTTATTGCTTAGATGGGTGGACGAGCTCACAGCCCACCTGGTTGATAAGTGGTTACTGGAGCCCATAGACATCTACAACGTAAATGCGCCACACACCTTGAGATATAGTTCTAAGGTCTCAGTATAGTCACAACGGCTGCCCCACCCTTCAAACCGAAACGCATTACTGCTTCACGGCAGAAATAGGCGGGGCGGTGGTACCTACCCGTGCGGACTCACAAGCGGTCCTAACACCAGTAATTACGCAAATTATAATTTTGCGGGTTTGATTTGTATTGCACGATGTTATTCCTTCACCGTGGAAGTCAATCGTGAACATTTGCTGAGTACGTATTTCATTAGAAAAATTGGTACCCGCCAGCGGGATTCGAACACCGGTGCATCGCTCGACACGAATGCACCGGACGTCTTATCCTTTAGGCCACGACGACTTCAAATTGATCTCACAGCCCACCTGATGTTAAGTGGTTACATTTATTTGGGAATTTTTTTACTTATTAGGGTAGGCAAGGGGATCTAAGCCCATACAGCCTTGTCTGTTTTATATAATTTCTGAACTAAATTTTCAAAAAAGCCGAAGCCAGTTCTTGTGTGATATATATTATATCCTGAAATAAAAATTTCATTAAGGCCGAAGCCAATTCCTCTATGCCCATAGACATCTACAAACGTAAATGCCGCCACCCACCTTGAGATATGAGTTCTAAGGTCTCAGTATAGTTAGTTACAAAGGCTGCCGCGCCGTAAATATCACGACACACTTGATATGTACTTGCAACTCACTGATGTGTCAGGACACGGTGGTTGAGAGCCGCTGGTTTAGCTAATGAAATGCAAAGTCACGTAAACTTGTTTCAATTCCATATATTCGTGTATTAAAAGAGATAACGCCATTAGAGTTTAATGTTATAATAACTATTCAACGATTTCAACTATTCTAATAATCGATGTAGATATGACTATTTTAAAGTCCTTTTTTTTTAAATTAATTATTTAATTATAATTTTATCCTTTACTAGTCGTACACGCCCGCTTCGCTGGGCATTTAAAATTAACATTATTATTTATTATCATTATTATTAGGGAGTCCAACACTCATATAAATATTAACCTATCCATTAAGTACATGTATTTTCTACATGGATACCAAGTTTCAAGTCAATCGGATGCATGGTTCAGTAGTTATAATGGAACATCCGTAAAAACCACTGTAGATTTATATATTAGTATAGTTTTTTTTTGTATATGGACGAGCATATTCTTTGCACAGGTACCGACAAATAACACCTCTGACCTTTGACCCGGGAGTCGATGAGGAAACCCTGCAAATGGAACCGGTGCTTCTGAAAGACGCCCCATCTACTTCCAAACAGGTGTGTGCTTTTAATTCGAAACGGCAAGGTCCGAACAACAAATACGTCCGAAAATACAAAAACCAACTTTATTGCTATTGTAATAAAGGTTATGTTTTTAATTAAAAATCGATCGTTTGGTCACTCACATCTGAGTTGAGTATTAGATTAGAAAGCTTGTAGGAAGAATTTGTGGAGAAGAATGAGGATCAAGATACTGCAATTACCTCATGAATCTGTCTCACTAGAATGCTTTCAAGATACAACCACAGCGCGCTGGCTAAGTGTTAATGAAGTTTAAACTTTTTAAGAAACACAAACTGACGGCTAACCGCAGTGATAATGTATGTCTCTTATTTTTTTTACTTTCGAAAAGTTGCACATGGTGCGGCAACGTGAGGCGCTAGTGTCGCGCTCAGTTGGCAGCGCTGTCACCGAACAAGTTGGCGGGAGATTCAAAATTTGAACTCGGAAATCGAACAATCACTATTTTTGTCACTTAGTCTATGGTGACAGCTCGGGATCATCTGTCCGTATTCTGGATTGACCCTTAGAGACTTTTTGGCGGGAATGCGAGGAGTGAAGTTGTGTGATTTGTTTTATTTTGTGTTATTATGTGGGAAAATGAAACAAAGCCGCTGAACGTAACTTCTCAGGATCCTCCAAAAGTCCATTGAAAAAATCTCAATAAATGACCACCATTTTACTGAGATTATATTTCATCCCATATCATCTCATTTCATTTAATTTCATCTCAGTTGATTAATGTCTCAAATTAATTATCTTCATTTCATTACATTTCACTCCATATTATCATTTTTCATAATTACAAGAATATAAATTAAAATAAGACATGACCTAAAAGTCTTAGTTACCAGGTCATATACCTAATCCATTAAAAAAATTTATTATAATCAGTGTTGCTAGAGCTAGAAAACGTATTTTAGCACAATTTTATTCGGGATTGTTCTTATTTGTTTGCAGATGCATGAAACTCCTGAGGGGTCCGGGGGTGGAGGCCGTCGAGTAGCCGTGCTGTTCGACTCGACGCTCGCCGCGTATCTGATGATGGGCAATCTGTCACCGGTATAATAAAATTTAAATAAAAAAATCCTGCATTTCCTTATCCTTAATTTCCATTCCAAATGTGGTATTGATTTGTTAATGGTTAGTTGCTTCACTGGTGGTAGGACCTCTTATGAGTCCGCACGGGTACGTACCACCACCCTGCCTATTTCTGCCGTGAAGCAGTAATGCGTTTCGGCTTGAAGGGTGGTGCAGCCGTTGTAACTGTACTGAGACCTTAGAACCTATATCTCAAGGTGGGTGGCGCATTTACGTTGTAGATGTCTATGGGCTCCAGTAACCACTTAACACCAGGTGGGCTGTGAGCACGTCCATCCTTCTAAGCAATAAAAAAAAAAAGTTAGTTATTAATGTTTTGCTTATTGTCTAAATGCTAGTAAGAATTAGTTTTTGTTATTGGATATCGGGTGAAGGCCTCCTCCAGTCCTCTCCGTTGATCTATGTCACCGGTAACATACGAATATATTGAACCTACCTCCTACCTTTAAAATATCGCACCTTTAGAATTGAAGTGGCTTGACTAAGCATTATAAGAAAAAGGGGTTTTATACTTTGAACGATTTTGCTTTATCAGTTTATAATGATATTTTTTTTGATTAAAATTTAAATTTGGAGCTAGAAAAGATCAAAGTACACTTTCCGTCTGTTTTAAAGCAAGCGTATACTTTAAACTCTATGATGTGCGCTTTAAGGCTGAAAGTATTAAAATCGAAATATAAATATGTATTACAATTCTTCAATAACATTTTTGGAGTTTACAAAAAAAACAAGAATTTTGGGAGAGAATTTAAAGAGACTCGCTTTTGTTTCAGGATCTAAAAAGTCACGCCGTGACTCTATTCGAAGTCGGAAAGCTGAGCGACGAAAGCTTAGACAGCCTGCTGTTGGAACTAGACAAGGTATATTCAAGGGAGCGTACACGAGGAAAAAGCTGCATCCAAAAAGCTCGTCAAGAAATTAAAGAATTACATATACATAAAAAAAAAATTATTATTGCTTAGTTGGGTGGACGAGCTCACAGCCCACCTGGCGTTAAGTGGTTACTGGAGCCCATAGACATCTACAACGTAAATGCGCCACCCACTTTGAGATATAAGTTCTAAGGTCTCAGTATGGTTACTACGGCTGCCCCAGACCGAAACGCATTACTGCTTTACGGTAGAAATAGGCAGGGTGGTGGTACCTACCCTTGCGGAATCACAAGAGGTCCTACCATCAGTAAAAAATATATGTATTTATTTTCGTCCGGCTAACGAATAATGTATTCTACAATTTAATTCAATAGCATTAGATTGGTTTGTTATCGGTATTTATGCTTCAAGACCAATTCTTTTACCTTTTATCTTGAATGTACAGATACACTTTGATTTCAGTCTTATAATATTAATATTTATAATTGTCAGTATGGTTTTTCATTGGTGAATTAATTTCTTACTAAGGTCGTAGCAGATCCAGAGATAGAGGGCGAAGCCCGGCGGTACTTGGCGGCGGCGGCGTGTCTCCGGACTGCGCTGCGGGTGCTCCGCCCCAAGCTGAGGCCCCTCGACCTGTTGCGGTGCGAAGCGTTGCACGCCCTAGGACATCAGTCCAGGACCAGGCTCCTCGCTACTAAGTACAGGTAACTTAAAAATGTAATAAGTTGTTTTTTGTTAATAACAATGTCAATGCACTTCTAATAAGCTGCCAACTGTGATTGCTTAAAGTCAAACTTAATTTTTTTATTTATTGCATATATAGATGATGAGCTCACAACCCACCTGGTGTTAAGTGGTTATCGAAGATCATAGACATCTACCACGTAAATGTTGCCACACACCTTGAGATATAAGTTCTAAAGTCTCAGTATAGTTACAAGGGCTGCCCCGCCCTTCAAACCGAAACGCATTACTGCTTCACGGCAGAAATAGACAGAGCGGTGGTACCTACCCGCGCGGACTCACAAGAGGTCCTACCACCAGTAATTACGCAAATTATAATTTTGCGGGTTTAATTTTTATTACACGATATATTCATGGGTTTTGTTGAGTACGTATTTCATCAGAAAAATTGGTACCCGCCTGCGGGATTCGAACACCGGTGCATCGCTATATACGAATGCACCGGACGTCTTATCCTTTAGGCCACGATGACTTTTTATTATTAGTAACAATATCAATTTACTGCTAATAAGCTGCCAACTGTGATTCTTTAAAGTCAAACTCTCGAGTCAGAACCAATACATTAACTGCCGCTTCATATAAAATGTAAAAACGTTGGTCGATAAATTCGTATCGAATTTGTAAACCGTGGTGGTGCCCCAGGGCAGCTATAGCCACAGCCCCGCTGTGCCGCGAGGCGCGCGCGGGGGCGGCGGCGGGGGGCCTGCCGCTGGTGGGGCCCGCGCCCCCCGAGGCGCACTCCCCCTGGATGAGGCTCTACATCTACCACGTTGCCGGGTACGGACCCCCCACGCTACTCCTCAAAAAAGGTACGTTTAAAGAAGCATATTCACAAAGTAATAGTCCTCCAAGTCTAAGCCATCAAGACGCGAACGTGCGAGAGAGATATATATATTTTTATATATAGAGATATATATATAGATATATTTTTAACGAAAATTACTACGTTATTCTTAAACTAATATTGGTATTACTTGCACGAAGCTTTCTTTTGTTGCTATTAAAAGAAATACAGAAAGTTTCTAGTAATGTACAGTAGATTGGGGGGAATAGGCACTACAGGTAGAATAGGGACAAATCTGGGATGTCGCAATACTTTTATTGAGTTGTTAGATTTAACTTTGTTGGATTGAAACTGGCTTAAGCTAGTTTTCTTCAGTTTTTGTGTATATTTTGTAATGAACTATGTATAATAACGCATCGTATATAAAAATGTAGGCCTCCGGAACCATTTTAATCTCAATTTGGTTGGTTATCACCCTAAGGAAAACAATTGAAAATTTGTGTCTGATTTGGAAAGGGTCCCGATTACCCCCAATCTACGGTACATATGGTTATATGATATGGGGGAAGACAGCGGATGAGGGTGTGTAAGCAAAGTAAACGTTTCACTCATTTTATTTATAAAAACTTAATATGCTCATGTTCAAATATAATATTGAATACGATTATCTTACGAAACCCACTCACCACCCCTTTTTTTCCTATCTAAGCTGAGATAGCCTTGAGAGGCTATATCAGCGTAACCTTAACTAGTAGATGAGCTCACGGGGCTCAAACCGGAGTGATGCTAACACTGACCCTAGCAAGAGCAGTGCTTCGCAGAATCTACCACCGGATCGGAAACGCGACCCACTGAGAAGATCCGGCGAGAAATTCAGTGGGCTGTGTCTATGGGTTAATTCGCTCGTCGAGCCCTTTGTCGCAAGCGACGGGTTCGACGAGGACGGTGACCGGACCACCCCTCCGGGCTCATCGCCGTGGAAGCCAAACTAATATAGTGTGTGGAGACATTGCACTATCGTCGTGTGTCGTCCAGGGAGCTTCCTGCGCAGCATGCCCCGTCTGCTGCTGGGCTACTCCCGGCTGGGGGTGTGGTGGTGGGGCGCGGAGTGCGCGGTGGAGAGCTCGGGGGGCGTGGCCTCGTGCCTGCCCGCGGCCGCCGCGCTCGCCGCCGCCAACACGGCCCTGCGCCGCGCCCCCGTGCTGCTGCAGGCCATGGGGGTCAGGGCCGCGGCTGGACTGCGGCACCTCATGTTCCCGCCTGAAGATGATCCACTCACAGGTATCTAATACATTGATACGCCTATGAACTTTTGAAATTAAAATTTACTTAATAAATATAATTGCTTATATGGGTGGACGAGCTCACAGCCCACCTGGTGTTAAGTGGTTACAGGAGCCCATAGACATATTTTTTTTATTACTTAGATGGGTGGACGAGCTCACAGCCCACTTTGTGTTAAGTGGTTACTGGAGCCCATGGACATCTACAATGTAAATGCGCCACCCACTTTGAGATATAAGTTCTAAGGTCTCAAGTATAGTTACAACAGTTGCCCCACCCTTCAAACCGAAATGCATTACTGCTTCACAGTAGAATTAGGCAGGGCGGTGGTACCTACCCGTACGGACTCACAAGTTTTCCTACCACTAGTAATTACGCAAATTATAATTTTGCGGCTTTGATTTTTATTACACGATGTTATTTCTTCACCGTGGAAGTCAATCGTGTACATTTGTTAAGTACGTATTTCATTAGAAAAATTGGTACCCGCCTGCGGGATTCGAACACCGGTGCATCGCTACATACGAATGCACCGAACGTCTTATCCTTTAGGCCACGACGACTTCTAAAAGTGTTCTATATGTAAACAAGCAACGAACCTCTCGCAGAGAACCAAGTGTTTTGGGCTCAGCACGCGGGGCTGCGGCGGCTGGCGCGGAGGCTCCGGCTGCAGCGCTCCGCCGGCTACGTGACGCTGGCCGACATCGGGGTGCCCGACCTGGGCTGCGCCAGCCCGCCCGCCGCCGTGCAGCTGGGTGAGTGCCGCCGCCGCTGACCTCGCTCGCTCCACAACTCTAACGCAAACGATTTTTTATTCTGTATTAGCTGATCCGGCAGACTTCGTAGTGCCTCAATCGATAAATAAAAGACCTAAACTTTTGTATAAAATAAACTTAAAACAAACAAAAGGAATCCGTCCGACGGGGGACACATCAAAGGAAAAACAAAATTGTTATTTTATTTAATTCCGAGCATTTTTATATTTATCTACCTTTTAAACCTTCTCTGGACTTCCACAAATAATTCAAGACCATAATTAGCCAAATCGGTCCAGCCGTTCTCGAGTTTTAGCGAGACTAACGAACAGCAATTCATTTATATATATATAATAAAAAAAACAGTACTATTTGTTGAAATATTAATAAAAATGTCTAATAAATGTCATGTCATATTAAAAGAAAAGAAATGTCAATACAATGTCAAGCAACAACAAGCTAATTATAGAACAACAAATGGTTACCAGCGTATATATATATATATATTAGAGACGTTCCGAATACCTTAGAGTATTTGTGGTGGATCGTGAACTCAACTACTCATTTATGCAATAGCCAAATAATAAGTAGCTGCATTGTTTTTGCCTGTTTATAAATATAGGTAGGTAGAGAATACTTTAGGCATGAAATCCATCCAAGTAAACAATACATAAAATGTAATAAATAAATAATATTTCTAGTGCCACAACGAAAGAAGAAAGAAATATGCGGCATCGCGAAACCGGTCCCCGACACGTCGCCCGCGGACCACAGCGCGCGGCTCCGGTCGCCCATAGAGTCGCACTTTGCCGTGACGCCGACCGGGCCCAGCGCGCACGGCTCGCCGGCCAACGGCTTCACCAGCGCCGACGGCGGCCGCCTCCTCCGCGAGGAGCTGGACTACCTCGACGCCAGCGAACCCCCCAGGACCGCCCCCGCCGACGACGACCTCGTCCCCATACATTCCACCTCCGCGAGCTTCGAAGACTTAAAGCATTCCAACGACGACTCCTTAACGAATCCAACGCCGGGACGCGACGATATCAATTCGAAACTAACCAAGGACAATTCAAGTAAAGAATCGATAGTCGACATAGTGTTGGTCAACGATAATATCGATATGAAGAGTTCGATGTGTAGTGATGTCGTGCCGGTGCACTCGAGTAAGTCGATGGACCGGCTCGGCGAGCTCCTGAGTCCGGCCGAGGAGACCATATCGATGTTCACGCAGCTGAGCGACAAGCTGAGCGAGGTGTCCGCGGCCGAGGGGGACAGCGGCGTCGACACGGCGCACGTGTCCGACGACGAAGCCTGCAGGCCAGAGGTGAGCCCACTAGTTGCCTTGTCATTATTATTATTCTTTTTTAAGGGATTTTATGACCTGGTAACTAAGACCTTTAAGTCATGTTTTATTTTAATTTAAATTCATATTTTTATGAAAAATGATAATATGGAGTGAAATTAAATGAAACGCGATGAAATGATATAGGATTAAATGTAATCTCAGTAAAATGGTGGTCATTTACTAAGATCTTTTCAGTGGACTTTTTGGAGGATCCCGAGAAGTTACGTCCAGCGGCTTTGTTTCATTTTCCCACATTTGTGCACTTTCACAGATACTAAACAGTTAATAAACCACCATTATTACACATTTAAACCCGAAGAAACACTAAATAAACAAAATAAAACAAATCACACAACTTCGCGTTCCCGCCAAAAAGTCCGGCTTGTCATTAACACTGCTAGTATTGCCAGACTGTCGTCGCTTTGAAGTGTGTGCATCCACAATTTCGCCGTCAACTTTCTCGTTGGCCGTATCGGTTTTCGATATCTGGACAACACCGCACGTAAGTGGATTGGCTGCACGGTGTCTGCCTATGATATCATCACCATCATCATTTAGTGGTGGCAGGACCTCTTGTGAGTCCGCACGGGTAGGTCCCACCACCCTGCCTATTTCTGCCGCGAAGCAGTAATGCGTTTCGGTTTGAAGGCCAGGGCAACTGTTGTAACTATACTGAGACCTTAGAACTTGTATCTCAAGGCGAGTGGCGGCATTTACCTTGTAGATGTCCATTAGCTCCGGTAACCATTTAACACCAGGTGGGCTGTGAGCTCGTCCACTCATTTATGCAATAAAAAAAAGTATTGGCAAACGGTTGTCGCTTCGCTTCGAAGTGTGCAATTGATATTAATCGATAATCTGTACTTATCCTACTGGTCGTATCGGTTTCCGGAGTCTGGACAATACCGCATGGAAAGGAATTGACTGCACGCTATCTGGCTACGATATCATCACCATCTCTTACTGTGGGTGTTGTAAAAGACAACCAAGAGATACCCTGGATTTTGGGGCGAAAACGTTTTCCAATATATACCGGCGTACTGCACCCACCATCCGGCACCTACTGGTGGTAGTCAAAAAGTAGTCAGGCATGGTACACAATCGCGCATACTAATGGTAAGTGATACCGTCGCTCATAGACCAGCCAAATCGCTGCCCACCTGATACACAATACAATTGAGACTCCGATCTCATGTCTCAAGTTGGTTACGTTGTGAGGTCGTCTTGTTTAAAGTTAACGAAATAGAAGCTTTTTTTTTATTGCCCTTGTAGGCAGACGAGGAGCACACGGCCCACGTGATGGTGAGTGGTTACCGTGGCCCATGGACTTCAGCAATGCCAGGGGAAGAGCCAAGCCTCTGCCTACTTTCGAAATTGAAGGATAATTATTTAATAATTGAAGGAATTTGAAGGATAGTTTGACACTTTCCATTTCAGAAATGGACGATACTGGACCTGCAGTTCGGCATCCCGCTATTCGACGAGGCGCTTTGCGAGTCCGTGTGCGGCAGCGTGGTGAGCTGCGTGGCGGCGCCAGACGTGTGAGTACTCATGAGTATTCATGAGTCAACATGAGTCAACAACCACTCCACTACAAGTGGATATCAACTAAATACTAGTAATACTACTTAATGCAAATTTAAGACATATATGGTTTCCTCGTGGATACCATTATGAGAACTGGACTAAATTGAAATGGGACCACAAGGGAAGCGTCAGCTTTCTAATAAAAAAAATTTTATTTTTATTTATTTCTTATGTGGGTGGACGAGCTCACAGCCCACTTGGTGCTAAGTGGTTACTGGAGCCCATAGACATCTACAACGTAAATGCGCCACCCACCTCGAGATAAATTCTAAAGTCTCAACTATAATTACAACGGCTGCCACACCCTTCAAACCGAAACGCATTACTGCTTCACGGCAGAAATAGGCAGGGCGGTGGTACCTACCCGCGCGAACTCACAAGAGGTCCTACCATCAGTAAGAAATCATCAAAATCGATCCAAAAGTTATGAGGTAACATACATAAAAAAAAGCATACAGTCGAATTGAGAACCTCCTCCTTTTTTGAAGTCACCTAAAAAGAAAAACGATTAATACAAATGAAACTAAGATTGTTTGTTTCTTCCCCAGGCTGGACAAGATCAAGGAGGACAATGAGTTCATACGTGCCGATGTCCTCAAGTTCGTGTCTCAGTGTCAGGTACGCTCGACCCTATGTATTCTTTATTGTTTTGACGAACGAGGTCATAGCCCGCCTGATGTTAGGTTACTGGGGTCCATAGACATCAACACCCTGCCCTGTCTGTTTCTGCCGTGAAGCAGTAATGCGTTTCGGTTTGAAGGGCGGGGCAGCCGTTGTGACTATACCTGAGACCTTAGAACTTATGTCTTAAGGTGGGTGGCGCATTAACGTTATAGATGTCTATGGGCTCCAGTAACCACTTAAAACCATGTGGGCTGTGAGTTCGTCTACCCATCTAAGCAATAAAAAAAAACTCAGTTCTCTCTCTCTGATATCGTCATTCACACACTCCATCCATGTCTTCTTCGGTCGACCTCTTCCCCCTCTACCTTGCACTACCATACCCACGAAAACTCTTCAATGACTAATTAAAGGAATTCCGTTTTTCGTATGTGAATATAACGTGTCAATGAATTTGTCTAAACTACATAGTTCATAATATGATTTTTCAATGTCTCCTGACCATAACTACTCGACTACAACGATGAGACTAGTTCAAATTAATCGATTTACTGATGGTAGGACCTCCTGTGAGTCCGCCCGGGTAGGTACTACCGCCCTACCTATTTCTGCCGTGAAGCAGTAATGCGTTTCGGTCTGAAGGGTAGGGCAGCCGTTGTAACTATACTGAGATTTTAGAACTTATATCTCAAGGTGGGTGCCGCATTTACGTTGTCGATGTCTATGGGCTCCAGTAACCACTTAACACCAGGTGGGCTGTGAGCTCGTACACCCATTTAAACAATTAAAAATATATTTTTTTAAATGAATACTTAATTATAATTGTTTTTTTTTCTCAGTACTATCCAGGCGAAGACATGGGCATAGTGAAGCGAGGTACTCTGGTCCCTTTGCCGCGCAAAAGCTTAGCGTTCGAGAACGGACGCATCAGCGAGTGGAACGGGAAGTAAGGCTGTCTCGCTCTCGCCGCAACAACAACCGGCCGAGCGACAGAGACGGGTATACGTCCGTCCCACGACACGCGTTCGTCGTTACGATTTTGAGCTTTATTAGAACGTAGTCGAAGTTAATATATTATATTGTGATTATCATTAATGTTATTTTGATCTGAGCGAATGAATATTACAGAAACTATTTGTTGTGGAAGAAATGTACTTAACAATATGTGAAGATCAACGTTTATATTCTAGATGTGGTAAAGTCACCTTTTCATTAATAGCATAGATGTGTGAACGAGCCCGCCCGGTGATTGCTGGAGTCCATAGACATCACTTAAAGCCTGTCAATTGTAAAGTACAACGGCAGTCCCACCCTTCACAGCAGAATGCACGACAACTATTACCCACTTTTTCCTTCCATTACTAAAGTCTTATTGTACTGAATAAAACACTTCACACTCATAGATACATAATTGTAATTGAAAGTGATCGCTTGACAAACTGAAACTAATCCTGCCTTTCATTGAATTTGATTGAGTTAGCCGGTCATAATTAAACCACTTATCGTGGCAAATCTATTGACTGTTTACCAATTTAAAAAATAAATCCTTATAAATGTCACATAACAATACGTATACGGGCAATCGCGCGCATTATATTACATACGATTGCTTTATCTATCAGCTATCTATAGATCGTCGGCTTAAATCCGGCTCGAAGGACCAAAAAAGGATGTGCGGTGTGTTCGGGTCCCTTATGTTAGTGATAACAACTCTAATGATTTGAGTAACTATTTATTGGTAAGCTCAAACTTGCTGATACAAGGTACTGTATAAATGATCTTATGCAAGTACGCAAGGCCTTGCTGATGGCGGTAAAAGAAGTGACACGAAAATGAATGACTCCGATGCATAATGCATCCGTATGCAGGTTTACTGTACGCACTTGCCCGTACTATATAATATGGGCATAAATTGAAAATGACTTTCCGGTTATAAATTACGCACGCGCCTGAGCGTCACGATTGAGACATCGACGTCATGACGGGACATGGTGGCGCCGTACGCGCTAGTGCACTCATCTAGAGCCAAAACTAGACATATTAGTGTTGATGGTACTATGACAGACACATTCGCTGGAGTTCCATAAAGAACTATGCCAAGTTTCATCGCAATTAGATGGAAAAAAATAGACCTAATAACAGACATAGACATTTTTTTTAAATAGCACTGAAAGAAACCTCTTGAATAAAAGAAACACACACATATATAATCAATGTATTTATTTGGTTTTGTATTTAAATGCCATATTTGATATGCCATAAAGAGTAGTTTGTATTTATTAATTGGCAACATTTAAGTTCTATTATTTATGTAGTGTAAAAACTTTTGTTCATAGATTGTATATTTTTCTTTTTTGTTTATTTGTCTGAAGACATTCTTTAATATGACAGTGACAATTGTATGAGAGAGAAAAAAAATGGATACATAGATGCAATTATTTTGGACACAGTATGTATTTAAGTTATATATTGAAAAATCATAACTCACATTACAATATGATTTATAAAATGTTGTTGTTTTGTTTCTTTACATATAGATCTAATCGTATAAATGTGCATAATAAAGTTATCAAAACAACCTATGTTTTTTTTTTACAGTAATGAAACATTTTAAAAGGTAATGTAGTAATGGTAAAATTTTACCTGTCTCCGGTATTGACAAACTATTCTGTTTTATTGTTATTATCTATATAACGATACTATATAATATGGAGGGTAGAGGTAAGGAGAACCGTCTCATACGGGAGAAGCTTGAAAGTGTCCCATTTTCAGCACTAAATAACAGTTCAAAAATCCTCCAGAATGGCGCTAGCATAGGCACAGGGTATGATATGAATTGAGCAGTTGTTAACTGATTGAAGTATGCTGAGTTAGGAAATTTAATATATTTAATTAATATATTTAATGACTAGAGTAGTTGGTGACAGTGTAATACAAGACCTCCCATGTTTACGTAGTCCAAACTAATTTCGTCAATATAACCTAAAATTATTGCTGGGGTAAATAAAACGTGGAGACATCGATTGAATTTTCTTATCAGCTTTAAATAAAATACTTTTTGTGATTTTTTAGTGCTTACAGTTCTTTCGTCTTTCTTTTTTATTTCTCTATCTTATTCCAATAACTTTCAGCGCCATTTTTTAAATTTACCCGGTTGCTACTGTAGCGCCATCCTTATAATTTAGCGGATTTTAACGGACACTTTTTCACACACAAAGACAGTTCTCCTTACCTCTACCCTCCATAATTTAAATGAAAGTTTGGATAGAAGATAACTGTAATTAGGAGGGTTCCTTATTAAGAGTGTGAATTAAAAAAAAGTTTTTTTTAAGGGTTTTTATGACCTGGTAACTGAGACCTTTAAGTCATGTCTTATTTTAATTTAAATTCATATTTTTATGAAAAATGATATTATGGAGTGAAATGAAATGAAGATGATTAATTTGAGACATTAATCAACTGGGATGAAATTAAATGAAATGAATTGAGATGATATGGGATGAAATATAATCGAGAACGTTAAAAAACTCGCACTAAGCAACAAACACGCAAATTATAATTTTGCGTGTTTGATTTTTATTACACGATGATATTCCTTCACCGTAGAAGTCAATCGTGAACATTTGTTAAGTACATATTTCATTAGAAAAATTGGTACCCGCCTGCGGGATTCGAACACCGGTGCATCACTTGATACCAATGCACCGGACATCTTATCTGTTAGGCCACGACGCGACGACATCTAACTTACTACTAACTAACGTACTTACCAAATTTAAAGTTATTTTTAATGAAACATGCATAACTATAATGTGTATTTTATTTTGTCTCAATCAGTTTTTTTATAAGCCTTTAAGATGTACCTACGTTGTCTTCATCCTTTCTTTTGGCAATGTGATCTGGCATTCTTCATTTTCTTTTTCTAATTCCTCCAAATAGGTTGAAGTCTTTCTACCGAGATGTGGTTGTGGCCTTTTTAGACACCACATATTCCAGATGAGGTAATCCTCTTAGTTGTTTTAGTATGACAATCAGCTTCTTGCATCACGTTGCCACTGTCGTATATATTTATTCCTCAATTACTCATGGTTTCCCAGCAACACGGTAGAAATTTACTGAGCGCTAATCTTAAATTTCTGGGAAGAACTAAAGAAGCCATTTTCAGAATTTTTTATCCCATTTTTCCACATTTTTACAGATAGTAAACGGCTAATATGCCATCATAACTGCTCTTAAATATTAAGTAGATTATATATGATCACTACACGTTTAAACCTGACGAAAAACTAAATTAACAAAGAAAAAATCACACTTCTTTTCGCCTCACATTCTCATAAAAAAACATCACATTCACATTATATCCTTACGCAGTTTCCGGGCTTACTTACCATTATTCTTCGAATTAAAAGCAGCTTTAGCAGAGTCGCGTATTTAAATTTATAGAATTGGTTCCACTTTTATGACTGGAATATTTAATCATTTTTTTGTCTAGAGAGCTTTGCCTTAATCCTCAATACGTAGGTTGTATGGCTTTGTTCCGTTTGTCAGTCTGAGTTAAGCATTCGTCAAGAATCACGAAACTTCAGTCGAGTTCGATTTTGTTTTGGAAGTTTGCAGTGCGGTAGTTGAATATTGACGTCAAAGAAAATTGTAAAGACTTTGTTTTGAGCTTGTTAACAGCACTGATCGATTAGCTTATACCTTTCAAAGAAAAACTGACGGCTTAGTGAAAGTGCATCTCAAACTATGGAGGTGGATCAATTTGCATTAGAGATTGCGTATCCAGAGGGTTCACGACTACCCCTCATCGACGAATCATCGGTTCTAGGAACGCAGGCGCCGAAAGACAGGTATGGTTTTTCGACCGAATAAAATCGTTCATAAAAGGTGCTTGTAGGTACTCAAACTTTTCGAAAGCCAAAAATGGTATCGGCCGAAACTTTTGCGGTCGCCCACGCCACAAGCCTTGTTGAAACTATAATAAATTATTTTTTTACCAAGATTACTATTTTGTTAGTCATATTGTTAGCCGTATAAGGTGATTGGAGTTTCGTGCTTATAATTATAGTAATCTAATTGGAATTACGTGACGACGTACGCATTCGTGACAACTACAAAGAAGTTATGATTAATTGTAGTCATTAATGAGGTATGTTACATTATTAATTTCAACATCTCCGGTATATTTATTTTCATACGAAACGCTAGAAAATAAAAATAGTATAAATGTATGTTAAAATACCAAAAAGTGTGAGTTTTTTAAAGTTCTCATTATTGTTTCGTTCATTTCTTAATCAGAGTATTTCCCTTTTATATTTGTAGTATATTATCATTGTTACTAGCAGAAGCAATATTTAGTTTATGTTGCATTGGGTGAAAAGTCAGATCCTACAACGTGACCATTACATGATATCAGTAGACTGGCCACCATAACTTATTTGTAATATATAGTTTGATATTTTACCTTTATAAATCAATCCTTCTCCTGTGCCCTGTGTAAATTTCACTGGTGTATTGTTAGCCCACACAGGACTACTACAGCTTTACCTATATCTACCATTGCAACATATTCGGCTTGTAATAAAAACGTAAGGTTAGCAGTATTATCAATAAAAATTGCCTTTTCCAGGTAACTAGTAATGATATTGACGGTAGAAAGTGGAAATGTCGTAACTTGCTTTTGCATTCTGGATTTTCTTGTATAAAAAAAATACTGCCTCTGGAGTTTTGTTTTCCTATAATAAAATTTTTCATCCACCTTTATTTCATACCAATTTTGAACATTATATCTCTATAAATACATAAAATGAGCTTATGAATTTTTGAAATAGTTTTATGGCTCCGGTATAAGGTCGGGTTTTTCAAGTTACGACATTCTGCTTTCTTGCGTCGATATGGTCAGTTACTATTCTATATCTCGCTGAGTGAAGAAATAAGGGGAATATATTATTGTCTACAGGCTTCCTGTTTCAAAAAGTTAGACCCTCTTATGATAATGAATGAGTAGCTCATGGTCCATCTGGTGTTAAGTGGTTACCAGGACTATAGACATTCTAATTTGAATGAAGGTGGTCACTTTGTCATAAGAGTTTGAAATTTTAATTGATAAGTAGGCATATTTTAGTTTGAAAGTTTTGTATAGTCTTAAAGTCATATAGACAAGCTTGCTGGATTTATTGTGACCAGCCAGTTTCTTTGTTTTAATTGTGTTGCTAATGTCATAGTTTATGATTTGGTTGAACTATACAGAAAATAAAATAAATGAAACAATACCTTTGTTTTCACATGTCTTTGGATGCATAAAAGTGACCTTCATACTCTGAACTGTTTTAATTGAAATAAAACATTCAATATTCTCCTTCCTGGTTCTTTGTAAGCAATTAATTGTACAGTTCTCTATTACATAATCACATGTTTGTGTGTTAGTAAATGTATTTAAGAAATAGGACTACTTATTTTTTTTTTATGCACACGAGGCACTTTATCAACATTCAGTTAAGAGCTTATATGCATATCGACGCTTGAAAGGCAAACGTGACTAAGCGACAATGCGTGAACTTTACAGTAGACTAATTTAAAGTTAAAATACCTGAAAACAAAATTTATTTTAACGAAACCAGCTGTAGTAGAATCTAGCTAGTAGCTGTAGGATTGAAATGATTTTAATAGACCTGGAAATATATATTTTTTTGCACATCGAAAATGGTTATTGCCTTTCATTTATGTACAAAGCAGTTATTGTCGCTTAGTCACTTTTGCCTTTCAAGCGTCGATATATATTTCCTTTTGTTAATGCCAAATATATCTATCTGCATATGTTGGGGTATTTTTCCATAGTGTTCTTATTTCACCTTCTTCACCTTGATTTTCTAATTCAGTTTATCTCTTCATTTTCTGTAATTGTCATTGTCTGTCATTATCCATAGTAAAGCATGAAAGAGGAGTGCATGCGGTAGATATCTGAATGTAGACATGAGTGAAAGTAGCCTCAGTGATTGATAAATTAAAGAGTGGACAGTTAGGGTGGTATGGACATGTGATGCGTAGAGAGGAAATGCATGTGACTTTGAGATGTATGGAAGTGGCAAGGCAAAGGGGGGTCGACCGAAGAAGACATGAAATCGTCATGGTCTAAAGGACAAGACGTTCGGTGCATTCGTATCTAGCGATGCACCCGTGTTCGAATCCTGCAGGCGGGTATCAATTTTTATAATGAAATACGTACTTAACAAATGTTCACGATTGACTTCCATGGTGAAGGAATAACATCATGTAATAAAAATCAAACCCGCAAAATTATAATTTTCGTCATTACTGGTGTTAGGACCTCTTGTGAGTCCGCACGGGTAGATACCACCACCCTGGCTATTTCTGCCGTGAAGCAGTAATGCGTTTCGGTTTGAAGGGTGGGACAGCCATTGTAACTATACTGAAACCTTAGAATTTATGTCTCAAGGTGGGTGGCGCATTTACGTTGTAGATGTCTATGGGCTCCTTAACACCAGGTGGGCCAAAAAATTTGGGTGGAATGTGTGAATGACGATATGAAAGAAAGAGGAGTGAGTGTTGAGATGACAGCTGATAGAGGAGAATGGAATAGAAAAATTTGCTGTGCCGACCCCACCTACTGGGATAAGGTGGATACAAAGAAGAAGAAGTGTGTTATTAGCCCATAATTAATCTAATTTCAGTGTCTTAGTCCACACAATTCCTGGGTTGGTTTAGGTCTCTTTTGTTGTCAGATCCAATTCAAAGCCATCAATTTTCTCTGGAATTTTTATCTGGAAAAACACTTGTAAATCATAAAAGTTTGATATGTATCTAACAAAATTTCCTGTTTGCTTAAACTAATTCATTATGTGATATTAACCTAGTGCTTATTCACCTTTTCATGAAAAGGAATACCAAATGCAGGTATACAAAATATAGACACATCATTAAACTGACACCTTACTCAACTTATACGTGTTTAAGTTTGTAGTTCAGTTAATTAAATAATAAAAAGTAATAGTTACAATCTTATGTTTTATTCAGACTGATAGCAGTACTAGATCAAGTCGAGATGCGAGTGGAGAGGCTCCGAAAAGACACAGTCAGGATTGAAGAAGAAAAGGACTCCTTACTTTCAACTTTAGACAGCATCAAACATTCAGAACTGCTATTGGATATATCGGAGTGTAAGTTTTTTTTTTAGATTCAACCTGTAAAAACACAAATTTAAAATTCAGACAAAACTAATTAACTCAGACCCAAGTATATTTTGGAAATAATATTTCTGAACAGAACCTGTTTCCATCATTCAAAGTAAAATAAATAAAGCAAGTGCTCATATTATTTGTAAATTTTATTAGTGATATAATTAGTGAAAACGGTGCAATTAATACATTTGTTTTCATTAGATTTAAACTTTTTTATTCAATTAATTAACACTATTAAAATGACTGAAGTAATTCGTTTAAAGAAGTGAGAGTGAATAAATGTGATTTCCCATAATACTAGTGTTTTGTAACATTGGGAAGGCACTGTAATCATTTTCAGGTGATAAGGACGATATCACACGATACGCGGACCGCATCCTGTCCCGGGCTATGACCGTAGAGGTGACAGTGCGCACTGACCGAGACCATCAGCAGGAGGAAGCTCTGTATCAGGTTGGTTTATCTACTATACATCACACGTAAAGTAGATTTTAGGGAGAGATCATGTGTCTTCTCTAAGTCTTTAGGCACTGTTGTTGTAAACTACTTTACTACTGTAATCTGATCACTGGTGGGCGTTGAATTTACTACAGCTGATGTACAGTTAAACTACTTATTTAATAGTCAACGGTGTTCCGTTACAATAATACAATAACAAGTAATGATTCTAGTGACAATTTCTAATTTCTAATGGACTTTTGAAATACAAATATTTATTATTATCGTACTAATATTGCATAATTAAGTGCATTGCAGTAAGTAAGTAAAAAATAGGATGCATTGCATTAATTATAAAATTCTACATACATTAAGGGTGCTTAAGATTTTTCTTTTGTAAGTATAATTAAGTAAGTGAAACATAATAAATAATTAATTATGAGTAAGTAATAAAATTAATGAAATTGTGGAAAGCGAGATGAGGACTACCGACGTGACCTGGAGTGATGTCAAGAAGCAAGTGCAAGACAGGATCAAGTGGAGACAACTTATGAGGGCCCTATATATCAGCAGGGTGCACAACAAAATAAATTTAAATATTAGATATACATACTTTGTAATTATTATTTCATTTCGATTTTTATTATTACAGGTGAACATGTACATCGATCAGCTGGTGATGTCCGTGCACAACGACGCAGTGAGTGCGCATTCCCGTTGCCAGACCTATATGAACGCGTGCACGTCTCAGCCGGACCCCAACGCGGGCACCGACAAGAACTTTGAGACGGCCATCCTGGGCTGCACCCTCGACGATCAGAAGCGCGTCAAGAAACGACTCCAAGGCCTGCTGGACTACATCGCGAAGTTAAACGTGACCACGTGCTCGTGAGTGGCGGACATGCTCGGCGACAAGTTGGCGTTTTAATGGGGCGCTTTGCGAGGCGCCGAGACGTTGTTCTGTCGTCGGAAGCGGCTTTAGCATTCGTGTTCTGAATTTGAATGGAGTGTTTTCGGATTTTTGATTATTTTTTTTGTCTTTCTCATGTATAGTCTGTAGACGTATTTTTTTATTCTCCGTGAGAGGCAATGGTCTGTCAGTATACGATGCTGTTTTTTTTTTGACAAAGGAATACAATACTGGGCCAAGATATTTTGAAACCGTTACACGTTTTGTTTTATAACGGAGAACGTACAAGAAGAAATGTATAGAGAGCGTTTTGAAATAAAAAAAATTAAAAAATATTTTTAAATCTACGCTTGGCAGATCGCATTTGTTCGGTGTTGGATTTATCATGTATATTTTATGAATTATAGTGATTGTGGATGCAGTTTGTTTTGGTTGGTAATCATGAAACTTCCACCGGCTTCGCCATTCGTGTATAGACCGCTTATATTAAATTGTAGAAACGGTTAACTTATAGACGTATTAAACACGACGTGAATCTGTATTTAGAATTTACTTCGTGACGACACAGATATTTAAATTTAATACAACAAATAAACGGCAGTGTGTTATCGTAAACTTTATCACATAGAATACGTTTGCTTTAAATATTGGCATTTCCGAGTTATTTATGAAAACATAGTGGCATGTTAAATGTTTTAAACACATTATTGTAGGATTTGATTGAAGAAGATAATTTAATATTAAAGGCCTTAGAGTCAATGTGATCAAAATAACTTTTTTATATTCGTGATCTATGGTTTGACTATCAAATTAAAAAAAAAAAAACCTAGAACTAAAATCAGTACTGTCATCTGCAAAGTGTTTTTAAATTCAGTGTTTAACTAAAAGCTATTAAAATAAATGATCTCACGACCTTTAAGGAAAATTATCTTCTTGAGTTCAACCATTATCAAAGTTACTATGTTAAGTTAGTACTTATATTAATTAGCACAATACGCAAGCTCTGCGGTAAACAATGATGATGGGTAATTCATTGAACTGACGTGTATTTGATAAATTGTATTTCAAAGTCATTTATTGATTTTTATTTGACGTGCTTAATTAATCTCATAGAAATTTGTAGTAATTTAAAAGTAGATGCACATATAAACAACATAATGAAGGAAACAATTTTGATTGGTTTATGGCAATAGTAGCATTTTTTTCAATTTTTTTTTTTTTCAAAACCAGAAAGAAGAAATCGTGTTCTAACGGTGTACACGTGCTAGTAGGGTGGAGGTAAGGAGCACACTATGTACAAAATAATGGCGCCACTGTAGCAAGAGGTGTAATTTCAAAGATGGCGCCAAAATAGTATGTTAAAATTTATTCAATTTTGCTTCTCACACTGCGCTCCATTTTCAACTGCTATTCAGATTATACTACTTGCTTCTATGGCGCAATTTTGATGGGTATTGGGTTGTAATGTTAATGCGAATTTGTCTCCGATATTATCCTAGCCTCTACCCTCCATACGTGCAAGCAACTGGGCAATGGTGTTACTAGCTGATAGCTGTGTTGCCAGTCGTCAAAACAGATCTGTAAAGGAGGTAAGAGTCGCGAACATGACCGGGTCAGAAGTTAATGATCACGTCAGTTTGATTTGTTGAATGGTTTTCATAAGGTGTGTGATATTACCACGTACGAAGGTTATGAGCCGCAGTCGTGAGTTAAGGCTGCTTTTATATATTTGGAAAAATTAAAATGTGAAAAATTGTAACTAAAGTTTTGTGGTTTTATTTATTACTAGCGACCCGCCCTCGCTTCGCTTCGGAAACATTAAAACACACATGAAACCAAAAAAATAAAATAAAAAAAAAGTAGCCTATGTTCATCAGGGACAATGTCGGCTTCTAATGGAAAAATATTTTTTCAAATCGGTCCAGTAGTTTCGAAGCCTATTCGAAACAAACAAACAAACAAATCTTTCCTCTTTATAATATTAGTATAGACTAGAGACCTGCCTCGATTCGCTTCGGAAATATTAAATTTTATTATTGATACTTGAGTCCCGCAATGTTATGTCCCGTCGTACTGCGGGTGAGGCCTCGGGGTGAAGCTAGTCTAAAAAAGTAAAGCCTAAGTTACTCCTTATATCATCAACTACTTATCAGTGAACGTTCCGTCAAAATCGGTCCAGCCGTTTCAAACAGACAGGCCGACGGACAGACAGACAAAAATTGTAAAAAATGCTATTTTGGTCTATGTACCGTATATATATTCATATGCATGTAGTAAAAAGCGGTTATTTCAATATTACAAACAGACACTCCAATTTTATTTATATGTATAGATTTAGTGTACTAAGAAATTCTTCTAGATGATCTCCCTCCATTTCCTTTATCATCACACTAGTATTCATTGATACTATCCCCTAGGCACGCACGCACGCACACACGTACACACACACACACACACACACACACACACACACACACACACACACAAGGACAACTTGCTTAGCCCCTCCGGCTCGAGATATTTTTCTTACACTTTTGTGAGTGCTGGTAAACCCCCACCACAATTCTGATCTCTGATCATTTTCATCTCAATTCAATTCTTAAATAATATTATGTGTATTAATAATATCAGGTGTATTGCAGATAGCCGGATAAACTTTAAAAACATTCCTGAAGATAGAGTACTTGTATGATGGATCATCAAATTCTCGATAGGTAGGATGATGACTCATTGTTTATCTACCGAAGGCATACCGATGGGATTTCGTGCAAAAAAAAACAATACTTTTAATAATAATTTATTTAAAATTGTACAAAATTACACTTCAATATTTACAAGTATGTGTAGTGATCAGCTAAAATAATTACGCGTATTCATCAGTGTGGTCAGTGCGAGCTTTTTAACGTTCTCGATAACGTAAAAGTTAACTCAAATTTGTATGTAGTTGGAACAGCGCCCCTAGCGGCAAACGTTGACAAACTTTCTAACTTTTACGCTTTCGAGAACGTTAAAAAACTCTCACTAAGCACACTGGTGTTTGTTGAGCATTGATTTTTTGTTTTGTGGTCGGTTGAGTGAGGGTAGGAAAACCCTTTTAGCGCCATAATCAATGACGTCGTGTTACGCTATGGGAACAACCGTCACCGTCACGTTGATACAACACCCTGTAGATTGGTCGACTTTTACGACATATGTACTACCACAAAGCCCATATTCTATAACGCAGTTAATATACTTTGTTTTGCTTAGATTGGTGGACGAGTCACGGCCCACCTGATGTTAAGTGGTTACTGGAACCCATAGACATCTATAACGTAAATGCCGACACTCACCTTGAGACATGAGTTCTGAGGTCTCACTTTTAACAGTACAACGGCTGCCCCGTCGTTCAAACCGAAACGCATTACTGCTTCACGGCAGAAATAGGCAGGGTGGTGATTTGTGGCCTATTGTGCACAGCTCCACTTCGCCAATACTCACCACATGAGTACTATCAAACCGTCCTTACAGACAACAATAGTATTTCATTGTTTACGGCTTGTAATAGCAATTATAATAGATCAAATTTCTAAACATTTTTCTACAAACAATATTAACGGTTATATTGTGAACGGTTGATGAAATACTCGTTCATCGTTTTTTTTTTAAAACCTATATTATCAAAAGCTTATGAATCGATTACTAAATCAAATCATTTCGATGTTTGGCGCTGAATATTGTCAAGCAATAAGAGGATATATTCTTCTGCCAATTTATTGATTTCTTCGGAGTGAACGCTTTCACTTTACCTCCAGTCTCGTCTATGGCTTAGTGCGAGTTTTTTAACTTTCTCGATAGCGTAAAAGTTAACTCAAATTTGTATGAAGTTGGAAAGTTTGCCTACGTTTGCCGCCAGGGGCGCTGATCCAACTGTATATAAATTTGAAATAACTTTGACGCTATGGACAACGTGAAAAAAAACTCGTAATAATAATAAACACTGATTGTTCACCAGATAAATAGATAAAAAATCCCGAACTGTTTTTATTCAAAGGTATCCTACAATATTACCAAACTAATCTGTGCTAACATTTACAAAAAACTTGACTATTATCTATGATTTATACAGAGTATGAAAACATCTAAAACACAAAGCTTATAATATAAAACACTTAAATTTTAACATTGTGACACACGGATTTAAATTCGTATTTTTTTTAAAAAGTAATAAACTAAGAATATATATTTATTTGTTATATATTCATCGGATGTTTCTGATTTTACAATTACAAATTTTATAATAAAATACAATGCCAAATGAAAAGTCGAACCACGGAAGTCGTCTCTCAAACCAAAACAACATTAAAAGTAGTTTAAAGACTTAAAAAACACGCTCCAAAAGCAAACCGAATTAAGGATTCAAATGATCATTTCTGTTAATCTTGGTCAAAGTATTAAAAAAAAAAGAGTAATTAAATTATTGTATTTTCTCGTTTGCAAATTTTTAAATCAATCCGACGTCTTGTATTTTTAGTTACTTTCAAATATTCTGTTAGATACTCATACATGTCACCTTTAGAATTGAAGTGGCATAACTAAAAATTTTTAAGAATATAAGTTTGAACGACTTACAAATGTGTTGCTGTGTATCCTATAAGATAACAAAACGAAATTTTTAAAATTAAAAATTAAATTTGTATTTTAGTTTAGAAAAGAACAGAGCACTGACACTGGCCGTCTCTTTTAAATTAAGCGCATACTTTAAACTTTAAGGTATGCGCAATAAGGTTTAAAGTATTAAAATCTGAAACCGTGAAAAACTACAATTCTTCAATTACATTTTTGATGTTTACAAGAAGAATTTCGGATTGAGACACTTCAATTCTTAAGTCGCGATATGTAACGTTAATAAATAACGTGCAAAATATGTATTAACTATATATACGTCATGAAATTCCATTACAAAGAAATACATTTCTTAGCAATGTTTACTGTTTTTCAATTTTTTATGCAATACACAGGTTAATAGACCTCACAACGTGAAAGCCCTCTGCCTTGAGACATGAGGCCGTAGTCTCAACGTACAACGGCTGACCCACCCTTCAAACCGGAAGGCCCAAGTAGGGTGGTACCTACCTACAGAATATTTATTGGAACGAAGTTCCTTATCGCGCGTTGTGAAAGGGGGCTAGACGGAAAAATTCTTACGAAAAGTTGTCACGACACTTTTTAGATCCGTCATTCTGACCAATCAACGTGTAGGCGCTTATCGCGTGACATTGCTCGTATCCGATCGGTCCGCGTAATGAGTACAGTTTCTCGAGATAGCGTTTCAACAATAGTAATTTAGTTCATAGTATTGTTTTTTTCTTCTTCATAATGCCGTAATTTATTATTATAACTTAAAAAAAAAATTACAATTCCTTCACTAATTAATCGAAAGGAACTTCATTCCATCCGGGTGTCCCTTGACACCTCTGAAGTTTTTTTTGATAATTTTCTCCCACTCTCTCCTCTATAATTAAGAAATTAAATTTTACCATCGCCACACCCTGTATCTGCACCGGTCAAACAAAAGGAACGTTCGAACTACCTCAGTAAGCACTACAATATTCTACACGCGTTCTTGAGGACGTTTCTCTTCTTGGCACCAGCCCGGTGCTTCGTCGGTCGCAGTAATATCGTCCCGTTGCTATTGTGGTTGGCGAATGTACCTGAAAACAAAATGTGATTCTCTCAATCAATACCATGTGTTGTAATCTATGGTAATTTTATAATACTGATTTATATTAATCTATGGTCACTTGTTTAAAAATGTCTGTCATAGTTCCTTTTTTGTTATATACCTAAACAAAAAAACAGTACTATTTGTTGAAATATTAATAAAAATGTCTAATAAATGTCATGTCATATCAAAAAGAAAAGAAATGTCAATACATACAATGTCAAGCAACAACAAGCCAATTAAAGAACAAAAAATGCTACAACAAATGTTACCAGCGTAGGTATAATTGTCTAATATCACTACTGGTCCTTTTTATTGAAACCTCAACAGTAACGTTTTATCTGAAGCCATACGAACTTGAATGACTACACGGTGCTTTAAATTTTATTACTGGTGGTAGGACGTCTTGTGAGTCCGCACGGGTAGATAAAATAATAATATAATAATAATAATAATATTTATTCAAGCCTCTTAAAATGCAAACACGTACAAGAATTCTTAACACTAGTATAATAATATACATGGCTTTTTTTATGAGGTATACAATAACAAAATTCCCTGACTTTTATGCTAGGAAAACCTGTGTTACAAAAGTCAGTGATCAGATACCACCACCACCATCATCATAGGCCTTATAGCCCAGAGTGGGCCTGGTCCACTATGTCTCACCAGACTACACTGTTCTGGGCTTCCTTCTACCAGTTCTTGACACCGATAACTTTGAGGTCGTGCTCTGCGCCATATAACGATTAGTGTTTAGGCCTGCCACGACTTCTGCGGCCATCTGGTTTGCAATATAATAGATACCACCTCCCTGCATATTTCTGCCGTGAAGCAGTAATGCTTTTCAGTTTGAAGGGTGTGGCAGACGTTGTAACTATACTGAAACCTTAGAACTCATATCTCCAGGTGGTTGGCGGCATTTACGTTATAGATGTATATAGGCTCCGGTAACCACGTAACACCAGGCGGGCTGTGAGCTCGTCCACCCATCTAAGCAATAAAATGTAAAATCGAGTCCCGTTTTCGCGACACGAATAATAAGTCACGAAAATCGCCATTTATCTCGCCATCATTAAGTTTCAGCTTCGGGAATGTTCTGCGAACATCCCGTACGCTAGACATTAGAACATCACTCGTCCGTGACAACGTAAGCTGTAAAATATTCGAACCTTCGGGAATAATATCGAGGACCTAAGCGACATTTTTGCAACTTTCCCTTTATATAATAGTTTAAAATTTAATAACGAAAAATACTTCTACAGCTATTTTGAATGTAGTAAACTTAATTGAAGTTCAAATAAAAACATCGAACTGTTGATGCTAGTTTAAAAATAAAACGCGCCTTTAATTACAAAAATAATAATATATCGCAAAATAAACGAAATGTTGCTTAAACCTTTCACCCCTCGATATGATAATAAAAATAATAAAAAAACGTCAGATTAAAACTGTAAAAATAGTTTTCCTTATAAGAACGAATGGATAAGACCGTTTTTTTTTTATATTTTAGATTTAATATAATTAGAAACCCCAAAAAAAGAAAGAAAAATATATGTATACGTAGCAGTGTTCCACAATCTGATAAGATTCATCCAAAGAGCCAAAATACAGATAACAAACAAATCAAATTTATTTAAAGAGACATATTATTGAAGTGAAACTTCTAATGCGACTCCCAACAAGGTTGCGTTATACGTTTAACGCTCCTGGGGAGGGGGAATAGAAAGAGACAGAGCGAGAGTGAATGCGTGGCTTTTTTTTTTATCCTACCTATTCTAGTAACCTTGAGAGGTTATACTAGATAACACAGGGCGTGTAGGTGAGCTCTCGGGGCTTAAATCGGAGATGTTGCTAACACTGGCCCTAGCAAGAGCAGTGCTTCGCAGAATCTACCACCGGATCGGAAACGCGACCCACTGAGAAGATCCGGCGAGAAACTCAGTGGGCTGTGTTTATGGGTTAGTTCGCTCGTCGAGCCCTTCGTCGCAAGCGACGGGTTCGACGAGGACGGTGACCGGGGCATGCGTGGCACTCGAACCCATGAAGTATTAAAAAAAATATTCATTTTTCTATCTATAACTTAAAATAGGTATATATAATATAAATGTTGAAGATGTCGCATCTCTTATACAGCCGGGCAGTGGGGCAGCCGTTGTAACTATACTGAGATCTCAGAACTCATATCTCAAAGTAGGTGGCAGTATTTACGTTGTAGATGTCTATGGGCTCCGGTAACAACGCTCAACACCAGGTGGGCCGCGAGCTCGTCTACAAACTTAAACAATAAAAAAAAAACAAAACGTATGCAATTCACACGTGGTAGAAGTGAAACCTTCCAAAATTAAAATACAATTATCCTAAACGTCTTAAGTATATGTAAAATTTTGTCATTAGTAAATAATTGTAAGGTAGCGCCCTCTGTGAATTGATATTTTAATTTCACGTATAATCCTAAATTAAAATTCACTACAAGAGCTTTCATACACACATTAGTATTAAAAAATCTCACAGATGGCGCTGTATTAAATAGTATGTATATTTCTGTCTCATTCTTTGTATTTGTGTCTCTTACCTGTCGTTTTTTNCAATCGTGTCACTCTTGACAGAGTGGTCGTGATCGTCATGTAGTGTTGGAAGGGGCAGACTTGATGCGTCTCACGATGTCCCGCCATCTCTTCCTGCTCGAGGCCATTCTACTGCACTCATTTAGGGGACCTCCCACTGCAGTTTTAATTTGGTCGGTCCACCGCATTGGTGGCCTCCCGCGCGGTCTTGTACCATGAACGCTTCCCTGTACAACGAGGCGTTTTATGGACCAGCCATCTCGTCGCGAAACGTGTCCGAAGAAATTCACCATTCGAGACTGTATTATAGCAAATAGGCGGGTAGGTACCAATTTTTGTAATGAAATACGTACTTAACAAATGATTCCACGATGAAGGAATAACATCGTGTAATAAAAATCAAACCCGCAAAATTATAATTTGCGTAATTACTGGTGGTAGGATGTCTTGTGAGTACGCATGGGCAAGTACCACCACCCTGCCTACTTCTGCCGTGAAGCAGTAATGGAATTTACGTTGTAGATGTCCATGGGCTCCGGTAACCACTTAACACCAGGTGGGCCGTGAGCTCGACCATTTATCTATGCAACAAAAAAAACAAGAACAAAAAACATTAACACGAAAATCGGACCAGAACATACGTTCTTTTAATCTTTGTTAATCAAGCCTTGAGTCCAAGGAGGAAACGTGGAGGAAACAAATATAGTATTTTTCGACACTACTAGTACGAAAGACTTATCCAAAATAACATAACTTCAGCGTGATGATCAGAAGTGCCTTCACAGGAATCGATTCCCAATACTTATTAGGGTTTATAAGATCCCAAAAAGCGGAAAATAATTATTTAGTGCATAAGGCACCAGCAATATGGCCGGTTTGAGAAAAAAATAACCAAGACCGCATAGATGTGTCAAATGTTTCTTACAACTCATGAAAAGCGACTGTCCCAATAAATTCCGTTATAGTCCCGCATAATGTTAGCATAAGTTTCTGTCTCGATAGTTCTTCGAGTCATACCCTGGTTCTCTTATGAAAGAGCAGATGCGTCTTTGAATCGGTTGAGATTCAATGTCCCAGACAGGGGAACCGCCTTCCATTGGCCCATGCGGGTGAATTCTACTCCATTCTAATTCGGTTAAATGATTGGGCATGGATTCGGATGGCAGATTAACTTGAAAAGTTCTTGTTAAATCCAAAAAGGATACACAGAATTTTAGATTCAGAGTATTGGCTTCTAGATAAGTCGCGGCTCTGTTAAAAATAAGCTTCTGATTTCGAAAACAGTTGTAAAGTCTGTCTGGACTTNTAGTAAATAATTGTAAGGTAGCGCCCTCTGTGAATTGATATTTTAATTTCACGTATAATCCTAAATTAAAATTCACTACAAGAGCTTTCATACACACATTAGTATTAAAAAATCTCACAGATGACGCTGTATTAAATAGTATGTATATTTCTGTCTCATTCTTTGTATTTGTGTCTCTTACCTGTCGTTTTTTCCGTTGCATCCGGTTTGAAATCACAACGATTCTAAAGAAGTTTTCACTTCAAAAAGTTAACTTTAACACGATCGAGAAGTTAAAAAATTCTCACTAAGCACAGAGTTAAGACTGTCGGTCTCACGCTCACCTATGGCGGGCGTGACGCAGCGGCTGGCGGCGTCGGCGTCGTCCCGCCGCGCGTCGGCCAGGCAGCGCGCCGCCAGCGCCCGGAACACCGCGCCCACGTTCACGTCCTCCTTCACCGACGCACGCATCAGCCGGCAGCCGAGCGCGCGCGACACTAGCTCCGCCTCGTCTCTACACGCCATTTTGAATTTCAAATAAACGATTTTTCTGTTTCAACGTAATAAGTATATACTACTACGGTTCCATCTGTATTTTGTACGGTATGTTCCATGGGGAGTGCTCTGAGGAATTGTTCAAGATGATACCGGCATCTCGTTTTTACCATCGCACCGCCCGCCACCGGAGTAGAGTTCATCCATACTACCTGGAGCCACTGCGGTCATCCACAGTGCGTTTCCAGAGATCTTTTTTGCCACGTACCATCCGGCTATGGAATGAGCTCCCCTCCACGGTTTTTCCCGAGCGCTATGACATGTCCTTCTTCAAACGAGGCTTGTGGAGAGTATTAAGCGGTAGGCAGTGGCTTGGCTCTGCCCCTGGCATTGCTGAAGTCCATGGGCGACGGCAACCACTCACCATCAGGTGGGCCGTATGCTCGTATGCCTACAAGGGCAAAAAATAAATAAAACTAGTGGTCCCGCTAGAGGAGGCCTAGGGGGCGTAGTCCCATGCGCTGGTCCGATCAGATTAAGACGACTTTGGAATCCAGCATCAATGTCGCTATCCACTGCACGGAGGACAAGAGTGAATGGAGGAACATAGTCCTAACAAAAGTGCTCAGTAAAGGTCACGACCCTCAGCACTGAGGAATACGACGCACGGAGGAGTGGTCCCACAGTAGTCGTAATTCGACTATAATTAATTGAAATTGTAAGTTTGTACACTATTATGATTCTATTTTCAAAGGCTATTGTACTTCTATAATCACAAATTTCGCCAAGACTATACTATAGAAAAATAATAATAAAGACAAACAATATTTAATCTATTCTCAATTTGACCACAGACGTCAAGACAAAAGTTTGACAATATAGAAATAGTATGTATGCGTGTGTGCGTCAAATACATAGTAGTGTGTGTAATGTTTTTTTATTGATTTAATGTATTTTTAGGCATAATTTAAATTTATAGGCAATATATTTAGAGGCAATCTGTGCATTTGGACAAAAAAAATATATTTTATATGTCAACACAGATTGATTTGAATATAATCGTCTCCTTCAAAGAATACGGTTCAAAACCCTTCATTAAATAAAGTATTAACTTAACCTGTTATTTATCTAAGATGTCGTTCAGAGTTTTGTGACTGCCAATGGAATACAAAGTCAATAATTCGTTTTTCTGATTTACCAATAATTGTCCAAAAGTCACATTGCCGGCTTTGATAATAGTCGACTCATATATAGATTTGACTGTTGAATAATTAGTAAACACTACTCACGGTCCAACCACACATTGATCCATTAAATCGATTTTATTTTGAACGATTATCGTTGGTATTTCGCCGCATTCATTCTCCACCTGGAAAAATAATAGTGTAAATTAAACAAATACATATATGTATTTTTAGTCCACTAGGATTACTTTTCTTTTTTTCCTACCTAAGTTGATGGTCTTGAGAAACTATTTCAGTGTAATCTTAACTAGTAGGTGAGCTCACGGGGCTCAAACCTGACGGAGTTGCTAACACGAACCTTAGCAAGAGCCGTGCTTCGCATGATCTACCACTGGATCGGAAACGCGACCCACTGAGAAGATCCGGCGAGAAACTCAGTGGGCTGTGTCTGAGAGTTAATTTACTCGGCGAGCCCTTCGTCGCAAGCGACGGGTTCGACGAGAACCATGACCGGTCCACTAGAAAGAAAATTGCATAGGAGATACCTTTTATGAGTTTTAAGACTAAAAAAAAATACAACAATAAAACAATTTGACATTTCGTAATTCGATATAATTTATTTAAGATTTATTTAATAGTTAAAAAAACCACTTACAAATCTTCTATTACACACTAATGTCATTAATTAAAATATTATAATTAATATCGCTTAAGGTTTCAATGAATTTTAAATTTTTATTTTATTTCAACGAATTACAAAATTACAATTTTAAAAGGAATATATTAGAAACGTTATTAAAAAAAAAGACAAATGAAACTATAAACTAAACTTCAGCTAATTATTACTTATAGCTAATTATTCAAATTAAAATACAATATTTATACATACGTAATTATACCTAATTAAAAATATTAAGTGAAATGTAACTGAAACAATATTGAAGATTTCGGATAAAATCGTACCGTGACCAAAAAAAGAACAACCAAAATACTGTATTGCTTTTGCGATTACAAAAAATGTTTATTCACATATTGATCAACTGAGCTGACGTAAGCTTATTGGAATTATATTCGACGAGTGAAAGGCTTTTTGGTTTAAGCGACATTTTTACAACTTTACAGGACAGCCATTTGAAGTTTAAAATTTGGAAAAAATATCATCAAAAAAAAGAACCTTCTTCAGCCATTCCAATAGAGTAAACTTAATTGAAGTTCAATTACAAAATATCGAACTGTTGATGTTAATCTATCCATAGTATAAAACAAAGCCGCTTTCTCTGTCCATATATCTGTCTGTCCCTATGTATACTTAAATCTTTAAAACTACGCAACGGATTTTGATGCGGTTTTTTTTAATAGATAGAGTGATTGAAAAGGAAGGTTTATATGTATAATAACATCCATTAAATAGTAGAGAAATCAATAATAAATTACAGTTTCCGAAGCGAAGCGAGAGCGGGTCGCTAGTATCAAATAAAACGTACCTTTAATTACAAAGATAAATGTCGCGTAATAAACGGAATGTCGCTTAAATCGAATAGCCACTCGATATAAATAATCACGGAAATAAAACACATAGTATTCGACATTGATCCGGTATTAATGTTCGAGCACACAATCCGGGCTTCCCTCTCTTCCGGTCATAATATCTATACCGTCCACGATCCTTTTGACCGTCGACAGCGAGCCTAAGAGCTTGGACAGCAGCACGCTACGCCCCTCCGACGAGCAATTGATGCCCAGAATGTAATCCTCGTTGACCCTCGTGAATATGTACTTAGCGACGTCCTTGTCGCAGGACCTGTAGAAGTTCTTCACCGAATCGCTCCCATAGTACAAGACGTTCACGATTTTGCCGGTGCTGTTCTTGTACGTGGCCCTGATGACCGGCTCCTCTGAAGGGAGGCTGAGGTTCGAGCAGCCGTTCCTAGCGGTTTCTATCTCGTGCGTCTCGAGTTTCTTGAAGGTTTGTACTTCGCAGGCGTTTCTCGTTCTCTGATTCGGGGGCCAGTAATAGACCGCGTACATTTGTCCCGATAACGTATCCAAATCAAAATTCTCTTCGTTGTTGTAATAACTAAGGCATTGCGCTTCACTGCTCCGCGATATGCGACAATTAATCGCGCAGAAAAACGAAGTGATTATCAAAAAGAACACCACAGTTTCCATGTTATTCGATAGTACGTTGTATTCACTGCAATCGTTATGAATTTAGTCTGAAATGTGAGCAATTAGTCCGGCGGCAAGTAGGCGAACTGAGATATTNTTCTCTTCGTTGTTGTAATAACTAAGGCATTGCGCTTCACTGCTCCGCGATATGCGACAATTAATCGCGCAGAAAAACGAAGTGATTATCAAAAAGAACACCACAGTTTCCATGTTATTCGATAGTACGTTGTATTCACTGCAATCGTTATGAATTTAGTCTGAAATGTGAGCAATTAGTCCGGCGGCAAGTAGGCGAACTGAGATATTATGTTATAACACGTTATTATCATAGCTGCGTGCGAGCGATATAACTTATCCGGGGTTCGCTGTTGACGCATTCAGGAAGTTCGGACTTGATGAATTTTTTTGAATTTATTTATTTATTTTTTGTTGGACTCACAAAAAATAATTTAATTTAGAGTATTTAGAATATAGTAACTAGTTTAATCCTTGTTTGTCAAAATCTACTATACTAGTATATAAATCTACAGTGGTTTTTACGGATGTTCCATTATAACTACTGAACCATGCATCCGATTGACTTGAAACTTGGTATCCATATAGAAAATACATGTACTTAATGGATGGGCTAATAATTTTTTATTTATTTGTGAAGTGTTTAGTGCGGAGCACATCTCTCCCATCACTCTCCCCCTCGGGACGCCGGACCGGCGGTCGTCGGCGCCACGACCACCAGCCCTCTCGTCAGGCTATCCGAAGCCCGCCTAGACTGAACGCGACTAATGAAGTTTTCACATAAAAATAATAGTTTAAAAAAACTAACAAAATACGCTTTTATAGAAACCCCACGCTTTTTTACAATAAATTCATTTTTTCTTACACTATTATTAATTCAAATTTATTAAAATTTATTTTCAATTTTTTAGTTGGTTTTTCTATAAAAGCGTATATTGTTAGTTTTTTTAAATTATTTATATTCATTTCTCATTTTTTCATTCTTTTTCTTTTCATTTTTTTTTAAATGTTGAATTGTCATCGGTCCTCAATAAGTATACCAAATTTCGAGTTAATCCGACGTTGTGAAGGGGGTCAAAATCATGTTCAAAGATTCCGTTACATACATACATACGTCTGAAGCTAATAAAAGCGTATTAAATATGTTGTATATGCCCCCCCACATGCGTCGCCTTAATACGGTCGAGTTTTGTATCTGCACCGGTTTTAGCGTCGCGGGACACAAGTCATATGTCACGATACGTTATCATCTCCGGATCGTGCTAATGAACGCATAAAGCACTCTAAAATACGCAAGTAATTAAATCGGTCGGAGTTTGACGTTTACAAGTTTAAATCAGACTTTTTGTTTACTTAGAGAGTCTCAGTTCACGAGTGCGGGGCATGGCGTGGTGCTGTTAGGCAAATGTGTTTCGCTCCTAAAAACACTGCCTATTCCTCTCTCGGAACATTAATGCGTCAATCGATTACAAAACGCAACCTAAATATTTCAAGCTACAAATAATAAAAAAAATACCAAAACTTTTTTTATGTTTAAAAACTACCTAAAATGTTTTTTTATTGAAAGACTTTCACTGTCAGACGAACCGTCATCTTCGCTTTCTGATTCGGTTGTTCAAAGGTATTCAAACCCCTGCATCGAATATAAGACGCATCACGAATACAGACGCTTAAAAACATTTATATTGTGTCAACCCTGAGGAATTCGTCGATATTCTTTCTTACTATTACGCGCTGGGGTTCGGGATAAATAAAAATTCCACCGAAGTATAAATTAAAACTGTATTAGCACTTAGAACACTTAAAGCACTTCGCAAACACTTTAAAATTCTCAATTCGCTTCTTCCGCTTCGCTTCAGGTGATACATTCGCTGTTTCGCTTCGAGTAGTTCCGATTATTAACTGACTGCGTGCCATCTCTGCAACGCTTTTATAGCCGATACCACATCCTTAGAATTATCAAGAATATTCCACACAAGTTGAGTATTGTGTTTCCGTTATCTGACAATAGATGGCGTTGTACGTATTGAGCTCTCTAGATGCTACTAGNTTCTTCCGCTTCGCTTCAGGTGATACATTCGCTGTTTCGCTTCGAGTAGTTCCGATTATTAACTGACTGCGTGCCATCTCTGCAACGCTTTTATAGCCGATACCACATCCTTAGAATTATCAAGAATATTCCACACAAGTTGAGTATTGTGTTTCCGTTATCTGACAATAGATGGCGTTGTACGTATTGAGCTCTCTAGATGCTACTAGATCCGTCGATATTCGTTCGACTATTCGGCAATAGATGGTGTTACTCTTACCGGTGTAACATTACAAACATATTAAATTCTCCAACGAATTGTTTGGTTTGCTGTAGTTAGAATTTTATTTTCCTCAAACTTATCCCACTAGGATTCCTTTGAGTGTACGTTATAAAAAGCTAGACTTGAATGACAAATTGATCCAAAATTTGCCGCATTTACCCGCACATTAAAATCCCGGAAACGTTCAAAAAACATCAGCTCCAATTGATTAAGGCGATTAAACCTTGAAACGTGGTTTCTATGCACGTCATATCGGATCCTCCCGATCCACTAATGGTGCTTCTAGGTACCTCAAGCACCGGTCATCGTTCTCGTCGAACCCGTCGCTTGCGACGAAGGGCTCGACGAGTAAATTAACCCTTAGAAACAGCCCACTGAGTTTCTCACCGGATCTTCTCAGTGGGTCGCGTTTCCGATCCGGTGGTGGATTCTGCGAAGCACGGCTCTTGCTAGGGTTCGTGTTAGCAACGTCATTAGGTTTGAGCCCTGTGAGCTCGCCTACTAGTTAAGGCGACGCTGATATAGCCTCTCAAGGCTAGCAGCTTAGGTAGGAAAAAAAATGATTCTATATCACGGATCTCTGTTGTCAAGAACTACTACTGTATTCATCCGAGCATAAGACAGACTTACTTTCAACTTCCAGGAGTGCAGCGCTAAGAAAGAGTCTCTGTCGGTTGTGGAGAAGGCGAGCACGCAGGCGTGGGCGCCGCGGTAGTACGCCTTGGTGATCGCGTCGAACTCCTCCTGGCCCGCCGTGTCCCACAGCATCAGTCGGACTTCCTCGCCGTCTATCCTGGAACGGCGACCAGGAAATCATACGACCTCATCGGAAGCTATACTCTGCTAATCATGAAACTCTTTAAAAGGCGAATCTTAACGCTGAAAGCGACACTTTGTGAACACACAAAAGTTCAGTCCAAAGGTCTGGTAGTGCAGGGAAGGTTAGGGGGTGTTAAGTTGTGCGGCAGATGTCCTGCGAGTTGCCGGGTCAAGGCAGCAACGGATCGTTCTGTATACTTTAGTAGTCGTCGTGGCCTAACAGATAAGACGTCCGGTGCATTCGTGTTGAAGCGATGCACCGGTGTTCGAATCCCGCAGGCGGGTACCAATTTTTCTAATGAAATACGTACTCGACAAATGTTCATGATTGAGTTCCACGGTGAAGGAATAACATCGTGTAATAAAAATGAAACCTGCAAATGTAGATAAGTATGAAAATGCTCGGAATTAAATAAAAATAACAATTTTGTTTTTCTTTTGATGTGTCCCCCGTCGGGCAGATTCCTTTTGTTTGTTTTCAGTTTCTTTTATACAAAGTTTAGGTCTTTTATTTATCGATTAAGGCACTACGAAGTCTGCCAGGTCAGCTTTTTTTTATTTTTATTTTTATTGCCTTTGTAGGCAGACGAGCATACGGCCCACCTGATGGTAAGTGGTCACCGTCGCTCATGGACGTCAGCAATGCCAGGGGCAGAGCCAAGCCGCTGCCTAGTTTTAAATAAATTATTATTAAAAGTATTGTTTTCATTTGCACGAAATCCCTTCGGTAAATAAACAATGAGTCATCATCCTACCTATCGAGAATTTGATGATCCGTCAAACATAAATGTACTGTGTTCAGGAATTGTTCTTAAAGTTTAGAGAGATTGGATGGAATTACTTTTGGGAGTTTTTCATGTCTGACGGCCTAAATTCACTTCGAGACACCAGGTAAGTCGCAGTCGTTATGTCTATCCTTAACTACAGACTGGAACTTACCACTGCTACGCGGCAAAATAAATGTGTAGCACTCTGGGACTGCGGTGGTAAAGCTATTGCATAGCATTTTTTATCAACATATGCGATTATAATTAGACAATAATAATTTAATATTAACACAATAATAAAATAGGACCACGTTATATTTATAAGCATTAACAAAGCAGCAAAACATTAACTGTACCCTTCACACTAATAAGCTAAATCGCTCGAGAGAGAGATGGGCAGACTTTTCATGGTGCGCATGCAGTGCGACGTCACGCCGCACTTATTCACAAACACTACACAAGCGCAACGTGTGAATGTGTTGAACGCGAGCTACACGGTAGGCGGAGTGGGGGGTATTAGGTTTTATTTTCGTTACGGAATTTCTTGATTCACTCAAAGCCCGCGATAAAACCTATGCAACTGCTTAAAAAGCTAACTTTGTTATTGAAGACAATAATTTAATTTTGTCCAGTGCATGCTTACTCGATCTGTCTCTCAAGAAAGTCGACCCCGATGGTCTTCTTGTAGTCCCTGGTGAAGGTGCCGCGGCAGTAGCGCTGTATCATACTGGACTTGCCGACTCCGCCGTCACCGACGATCACCACCTTCAGGGCCACCTCCAGCTCCTCCTCGCGCATCGTACGCACATCCGATCAACGGACATCAGGGATGTAGTGGTCCTGTAATTGATAGTAACCGTTAACGTTATGTCATATGCTATACTTGTAACTATACTTGTAATCTTAGAACTTATATCTCAGGATGGGTGGCGCATTTACGTCGTAGATGTCTTTGGGGCTCCAGTAACTACTTAACACCAGGTGGGCTGTGAGCTCGTCCACCCATCTAAGCAATAAACGACATTTTAACAATATCATTAAGTCGACCCCAAACGTCAACCTCACCTGTCCGTTGTGCTCCCTGCTAGGTAACGAAAGAGGACTTGGCGACCTAGCTGTGGCGGTATAACCACTAATTACTGGCTGGGCTACCTCCTAGAAGAGGCTTTAGTAATCTAGAGATCTAAATAATCTGCAAAAGGACTAGTGCAGAAGGCAAGGGGAAACTGCAACTAATCTTCCCAAGAAAATCAAGATATTTATTTATTTATTACAGGTCTATGGAATGAGCTTCCCCTCCACGGTGTTTCCCGAGCGCTATGATATGTCCTTCTAAATCTTAACTAATAACACCATGCACCCCACGCTTTTTTTTAAATGAAATATATTTTTTTTACATTATTTTCAATTTAAATTTATTAAAATTTATTTTCTATTTAGTTGAATTTTATATAAAGCGTGTTTTTTAGTTTTTTTAAACTATTGTTTATTTTTCATTTTTTAGTTAAATTTTCTATAGAAGCGTATTTTTAAAACTATTAATTCCTGCCTTATCGACTATAGATAAAAATGATATAAATAGGCAAAAATCTTATTTTGCAAATTGAATAATGGAATAATCTTATTAAATTAGTGTATTGTCATCAGTCCTCGATAAATCAACAAAGTTTGAATGAAATCTGGCCGTTTAAAGTGGGTCAAAATCGCGTCTAAAGGAGTCAGTTACAAACATACATACAAGTGAAGCTAATAATATAAAGCGTGTAAAAAAAAGGTAAAACCAACAGCCCAACTCAATATAACAATATAACAAATAATAGAAACAAAAAGCCAATTAAAGGTCCCCACCAATACAGACAATATAACTTATTTTATTAAGTATTCGAACAAAAATCGTGGTTTAAAAAAAAAAATTGCTTTTCATTATGATAGCTTGGTGTACAACAACACTAAAGCAAAACTCGAATATCCTAATCGAAGCAACTCTAATAAAAATTTTTGGCGTGTGTTAGTTACCAAAAGCGTCGTACAATAATAATTGTAACTTGTACCAAATCGCACTCACGCTATGCCTCATTAAGTTTTTAAACTTTCGATACTTTTCTCTTTTAAGAATTTCGCTCGGTCATGCGACGAGATGAAGCATTGATTATGTCAATTTTAATGAGAAAACCGCTGGCGGATGTAAATAAATACGGGTATCTAATGAAACTTCGCTTGGGTTGACGGCGTTGATTCGTTTTTTTTTTTATTGCTAGATGGGTGGACGAGCTCTCAGCCCACCTGGTGTTAAGTGATTACTGGAGCCCATAGACATCTACGATGTAAATGCGCCACCCACCTTGAGATATAAGTTCTAAGGTCTCAAGTATAGTTACAACGGCTGCCCTGCCCTTCAAACCGAAACGCATTACTGCTTTACGGCAGAAATAAGCAGGGTGGTGGTACCTGCCCGCGCGGACTCACAATAGGTCCTACCACCAGTTTTTTCTTTTTTCTTAACTATTCGCTGGTAGCCTAAGAGGCTATTTCAGCTACGTCCGGACGGGTACCTTCAAAAACACTTAACAATAAAATATGGTTCAATAAATAATTCAATTTGCATATCAGCAGTTTTAAATATAAGTGTTGATTCATTTCAACCGCCGGACGCATGAGTAGGTATAATGTAATCAAAGCAAGAATGTAACTGAAGTCTCTTGTTATTTTTTTTATTTTTTATTGCCCTTGTAGGCAGACGAGCATACGGCCCACCTGATGGTGGGTGATTACCGTCGCCCATGGACTTCAGCAATGCCAGGGGCAGAGCCAAGCCGCTGCCTACCAAATTCTGAATGTACTCTTTCTCTTTCGTACGCCGTTGCCATAAGAGCACTGGGCGCGGCGGTTGGTAAGCTGCTCGGCTGTGCCCCTGGTTTTCCTCTTCTCCTCTTTTCAGTATGACAATCGACTTCTTGTAATACCGTTGTTGCCAGTATAGAGTTTGTAATAATCTTCAATTATGTTCCAAAACATATGTTGTTTCAGCTTGATGATCAGAAGTGCCTTCACAGAAATCAATTGAGGCCGATTGTCCGATCATTCGGACCACTCAACCATGATCGCCGCAGAGAGGGAGTGATGACAGGGATCTTCTGTTGTCACTTGTCCCCATTTTTCTATTCAGACCTATCTCTGCATTCACACCTTGGACACAATTCTCTCACAATTCCTCTTACACACAGCCCCACCAATACTTATTAGGACTTATAAGATCACAAAAATCGTAAAATATTTGTCTGGTACGTAAAGTGCCAGCAATACGGCCCTTATGAAAACCAGCCTTGTACACTTTTTAGATATTGTCTAGGTATATTTAATTCGTGTATCTCAATAATATGCTCTCATTAGTTTCTCGAAAATTTAATGCAAGCCACAAAAAATGTTGTTGGTTTTAAAAACAGAAGAAAAAAGTGTCACCTTTTAAAATTGACATAAAATGATTTTTTATGTGAGCACGTAGGTTCTACATACAGCCCTAATGTTTCTGATGAAGACGCAGATATCTGCTCCAGATGATACCTCGTAGCTTGAATACCCCGGCTACGTATTGAAGCACAACTTCCTGCGTAAAGCCAGGGTGTGTGTATTCGTCCGGGCTGATGTTTGTTGTCGCCGTCGACGAGGCCTCGAACATCGGAACCTGACCCTCTTGTGGCTACGCGTAGATCATGGGGGTTGTACCCGAGTTTACGTCTGCCTGTACAAGTCTCACAGCAGTGATGCAGGTTCAGCTCTGATTGAGCATGTGCAAGAGGGGACTAACCGCGTGCTTGAGCAGTACCCACCTACGGAGGTGGTGGTTCTTGCAGACTTTAACGCTCACCACCAAGAGTGGTTGGGGTCCAGAACCACTGACCTCCCGGATCGGGCTGGCTACGATTTCGCTTTGGCCTACGGTTTTTCCCAGCTGGTGACACAGCCCACCTGTGTCCCAGATATCGAGGGGCACGAGCCTTTTCTGTTGGACCTTCTGCTGACCACGGATCCGGCCGGATACAGTGTGATGGTCGACGCTTCGCTTGGATCGTCTGATCACTACTACCTTATCTGTGCTGCCGTACCACTCTCTCGTCCTGGTCGTCGAACGACGACCGGGTATCGAAGAGCCTGAGCAGATTGGGATGAATTACGTGAATTTTACGCATCCTACCCATGGCGGCGGTTCTGCTTTTCCTCTGCTGATCTTAAAGTCTGTGCGGACCATCTTAAAGACGTGGTACTCCAGGGGTGCTCCTGAGGTGCCGTTGGGGGTCGCAACAGACCCTGGTAAAACAATGCCAGCAGGGATGATGCACACCTCAAGCGGTCCGCATACGTGGCATGGTATGATGCCAAGAGACATCGGGATTCTAAAGTCTCAGGGGAAAGGCGGAAATATAACGCCGCTTTCAGGTCCTACAAAAAGGTTATTGCCAAGGCGAAGTCGGAGCACGTTGCTGGAGTTGGCGAGCGACTAAAGAGCTATCCCTCTGGGAGCCATGCTTTTTGGTCGCTCGCCAAAGCTGCAGAAGGAAACTTTTGCAGGTCTAGTCTCCCACCACTGCGCAAGTCCGATGACACTCTAGCCCACAGTGTGAAAGAGAAGGCTGATCTTCTGGTCAAACTCTTCGCCTCGAACTCGACTGTGGACGGCTGTGTTTTAGGCAGCGGCTTGGCTCTGCGCCCCTGGCATTGCTAAGGTCTATGGGCGACGGTAACCACTCAGCATCAGTACAGGTGTGCTCGTCTGCCTACACGGGTAATAAAAAAAAAATGCATAACCTGGTTCTCTTATGAAAGGGCGTGTGTGTCTTTGAATAGGTTGAGAGTCAACATTTGTCTGCTGGAAGAACTGATTCGACAGTGTCTTTCCGTTATTAAAACGATCAGAACATTATCATACTTCTTATATCTGGTATCGACATGGAGACTGTTAGAAATAAATTCATATATCTTATAGAGGAAGGCTTAACCATAAAAATTGAAATTCCTATTTTCCATAGCATTAGAAAATGTTACAAAATGTTATAGCACACACACCTGGTTTTCCAGAAAATACCCCATAGTACATTCGTCTTTTGACGAGTTATTACAAGACTGTCGAAAATAATCTTCCACGTTCCGTTTTCCACGAGATTAATAGCAGAATTCCGCTGTGCTCAGTGCTTAATCATGTTCCGTATTGTATTTACATTTTATACCTTCAGATGACGAAAGAAACAGAAGATATTTAAAATAACCACGTAATCCGATGATACTTCTTGGCTATTCATTCAGATCTAATTGAAGCTTCCTTCTTACTTTAAGTTGCGCTAGATAAAATCATTACTTGGTTGAATACGCGGCACTTAAAACTAATGTTTTTAAATCGCATCAGATGAATCTTAGTCCCAGACAGGGGAACTACCTTCCAGTGGTTCAACGGCTGAATACTGGGTATGCATATCGGATGGCGGATTAACTTTAAAATTTCATCTTAAAACCAAAAAGGGTAAACTGAATTTTAGATTCAGGGTATTGGCTTCTAGATAAGTCACAGCTCTGTTAAAAATAAGCTTCTGATTTCGAACAGTTGTAAAGTCTGTCTGGACTTATAACCGTATACTTCGGTCCATTTGCAAATTGTCATGTGAACGCTCTTGGCTATAAATCTATTACTAATACGTGAAGCAAAAACTTTGTACCCCTTTTTACGAAAATTTCGCGGACGGAGGAGTATGAAATTTCTCACACTTATAGAGAATATAGAGAAGGAGTGCACAATGCTAATATTTTTTTTAAATAATGCATAAAAGATACTTTAAATTCTAGACTATAGCGGACAACAAACAAGAGTAGACACATCGTGAGCTGTAGTTGTAGAAAGAGGAGAAAATGGAAACTAAGGCGAACCACTGGCTCATGCAGCTTTCATTTCAGCAGAGGCTGCTCGTACGCAGGCAGAGGCCGCGCATCTTTCAGCGGAGATATATAAAAAAATTCAAGGAATTGACCAATATCGGCAAAAACCTTGTTTAAAATAATAAGTTCAATTTTGTTTTAATTTTAGCTGAGTCCGTAATAGTTTATATTACCATAAAAACGAAATAGCGCTTGTTACAATAGTCAAGCAAATCCAAATATATACGTTTAATATTATATTATTATTATATTAAGTTTATACGTAAATTTTATGACACTAATGAGTATATTTTACGCTAATAAAACTACTCTCAACTTAGCATTTCAAAATGACTATTTATTTTTTTATTGCTAAGATGGGTGGACGAGCTTACAGCCCACCTGGTGTTAAGTGGTTACTGGGGCCCATAGCCATCTACAACGTAAATGCGCCACCCACCTTGAGATATAAGTTCTATGGTCTCAGTATAGTTACAACGGCTGCTCTACCCTTCAAAACGAAACGCATTACTGCTTCACGGTAGAAATAGGCGGAGTGGTTGTACCTACTCGTGCGGACTCACAAGTGGTCCTACCACCAGTAGAATACCAGTATTTAGCTTCATTGTATATTTTGTACTCACAGTATTTGGGATGTTCTGCTTCTAGTCTATAGGGTTATAGAGCTATCACCTTGCTATCATCCTACTTACCTCGGCTCCAAGTTCAGTTATGTTCATTTGAAGTTATTGGCAGTCGATATTATATTTCAATTGTGGCTTCAATTTCATGCGGCAAGAAGTTGGATATGTATTACAAACAAACTACGATTTCCTAATTTAAGAATTATTATTCAAATAAAACAAAATTACACAAAAATAATAATTATCAAACTTATCTAACGGCCGTCTGGTGTAGTGGTAAGTGACATGGTCGCTACACAAGGGGTTCGCGGGTTCGAATCCCGCCAAGGAAAGATATTTGTATGATAAATATAAATGTCTTTTCCAGGGTTATGGATGTATATTAAATATATGTATGTGTATAATAAAAATCCTACATTTATTTCCGTTATCTGGTACCTGTAACACAAGTTCTTTACGAACTTATCACGGGACCAGTTAAATATTTATATTTATATTATTAATATTATCACAATGAACAAAAATGAGTGGTGGTTGATCCACATTTTGTCTAAATTATGAATTATGTTTTTCATTTTGTAAGTAATATTCATGTAAGTATCCAACAAAATCTAGAAGAATTATGAATTACTAGTCGATTTGTTATTCATTCTATTCTATTATTTAAAACAGCAGTATATACAATAATATATATAACAACACAACATACAAACGGGGTTAACATANTGGCGCTGTATTAAATAGTATGTATATTTCTGTCTCATTCTTTGCTGGCTTCATCCTACACATTTTTGTATTTGTGTCTCTTACCTGTCGTTTTTTCCGTTGCATCCGGTTTGAAATCACAACGATTCTAAAGAAGTTTTCACTTCAATAATCTAAGACAAGTTTTTGAACAATAATTATATACGCATTTCCATTTTATGTAAAAATTATGATTCTTACATCAGTAATTTCTTATAACATGCTAGGAAAATGCTTTAAAATGCCCTTATGTTAAAAACAAGAAAGAAAGTAAAGAAAACCTCAATTTGTGTTAGTTTACGTATGTGTAATATTTTAAAACTCTGCATGGTAGTTTTTTTTTTCTAATATTTAAAATAATTTCTGGCGCAATGTAATTAAGGTAAAATTGCTCAAATTTTTTAACTATCATCGATCATGTTCCGCAGCTCTTGTTACAACTTGATTGCGTACGGTGTGTGGGCTATCCTACGAAATCTATGTTAATTATTTTAAGTTTTTATAACATCATACAATATAAACTAATTATTCGTTATTGTGTAGTAGGTGAGTTTTAGTTTTAGTAAAATTTAAAATACTATAAAGTAAATGAAATTACAAATTTTACAGCGCCCCTCTAACCCACATCAACGCCCCCCATTTTTTCCTGGACCCCTTAACGCCCCCCTCTAGGTTTCAAACGCCCCCCAGGGGGCGTTATCGCCCACTTTGAGAAAGACTGCTTTAAATCAATAAAGAAAACATTACACACCCTACCATGTATTTGACACAGAACATACATAAAAATATACTCTTTGTTTACTGTCAATTGGGAAACTTTTATTATTGTATAAAGTCTGTGGTCGAATTGAAAATAGATAAGTAGATAGTCTTTAATATTATTGATCTATAGTGCAGTTTTGGCGAATACTGTGATTATATTATCGAAATATAATAGTGTTTGACAATAGAACCATAATAGTGTTTAAACTTATAATTTCAATTAATTAAAGTCGAATCTCGACTACTGCGGGGCCACTAGTTATATTCAAAGCACGTACGATAACATGGCGTCTATCATTCCCATTCGTCCAATATCAGTCAATGCTCAGGCGTCGTTCTGACGTCACTTTAGTTCGGAACTGCAACGCCAGACGGTGTTATGTTATTCAGGATTTCGATTTTGGCTCGTACACACTGTTGTTTGAGGAGAATAAAAAATCGAAGCTAATTTATTTTAATTGTGGCATTGTGGTGTTGTACCATAATATATAGTATAACAGTAAAAGTACTTATACTAATTCTGCTGTTTTTATCGGAATTTCAAGTAAGTTAATTCCTAAGTATTCTTAACATTCGTTGTTGTGTTCAAACATGGCGGTGACGATGTTTCGAATAAAGATAAGTTTTTTGGCGTGACTTCTAATGAAATATCTTAAGGTTGCACTAAATAACATTTAACTGTTTAACTACAACGACTATTTACTAACAGCTCGGTACATTATCAATAAAAAAATATTATCTACGACCATTAAAAGTAATACTATACTACATATTTGCATTTCGTCAGTATCAACGCGACGTATCAGATGTATATGTAGACTCATTGAATATATTACATCTTTTAATAAAAAAAACATNTATCTTAAGGTTGCACTAAATAACATTTAACTGTTTAACTACAACGACTATTTACTAACAGCTCGGTACATTATCAATAAAAAAATATTATCTACGACCATTAAAAGTAATACTATACTACATATTTGCATTTCGTCAGTATCAACGCGACGTATCAGATGTATATGTAGACTCATTGAATATATTACATCTTTTAATAAAAAAAACATACGAAGAACATACTAGATATACCATTACATCTCATGTCGTATTCTTGTCATTTCTTTTCATTTACAATTTAATTCATTATTGCATTGCATTTTATTTAGTACTTATCTAGTCCATCACACTGCATGATTTTATTTTTACTCTGAACTCGAAATCCAGGTGGAGTGTGGCACCGCAATTCACATACGCCGAATCTTGTACTTTCCGAGTTCTACTCAGAGAAGATCGGTTGCTTGGTTGGAGCAACGAGGTTGCTTGTAAAGGTTTGATTCCCGCAATACCACCCGTGCAGGGAATATGCAGCGCATTAACCTCCGAGCCCAAAAAAATATTGCCCATGCCATCAGAAACATTTAAGTTCGGACAAACATGTCAAATGGGCAGATGTAACTTGGATTTTTTATGTTTTCAGATAATCTCAACCCAACCGGGATGTCTTTGAAGAATAGGTTAATTGCAAGTCTACAAAAACTAAAGGAATACGATTACACTGACGTAGACAAGGCAAGAGCTAGTGACGCGAAGGCCGAGAATGCCCTCAACTTAATATACCAGACCGCTTTAAAGAAAACAACTTTTACAACAGAAGAGAAGAAAATTGTAGGTTCTCTTTTATTTGATGCCATCACACCGATACAAAGCAACATAGAAGGAACGGCCTGCGAATACAGAACTAGATTAGATACCTCTGTGCTTATGAAAAGATCTGCAATACAATTCTTGATTGACGAATACGGGAAGTTTCCAGTTGAGAATTCTATCTTGGCTACAAAGTTAGAGGAAGCCGGCATAGCAGAGAGCGTTGAAATACTCAATGAAATTATAAATAGGTACTGTGATATGAGCGATTCTGACGAGGGCTCCAGTGACAGAGAATCGGCGGGATCCCAAGAAGTACCAAGGTCGCACATTTGGTGGACTGCGTGATAAATCAGCTCGCAACTATACAGGCAAAGTTGACGTATCAATTACCTTGCTAACGACATTATTCATAAAGCGTTAAATCGATATAATACAAAATGAATTTCATATCGAACGTACTGGATTCGATTCCGGTTGTAGGCCACGTAAAAGGAATTGTTCATTATGCCGTTGGAGATACAGAAGGAGGCAACAATTCTATGTATCAATCTACAAGGACATCGGCGGTCCTAGCAGGAGGAGCAGTTGGATGCCTCGCAGGACCGGCAGGAGCTGCATTGGGAGGCGTATACGGAGGCATGATTACAGACGGCTTGGTTTCTGCGGCTAAGAACGAGCCTGTAGGTATTTTTGAGTCAAGTGCAAATATAGGTAGAGACATTGCTTCAGGCAAAAATCCAATGGCTTCTGTGGGTTCCGTAAGTTTCAAAATCGCCATGGACGGTATAGGTGGCTTTGGCATGGGAGGAGTTTCTAGCGTTGCCAGTAAAGTCCCGGCGAAGGCCGTCGCAAAAACCATAGAAGGCACTGTAAAAAAAGCTGCTGCAACTATTGGGGAGGAGATGATTGAGAAGTCAGTGCAATTAACTGCAGAAGAAATGACAAAAATTGTGGCAAAGAAAGTGTCAGAAAAAGCCGTGAAAAAAGCTGTCGAAACTGCAGCAATACAAACACAAATGCTTCTGGTGTCTGCTCACGTCGGAGTAAATGCTAGTGAAAAAACCAAAGCTGAAATGCGTGCTGAAGAAGAACGTAAACAACAGAAACAAAAAGAAGAAGAAAAAAAGGCGCGTGAAAATCGCGATAAAAAAAATACTGGATCGTGGCAACCGCCACGCGAGAACAGAAACAATAAAGAGTCCAATGTTGATAATGAAGAGTCCGACGAGGAGGTATTTGAAAAGTTCATGAAATTACTTAAACAGCTCTTGAAGCTTCTCTACGGCAATAACAGCGAACCGTTCACAAGAATTTTCGAGAATTTATCACCAGGCCAAATAGCGTATTTGGTGAAAATAATCAGAAACCTTAACTCAACTGGAATTTTACAGATAGTGTTAGATTTTACATTAAAACTGTTTAAATTGTACTTTTCTAAAGATATCTCATTCACAAATATCCTGAGTATGTTAGAATTCGTCGCAACTTACATTGAAGACCAGTTGTATTTTATGACCAAAACCAAAGGTAAACCGACTCGTCAATCAGATGCCGACCGGAATGAGCGTCGAAGGAACGCCATCAGAGAACTTCAAAACAAAACGGATATAATTCAGAAAATTGCTGATCTATTCAGACATTTACAAGCGGAAATCATAGCTGAAACGAGCGCGCCTAATATAATTTCCCCCTATTTCCGTGATATATTCTCAGCTGTGTATCATTATTACAAACACAGACGCGTGCCCGTGCCAGGCCATGAGAAGCTGACAGTCAAACAATATTTCGACTTGATAAGGATGGTAATTATAAAAATGAAAGAATCACCGGAATACAAAAAAATGCAGAGGGCCAGAAATGGAACGACCCTCACTTGTGAAATGTACGTGGTCTTGTTCGGTAGGATGTTCAGAATTATTATTACTGTTCGAGATGGTGAAATTGTATTGAGTACCGCCTATGTAGTCAAGCGTATGAACTTTAATGCCAAAGAAGGCATTCTTTACATAAAATTCGGTGATGGAGATGTACAGAAGTAATAACCTCAAATTACTTACTGGTGGTAGGACCTCATGTCCGCACGGGTAGGTACCACCGCCCTACCTATTTCTGCCATGAAGCAGTAATGCGTTTCGGTTTGAAGGGTAGGGTAGCCGTTGTAACCATACACCTTAGAACTTATATTTCAAGGTGGGTGGCGCATTTACGTTGTAGATGTCTATGGGCTCCAATAACCACCAGGTAGGATGGGAGCTTGTCCACCCATCTAAAAAAAAAAAGGAAAAAAAAGTAAAAAAAAATTAAGAAAAAAGGAAAAAAAATATTGCTGTACTTAGCAGTTTTATAATCCTCATATACTTAATGTTGCTTGATTCATTTAAAGTTGTCAAAAGCATTTATTTTTAAGTTGCGTTTATTTACCTTGGTATATTTATACGTAGGTATAGTATAGTAGGTTTATAGGTACATGTAGCTAGGTATATATATTTAAGTAAGTTTGTATGTAACGAAATCTATTACGTTATTTTTGCCGACTTGAAAACGTCCGATTAACCTGAAAACACCGACTCGATCGAATTCTTCGATTACGACAAAGAGCGAATTATTCCATGGACACAGCCCACTGAGTTTCTCGCCGGATCTTCTCAGTGGGTCGCGATTCCGACCCGGTGGTAGATTTTGCAAAACACTGCTCTCGCTAGGGCTAGTGTTAGAAATTTCCCTGAGCTTGAGCCCGTGAGCTCCCTACCCGCCCGCGCGTATCTGTAATAGCCGATTCCAGCGAATAGGTAGGGAATAAAAACAACAGGAGTGCAATAAAATTTTAAATTAATTAGGCGTGTTTCTTTTTACTTTTTTAAGTAGGTACATATTTAAATTCTATGTTTTATTAAATTGCTAAATAAAGCCGTGTGCACTTATCAATCTCCAGATCGTTGTCTTTCATTTATTCATTGAGCGATTGATGATATGTGATTTATTCTATACATTCATTTGGTTTGTGAGGTTACCAGAATAGGTAGGAAACTGCTTCTGCAGCTCCTACCCATATTTTTTTATTGCCCTTGTAGGCAGACGAGCATACTGCCCACCTGACGGTAAGTTATTACCGTCACCCATGGACTTCAGAAATGCCAGGGGCAGAGTCAAGCCGCTGCCTACCTTCTGGTCGTACAATTAAACATTTGTAATATAAATAGAGCTGCCATTATTTCAATACATCTAAACTATTTGGGAACTATAGCTATTGATGGTGGGCTAATAAATTATTGGTTTCTACGGGTGTTGAGAAGCATTAATTCAACACCACAGCAACACCGGTAGGTAATCATCTCTCGTACGATCGATGGTGATTAGTTTATTGCGCAAATAAATACACAAAATAAGAATTAAACAATGCACCCATTCGACCTTCAAACGACCCGTTCACAGGCAAAACAAAATGGCGTCACATATTGTCGAAGAAATTGATGAACAAGTTTTATTTGTGATTATTATTTTTTACTATGGCGAAACGAAAACAGAGACAGAATTAATAATTGTAGGTATTTTTGGAACATTATGTTTTTTTTATTGACTAATATTAACTGGTTTTTCGGAGCCCATAGTCGATCATCTTCAGACTTCTAGTACCTAAAATGTCTCACGAATTATTATCACGTATCATTGATTACGCGGTAGAGATTAATAGCACTATTCCTGCATAGGTAGATGGAACTGCGTTTCACCTATTGCAAGCTCTAAATACTAAACATCTCGGTTCCCATCTATGCCAAATAGAAAAGATGAATGAGCTCAAGGCACGTGAAATTTGAAACTGATATTGTGTTCTACGAGACAAGGTCAAAAGATATAATAATATCGCTTCGTTTTATACAACAGTTTTTTTTTTAATCGAAAGGAGAATTTACACACAATAACTAGAGTTCATGTTTATGTTCCCCTGAAATATTCAGATACATTATTAACAGTAAATCTTAACAGAAGCGCTACAGTCCCATCGGGGATTAGCCTGGACTAGATGTAAGGAGCAACATCAAGTATATGGGACTAGTTGAACAAGTGCATAGCAAATTATTGCTGGAAGCCTCGCCGAAATAGCACTAGTTTAGGAAGTGGAAATGATATGAATATAGCAGTTTTTAACAGTGAAGGTGCTGGATTGAATCGATGTGTGGTAGTTTATGGCGCCGTTTTTAAATTGCTTCCACTTGCGACTATTCTTCTTCTTCTTCTTCGCCGCTTTCTTCATTGCTGAAGGTTGTGTCCCTAAAACTTAACCGTGGCCTGTCTCGTGAGCTGTTTCCATCTCGTCCGGTCCTCAGCTTCTCGAATGGCGGTTGCGACTGGCAGCCCAGTTAGGGCGGTTATTTGATCACACCAACAGCTAGGTAATCGGCCGCGGGGTCTCTTTCCTTCTACTTTGCCCGTCACAATCACTTTGTCCAAGTTAGCTGACTTTTGGCGGGCAATATGACCGAAGTAGCTGAGGATCCTCTGGTAACAGATTATTGAGAGCCTGATTCGGATGCGAAGCTGATCCAGGATAGATTTATTTATCCTCTTGGCCGCCCACGGAATTCGGAGCATTCGTCTCCAGAACCACATTTCAAATGCGTTTATTTTCTTGCGTACGGATGCCCTAATTGTCCAGGACTCTGCCCCGTAGAGAAAGATTGAGAAAACTAAGGTTCGGACGAGTCTCATTTTCGTGATGTTAGAGATTTGGGGTTTTGCCATATGATTATGCCATACGATGAACTCGCTAACGAATTCTAGATCTGATAGATTTCCAGTTCTAGAGAGTTGACTGGTCCTGTCCACTATCATGACCTTTGTTTTGGACTTATTAACGGAAAGCCCCACCAAACCACTCTCATACTCTACTCTATGGAATAGGTCAGCAAGTTCCTTCTCAGATGACGCGAAAAGCGTGGTATCGTCCGCATATCTCAGATAGCTAATTTTCATGCCACCGACTGAGATGCCCCCCTCCCATTCCTCTAAGGATTTCCTCATTAAATATTCTTCATACACATTGAAAATAATAGGAGAAAGTATGTACCCCCGTCGCACACCTTTTTCCGGCTTAAAAGGTCCCGAGATGACGTCATTCACTCTAACCATATACACATCATTCCGGTAAAGGCTAGCGATCAATGATACTAGATGTTGAGGTACGCCCATTTAATTACTTTCCTTTCAGCGGACACTTTTTAATACTTTGACATGGTGCTCCTTACTGTTACCTTCCATGGCTTGGACAAGCTATTCAGCTTTAAAGAGCGTTTATCGTGAGGTCGCCCTAACAGATACTTCATTTCAATTTATTTATACTGATTGTGAGATAAAGCAATTACCAAAGGTTTTTTTTTTATTGCTCTTGTAGGCAGACGAGCGCACAGCCCACATGATGGTGAGTGTTATTAGTATTGGAATTTAACAAAACGGTCGCGACCATTACTTATAAAATATTCTCAGGTAGCAACACCAGTATTTATCCACATTCTGACTCGCCACAAACGACATCCGCCATGTGAAGTGGACATGACCACTCATATTAATATGTATATACTCGTACATATCTGATGTGTGCATACATAATCACAAAACGAACAGTGCCAGAATCGTATAAAAAACTAATGTTCATTTATAAATTCTGTTGTTTGTAAAAAAATATAACAACGATACCGTGAACAAACTTTCTCGATGTGTTTGAATTGTTTAGTCACTGAAGCAATGCGTGCGTTAGAATATTCTCTATCGCAGTAGGTACCTACTCAAGAGTAGGAGAGAGTACTTGAGAAAGCTTTGCGGGAGAGTAATGTAAGATTAGCAAGCTGAAGTGGCAAGGACCGGACATACGTGTCGCAGAACCGATGGCCGATGGAGCAGACGTGTTCTGGACTGGAGACCGCGTACCGGTAAGCGCAGCGTTGGGCGTCCTCCTGCCCGTTGGACCGATGACTTGCGGCGATATGCTGGGAGAGATTGGATGCGGAAGGCGGAGGATCGCTCATTGTGGCGGACTATGGGAGAGGCCTACATCCAGCAGTGGAGAGATACAGGCTGATGATGATGAATGTAAAAGAAGAATAGAAAATGCTTCTCTAGGCAGGAAGCCAGGATCGCTTATCCTCTTCTATTGATCAATATCCGATTAGATTATCATTTAAGAAGTGCATACGGTAAATATGCGAATGTTGAGATGGATTGTCGAGTGACAAGATAAGGAATGAGTATATCAGAGGAAGTGTGAAAGTAGCCCCGGTAATTAACAAATTAAAGAGCGGACGGTTAGCGTGGTATGGACATGTGATGCGTGGAGAGAAGATGCATGTAACTAGGAAGGAGATGTATGGAAACGGTAGTGCAAGGTAGAGGGGGAAGAGGTCGACCGAAGAAGACATGGATGGAGTGTGTGAATGACGATATGAGAGAGATGGGAGTAAGTGTTGAGATGACGGCTGATAGAAGAGAATGAAAGAGAAAAATTACCTGTGCCGACCCCACCTAACGGGATAAGGTGAAGAAAAAGAAAAAGAAGATTATCGTTTAAGATTCTTAATCCGTTGCAGTACGTGACCGACGACGGTCCGGTGTTCCGAGGGTGTAATAGAGTGCTGACACCGTCTTAAATTGGTATCTATGTTAAGTCTGTTGTTTCAAAAAAAGGTCGTAAGTCTATAAGTAGCGCCTTTGGTCGGTAGCGACTTGGCTGTTACCCTGACATTGCCGACGACGATGACCGACGGTGACCACTCATCTACAGAAGAACCGTATGCTTCATCCATCAACGTCTATCTGATGAATAAGGTGGTTGCTCTAGGGCTATTAGTTGAATTTTTGGTAAAATTTCGTTCACAACGATAGTATTGCAAAAGCGCACTACGGGATCCGAACACCGTTGCATCGCTACATACGAATGCACAATGTCTTATCCTTTAGGCCACGACTACTTCAAAACTACTACTTGTGAGTCCGCACGGGTGGGTACCACCACCCTGCCTATTTCTGCCGTGAAGCAGTAATGCGTTTCGGCTTGAAGGGTGGGGCAGCCGTTGTAACTATACTTAAGACCTTAGAACTTGTATCTCAAGGTGGGTGGCGCATTTACGTTGTGGATGTCTATGGGCTCCAGTAACCACTTAACACCAGATGGGCTGTGAGCTCGTCCACCCATCTAAGCAATAAAAATAAAATAAAAAATAAAAACTCGTAGCATGTCCTTAGAGGCTCTTTCTTATACGATTGAGTTTTTGTAGAAAATTCAGCACCATTGTGACTAGGTATAACTAATTTATGTGTATTATCTAGGAGCCGACCGACATTATATTTTATATCGGAGTGATTATTTCTATTGGTACATACCGACTCACGTAACACAGAAAGTTAGGCGCCTATCTATCTGAAACTTGGATTTTCAGTCACTATTTCTTCCATATGTGTGAAGTTAACATTCATTTCAGACGTTGGTAGCCTAGCAGAGCGAGGCAAACATTCCATAACATCTCGACCGATTTTGAACGCATTATATAACTCATAAGCACTTATTATTGATCGAAGCATAAGCACGTATTTTTGATAAATCCGATCCACCGTAAGCATTCTGTAACATTTTCAGTGACTCCGAACACGAAATTACATTGACCATGCAAAATTTAAGACAAACACTTAGTTTGATGTTTTGGCCATCATTAAATTCACAATACACACTAGTTATCTAAAACAGCGTTGTATTGAATTAAATTAACAGATGCAACTCAAACTCCGCGCCAAAATGGAAAACAGTTGTGCCAACCTAACGAAAACAAGAAAAAAAAATCAAAAAAAGTTTCGAACCATAAACAAATCCAGATAAAAAAAAATGATGACTGAATGTATCGTTCATAATGTCAGAGACCACATAACGTCGTGTCAGATGCCGGTCATTTAGGAGCAATTAATTACGTGCGATTTCATTACATCCCATTGTCGAACCGGATACACTTTCGTAGTACCTGGGAATCAAGATTTTATGTTCATTGTTACATGATGTAATTACCATTTGTTCCGGTATCCAGGGGCGCCATTTTAAATGTCTGTTATATTAATTTTAAAAGCGTCATGTAATCGTGCCGTTTATTTTTGTTTTTGTTGGTCATCCAAAACCATGATTTTTTTGTTATTGCCCAAGCACGCAAATTGCTCGAGCATACGGCCCACCTGATGGTAAGCGGTTACCGTCGCTCATGGACTTCGGCCATGCCAGGGGCAGAGCCAAGCCGCTGCCTACCGCTAAAGTGGTGGTGATGGTGCTTTTGAAGTTTTCCTGGTATGTGCGCGATATAAGCACATACAGGTACATTTCTACTGCCGTCATCCCTTCTCGCTCGAAGAGTGGAATAGCCACTGTTCAATATAACGTAACTTCGACCTCATATCTCAAGGTGGGTGACGAGAGTCACATCTATGTACTCCGGTAAACGCTAGGTGGACCATGAGCTGGTCCACACACCGAGAGCCAATAAAAGACAACGAAGACATTAATATTATAGTAAATGACTAAGAATTCTAAAACGAAATAATCTAGTTTGATACAAATCGTTTTTTCATTTAAATTATAAATTATGTTAACGCCTACGAAATTATAAGGAGCAATGTTGAAATTTTTATTTATGTTTACCTACACCATTCACATTTAAAAAAATTGCCGTAACAAACTATCTTGTGCGCAACGTAAAAATTAAGAAAAAACCTGTATAAAGAAAATACAAGCTCAAGATCGATTTGGAAGTTTTATTCAAGAAACCCAAGCATCCAACAAGTAGGAATTTTAATATTACTAGTGGTCCCCCGGTAGTCGAAATTCGACTATAATTAATTGAAATTATAAGTTTGTGCATTATTATGATTCTATTGTTAAAGACTATTATAATTCTATAATGACAGATTTCGCGAAGACTACCTACACTTTAGACAAATATTAATAAAGACAAACCATGTTTAATCTATTCTCAATTTGACCACAGACTTTAAGCAATAAGAAAAGTTTGACAATAAACAAATAGTATGCGTGCGTGTGTGTGTGTCAAATACATGGTAGTGTGAGTAATGTTTTTTTTATTGTTTTAATATATTATTAAAGCATAATTTTAAAAAATATTAGCACTATGCACTCCTTCTCTATATTCTCTATAAGTGTGGGAAATTTTATACTCCTCCGTCCGCACAATTTTCGTAAAAAGGGTTACAAACTTTTTGCTTCACGTATTAATATATAGACAGTATGTGAGCGTGAACAAAGAGAACTGGTGTATTTTTTCATGGAATTGTGCATAAACGATTTACGATTGTTCCATGTTCGCGTTAGATAGCGGTTATTCGGTGCGGCCAACCACGTAAACGGTACATAGCACCGGCGCAATCATTCATGCGAAATTCTAAGGAACTAGAGGTCCCGCAGTAGTCGAAATTCGACTATAAATAATTGGAGTTGTAAGTTTGTACACTATTATGATTGTATTTTATACTTCTATAATAACAAATTTCGCCAAGACTACACTATAAAAAATATTAAACAAAGACAAACAATATTCAACCTCAATTTGACAACAGACGTCAAGAACAAAAGTTTGATAATAAACAGTATGCATGCGTGTGTGCGTCAAATACATGGTATGTAGTGTGTGTAATGTTTTCTTTATTGATTTAATGCATGTTTTATGCATTATTAAAAAAAAATATTAGCATTGTGCACTTCTTCTCTATATTCTCTACAAGTGTGAAAAATTTCGTACTCCTCCTTCCGCGCAATTTTCGTAAAAAGGGATACAAAGTTTTTGCTTCACGTACTAATATATAGATTATCCTAAATTTGTTAAAGAACTTATTCAAAATTATCTTATTAATAGTTGGCGGGTCAACGACCTTCTTTGGCGGGTAACAGTAAATTTTTTTTAATTTAAAACTACTTTTGCTTTTTAATCTTGCGTTTGTACCGTCATTATATTATTTAACCCTTTGAGTGCGAGCCGTCGATAGATCGACACTCTACCTCGGAATACCGACTATTTGCACGGTTTAATGGTAGGTAGGTATTAGATATCGACCTGTATGGACATCATGGCGCATCATTTTTTTTAAAGTTATGTATAATACGGATCTTTTTTCGAAAATCCTTTAAATATTTCTGGAAAATTTACGAAATACTGTAAAGTAATTGAATCATCGTAAATACTAATACAGTGACGATAAAACAACGCGAGATTGTACCGTATATATAGTTTTAATTATGCCTTCCGTTCGCCAAAATCAAAGACAATAATGTTAGGAGTTTGTTTAATGAAAGGAAATTGAATTAAGTAAGCATAATCGTAAGCAGATAGTTGCATCATGGCCGCTCTAACAATAGAATGCAATTATGATACCTTTTCGACTTTCTAATACTTTTGACATTAATAATAATTATGATGTATACCGTGATAAAGAAATCAGCAGACATACCACTACCATCAAATCGGAACTCTTCGCTGCCGTACACTACATAATCTATATAGGTACCCGTATGGACTTTTAATACGTCCTATATCCTGTTAGATTAAGCCTTCGTCAAACAGAACGCGTAATTAGCGCGCGTCGGAGCGCTAAACTGACGCCGCGCTATGACGCCGAGATGTGTTGTACTACTATGGTAACATACCGTCAAACAGAGCCCCAGCTATATAAGTACGCAGCGATCTGTCGCGGCGTTAGGACGCTATGACGTCAGGCGTTGTAATTTTTTACAAATTTTATTTTAGCGTCCGAGTGAATGTGTATTAAAACACTAGATAATGCCCGAAAAAATGATATAAATAGTTAGAAAATACCCATGCTTATACAATGTCACATCTGAATCACTCGATTTCTTAATACTTTTAAATTTTCACACTGCTATCGAAAGGCACTATGATTTGGCGAATGCGTTGCNGAAAAAATGATATAAATAGTTAGAAAATACCCATGCTTATACAATGTCACATCTGAATCACTCGATTTCTTAATACTTTTAAATTTTCACACTGCTATCGAAAGGCACTATGATTTGGCGAATGCGTTGCGTCAAGGAGCGTTAGACTCATCTAGTCAATTTGAAGAGCGCGACGTTAAGTACGCGGCGCTAAGTACGCATTCTGTTTGACGAAGGCTTTAGTCATATTTGAAATTGCCGAAAACAGAATTAAAAACGGTGCAATTAAAATCATTGTGGAACCATTTTACTGACGGGACACGATTAAAAACCTGGTGAATACCACTATCCGATACTACATAGTAATCTTTGAGTACCATCATCCTTCGTAATTCTTCGATCACGCAATCGTAATTAAGGAGTTTTTGTACCTAAGCCTTCACAGCCACGTTCGAATTCTCATGACCTTGTCGCCAATATGGTTTGTTGTTTCATCGCGGCTTGAACGTATTTCCACCCCGGATTGAAGATAAAGAAATTGTATGGTTGAACTAATCAGGTAAGCTGGTCGTAAGATATTTAA